CGGGAATTTAGATTGTAGCCGTTCCAACAAGACAACGCACAGCCGGTGAACCAACATTGTGGTGGGCAGAGGAGGGGAAATCAAACACGCAATGTGCAATGCGATATCACGAGTGACAATCAGATGCATTCGGGCAGCTCGGAGTGCTGGATGGCGTGTGGTATGCTTTGTGCGAGACAGCACCAACGCCAAAACTGACCATCTGCATGCTTGGCCATGCTTCCCATTTACTGCCAGAGATGACAGCCTCGTGATCTCCAAGCATTCGTGGCCGACATTCGACGTTGAGACGAGTATCGAATACAACCGCTACTTGTATCGGGTATATTTATATTGTGTATTTTGCTTCTTATCAAATGCAGTCCTTTGATCCTTTTTGGCTTGCATATGCATCTGCATGCAGGCATGTCGAACAAACCCCGAATGGCATGATCCTATATACGGTGAGATTGATTGCCATGGACTCTGTGCTTCATTCTCCGCGCCCCGTGAAGACACTATTTCCTCGATGAGAAACGGAGACCGAGGAGAAACAGGGAGTAGGCACCGTGTTCTTGTCGTCTTGCTGTTCAAAGACCCTCATACACAACAGCATATATATTGACTGCTGGTACGGCATCTATCGGCCCGCCGCCATGGCCGTTCATCGCCATCGGATAACTTCCAAGAGTCAACCACGAGGCAGCGTTCTCGGCCCGGATCCAATGTCGCGATAGTCGTCAATGTTGAGACACCACGATCTCTCTCTCTCTGTCACAAAACCCTCAGTTACCAAGTCGTATTGAATGATGGCCGCGCCTCGTCTGCTGTTTAACATTCAATGCCGTTGTCGGGACATGATGTACTCATTTTCGTCAGACCATTGTTCTGCCAACGGTTTCACCGTAACTTATCACACTTTTCCTCGGGCTGCCTTTGGCGTTGTGCAATGTACTTTGCAGAGACATCAAGTAGTAGTTTTCCGATGTGAAGCTGCACAGAACGGGTGCAGTCACCGTTCTGCAGACGCAGGTCTGTCAAGTATTAACTATCAATTATCACACCGCCTACATTCAATCTATAACAAGAGTGAAAGGGAGGGGCGTAGCTGCAGCTATGCACACGCTGCCACCATGACTGGGGTTTGAGGGTGTGTAGCAGCTGCAGAAACACATTTGAATTTCGAGAATAAGTTGTAGAAGAGGAGCAGCTCGTTGTCGTTTGTCGCCTACAAAATTGAACACGCAAGCTGTCTCACACCATACGGAAATTGACCACCAATCCATCTCACCGATGACGTGACAATCCGCAGTAAATGTTTTCATAGTTTGAGGATGGCCAGAGGGGGGAAAACAGTAGAAAAATAACTCGACAACAGTGAACAATGCACATTGACAGATTCCCTATGTCTGAACATCCAAATCCTGATGAATCCGGTAAAGACCCCGAAAAGACCAGACAGGACCGTTAAGAAACGACTGCTCGTCGTATCGCGTATTTTCCAAGTCTTTTGCCACTGGTAAAAACAGGATGAATCCTGGCACTTGGCGATAACGTTCATGATACTAATGAGTGAAGCACAGCAGCTTGCCTGCTGGCCCTCGTATGGCCAAATGCAAGAAGGAATGCCATTGCAGCCTTCGCCGGTTCTGCCTAAGTAGACATCTTGCGAAATGCACGTCGATACACTCTTCTGTTGTTTCTGCAAACCCTCGGCGTGGCTTAATTCTGTTTCTGTTTGTATTGCAGTCTGCAAGCCCTGTCTGCAAGCCCTGTCTGCAAGCCCTGTCTACTGTTTCATGCCGGCCGTGAGGCCGAGAACCACTCAATACGCCGCCCAACAACGCCGTACAAATCCGAAGATAGAACCAGAACGAAGAACAAAACAATGAACAGAACAAGAAGAAAAAGAAAGGAAAAAGAAAACGATCCAAAAGTATGGTGTACACAGATAGTATAACACACGTTGAAACGCGAAACACCCGTAATCGTAACAAGAACAAGAGTACGGCTACCGTCCCACGACGGTCCGCGTGCTGCTGCCGCCGGCATCCGTGCCTGTCTCTCCCAGAAGACTGTTCGACACGCTGCTGCCGTCGGCCTCGTCGTGGCGCGGGCTTCGTTTCCGCTGGGGTGCCGCCTTGGTCGCCGCGCTCTTTGACGTGGTCGATGCGGCCGACGCCGCCATGCCCTGGCCTTTGCCTTGGCCCGCCTCGCCGCCGTGGCCGTCGTCGCCGTCGCCGCCTGGCCTTTGCCGCTGCTGCCCTTCCAGCATCGACGCAAACAGCTCCACCCCCTTGGGCGGCCGGTCCATGTCCTGCCAGAGGTCCGTGGGCAAGAACTCGCCCACCTCCTGCCGGAAGTTGGCCCGCTCGGCCCGGTCCGCCTCGACCAGCCGCTCCACAGCATCGCGCGCCTTGCGCCACACCGTCTGGATCTTGGCCTCGACGGTGCGCCGCCGCTCGGCCTCCAGGATCAGCGTGTCGTAGGCGTGCGCATAGCCCTCGTAAAACGCGCGCAGCTCGTCCATGTCGGCGAGCCGGTCCGCGACGACGGCGCGCTCGTTGGCCCAGCGCGCGGCAAACTCGGACTCGGCCGCGGCGTAGCTGCGCAGCCGGCTGCCAATGTCGTGGAGCACCGCCAACGCCTGGCCGGTCGCGACCGACGACGCGTGCGTCGCCTCGGCGTGCGCGTGCACGGCCGCAAAGGCCGCCTCGGCCGCGTGCAGGTCGGCGGCCATGTCGGCCACCACCTCGTCGACCTCGGCCGCGTCCTGCAGCACCACCTGGATCATCTCGGCGCGCTCCTCGGGCGACACGGGCTGCAGGGCGTGGGCGTCCTTGTCGGCCTCTGCGCCGTCTCCACCGCCATCACCACTATCGTGGTTCCCGCGGCCTTCGTGCTCGGCAATCATGCCGGAGATGGACACCGGGTCCTGCTGCGGCGGGCCGCTGCCCGCCGCCGCCTTCCAGCGCGCCATCTCCAGGCCGCCCTCGGTCGTCTTGACGGCCGTCACGCACAGGTCAAAGTGGCGCGTCAGCGACGTCAGGTTCGTGGCCATGCGGTGGGATCGCTGCGTGAGTGTGGCCAGCAGGTGCGGCACGGGGTAGGGCGATGCGGCAGGCTCGTCGCCGTCGTTTTCGTCTTCTCTGCCCATTTCGCGGCTGCTGTCGCCGTCCTCCGGCACCAGAGGCAGCGGCGGCGGCGGCGGCGGCGCGGCCGCCATGGCCTTGTTGAGCGCCCGCAGGTCCGTGTCGAACCGCAGAAGGTCGCCGTCAAACGACGTCTGCGCTGCCTGCAGCTCTGCAATGCTCTGCTTGATGGCGTCCCGCAGCGCCTCCACGCCCGCCTCGTCCACAAAGTCCAGCAGCGTCCGCGGCGCCTCGCCCGCCGGCCGGAACACGGCCGCCACCGTCGTCGCCCGCAGAATCTCCATCGTGTGCTCGAGCTGTTCGTTGGCCGCGTCGAGCGTGCGGATCAGCATCCGGAAGTCGCGCCGGCCCGCATCGTACGCCCGGCTCATGCCCCGGCGGATCTGCAGGAGGATGGCCGCCTGCTGGCGGATGCCGTTCCGCAGAAACCCCGTCCTGGCCGCCTCGGTCATGGCCCCCGTGTACAGCTGCCGTGCTTCCGTCGCGAGCTCGTTGCTGCGCAGCACCTGGCTGATCGTGCCGAGCGCGCGGCGCGCGGCCAGCAAGTGCTCGACCAGCGTCTCGACGGGCACCACCGACGTCGACGAGGCGCCGCCGCTGCCGACGCTTGCACCGGTCCCGGGTCTCGTGCCGTCGTCGTATCGGCTGTGGCGGCTGTCGTGGCTGCTCGCGTAGCGGCTGTGGTTGTCGGCATCGTCGTCGGTATGGCTTCTGTGGCTCCTGTAGCTGTGGTTGTCATTCGCGTCGTCGCCGCCAACGCTGCTGTTGCGTCGATCCGATCGCCGTGACCGTGAGCTCGCCTGTGATGGCGGCCGGTACGGCACATTTCCACGCCGGCCTGGCATAGTCAGTCGTTGATGACTCTGAACAGCCTGGACGGAGATGGGATTGTGTTGCAAGAAGGTGAAAGGAACGGGGGCCAGGGGAGCTACAGCAGAGGTAGCCTTGCTGTGGCCCCGCTTTTGATACGGCAGAACTAGATCACACGCTCACCGCCCGCGCATGACGTCGTTTGCAAGGTCACGTGCACTTCCAAAGACAGTGATCAAAACGACTTACACGACGACGATGTGTTGGATTCGCATAGTTATGTGGACAATGGCTTGTTTAATCGTTTTATACGCTATATGGTGATTTGGGCCCGTCGTTCTTTTAGAGATAATACAAAAGATAATACAAAACGAGTTGTTTGGATGTATAGTATTTTTTTTGGATTATTTATTGAAGAAAAAGAAATTAATGCAAACTACAACAAAATAGGTATCGTGATCGAAATCAAAAGCAATTCTTGCCTGGCTGTCACTGTCATCCATGATGTGTTGTCCTCTTGTCCCCCCCAGTTGGTTGTACTCGTCTCCACCAAGCTCGATGGCGTCTGTGCCGTTCGTCGTGACATGACGTAGATACCTGGATCCGTAAATTGACAAGCATCTTCATCTTGACGTCCACTGACGGAGACGGTGCTTGTATACCGTAGCAGGATCGTCTACGTATTGGAGTGTCCTGTATAGACGCTGTTAGGGTGCGCGGAATAATGACTACGTCTACCAGTAGAGTTTCGAGCAGTGACTTGCCCGGATTTGCAGTCCTCTGGAAGGTTCGCCAGAAGAGTGAAGGAAAATGAAGAAAGAAAACAATTCCAAAAAGTTCAAAGCAATATATTACCCCAGAAGGCCTTTTGTGTCCGAGGCCGCCCTCGCAGAAACAATGCTATGTAGGTACAACAAATTTGACGAGTGCCATGAAGGTGGGAAGTCTCTTTGGCGTCAGATGCGTTGACCAAAGATAAGATCCAAATGTGAAACGAGAAAAACGAGAAATCAAACGCTTTTTCAGTCCCTTCCGTACAACGACTCCATGGCACGAGGCTTAGAAGCTCAGAGACTCCGCCTCGGCGTGCTTGTTGCGGTTCGTGTAGTCGACGACCATCTTCACCTTCTCCTTGGTGGCGGCCTTCTTGGACGGCTTCATGCGCGTGACGCGGCCGCGCTTGCGCTTGTCGCCAATCAGCTTCACCTTGTACTTTTTCTTCTTGCCGTCGTCGTCGGACTCTTCCTCTCCCGACTCGTCGTCCTCGTCTTCGTCCTCATCGTCGTCGTCCTCTTCCTCATCGTCGTCATCGTCGACCGAGCCCTCGCCAAGCCAGTCTTCAATGTCCCCGACCTCTTCGTCGCTCTCGTCAAAGTCGCTGACGTATTCCACGTCGCCGCCGTCGGACAGGTCGTCCGCATCCTCACCATGCCGCAGCGACTGGGCCTGCCGCGTCGCCTTCTTGGTCTTGACGCCCTCGTACTCTTCCTCGAGCTCCTCCTCCTCGTCATCGTCATCGCTGCCCTCCTCCTCCTCCTCAATGCCCTTGTCCATGTCCTTGTCGCGCGTCGCGCCGTCCTCCCGCTCCATCGCCGTCAGCACCTTCTTCCAGATGGTCTCGCTCACATTGAGCGGCTCGTGGCCGTACGTGCCCGACCGCAGCCGCTGCAGCAGCTCGCGCTCAATCGTCTTCTCCAGCTGCGCCGCCGACTCGGCCTTGCGCTCGCGCGCCCGCTCGCGGTGCCGCACCTTGGGCGCCAGCTTGGCCACCGTCGTCTCGCCGAGCCGCGCCTCCTCCTTGGCAATCTTGCGCATGCGGATGGCGACCTGCGTGAGGCGCGTGAGCCGCTGCTTGTTCTTGTGGATCAGGAACTTGGGCCAGTAGATGAGGCGGTCGTCGATCTGTTGCAGGGCCTCGGCGTAGTTTTGGGAGAGGCGGATGCGCTCCCACAGCTTCGACGGCAGATGGGCACGCTCGACGGTCTTCATGTACAGGTACAAACGGCCGGCTGGGCAGCAGAGAAGGGGCTGTTAGCGTTCGGTCTCGTGCCGTTTCTGTCTGGGGTGTTTGTGTTTTTCACGTACTCTCTGGGTTGGCGCGGACGGTGGCATATCGTGAGTTGGCCAGCGGACAGGCCTGCCGCGAGCAGAAACCTGTGACGTTGTATTCATTGTGGCAGAAGTTCTGGCCGCTCGGTGCTCTATGACAGGTTGTTAGAAGGAGACAAGGGCGAATCGGTGCGACAACGTGCAAAACTGAGCAAAATACAAAGGCACGCACTTGAGCTTATACGAGCAAAACTGCTTGTCAATAATGCCCCAAATAATCTCGTCGGACGCCATCGTCGGTTGTGCCGATCCGTGGCCCGTCGATCAGGAAAGAGTCGGTCCGCTTGTTCGGAGGGGAGAGGAGGTGGTCGTAGGGAAAACTGTTGTCGAAAGAGCAACGAAATCGACGGTGCAGCAGAAAATTAAGTTTGGAATATGGAGATGCGTCTGCCGCTGCATAGAGCAGGGAGAACTCAAGGCGAAAAAAATGAAAAACGAGCTAAAACTTTTTGGCGGTGGGCAGTTCTGCCGGGCGGTGTGTCAGGATGAGGACAAGTGGGGCATGTCTGTCCTGTAAAGTGGAAGGTACGGAGACGACAGAGGCTAAAGCTGTGATTGGTTCACAAAGTCTCACCAGAACGGCAGCCGCGACTTACACCGACCAGTGTTGACGTATGGGGCTCGCAGTGTTCTTTCGTCATAATTACGTTTGTACGTTGTTTATGACATTTTATTTACTGCACACATTTCCCCTTCCAGGGGTTTGGATATGTATCTGTGCTTAGGACTGTTTCGAAACGTGCACATGGCTCACGTTTGAGCCTCACAAAGGGAGAGCGGTCGAAAAAGTGATGCATCACCAGCAGTGCTGAGGTCAGAATGCTGTTGGTCAGAGACCATACAATCCTGCCAATAGTAGACAGAGGACAAAGATATGCATGCAGTAATGAACGAGAATCCCCGTCTTTTTCACGGAACTAATGCGGCCTGGCACGAGAGCGTGGCCAGAGCTGACGGAGAACTGCAGGACGATTCGCGGACAATGCAAGCCATGATGCACTCCTACTTGACGATATGTCATGAAACAACTGCTCAACGTGGCGGGATCTGCTCCGCCATTGTTTGGCTGCAGCTCCGTTCTCTGGCGGCAGTTTCAGGTATTTTGTCAGTCCATCACAAGTGACCATCAAGTCACTGTACCGGTCTGCCAACCTTTGTTGAATGTCTTCATTTTCCGCGAAGGAGAAGTATACGACAGAGAAGACTGTATAGAGTGAAAAAGTGACAGAAGCCGTAGCAAGACAACATGGAGAGAGTAAAGCTAGCACGGTATCGGAAGCGTCATTCTGGTATAAAGGCAACGTCAGATCTCCTTCTCCCTGGACATGCTGCTGTTCTTCAAATCATCTAAACAAGACCACAAAAGAACACGAAACACCAAACCATCAATACATTACCTCAAAATCCAGAACTTCAGAGAACCAGAACTCAAGGCAAGGCACACTTCCTTTGTCGTCTTCATATGGTGCAGACTGACTAACACAAGTATCACGACAGACACCATGGCCCATACCGACCACCACTGCCCCGGTCGCAAGGGCAAGAATGGTTGCCGCCGCATTAAGCTTGGCAAGCTGTCCTTTTGCCGCGTGCACCAGATTGCGTGCCTTGTGCACATGTTCTACCACATGCGTTGGGAGCCGTGCGCCAAGTGCCGGGGCAACAACAGAGTGAAAGCCACGGCGGACGAGCCTGTCAAAGCGGTCAAGACGACCAAGAAGCGGCAGTGGTCGTTCTGGAAGGGCGGCAAGAAAGGTGGAAAGAAGAACTGAGTCGACGGTCGAAGCCATGCCCCAGAGCATGAGAAACATCACTACCCTTTCCTTAGCTAGACAGACTGTGCACCTTTCGAGACGTGCTCACCTGGGCGGAACAAGAGAACATACTGTGGAGGACGATATATTCTTGGATTGTACCTAGCTTGAATCAACAAACGCGCCTCTCTATTGCGGCAATGAAATTTGTGAGAATATAATTTGCAGCTTCACTGTGGCACACTTGCTTACGTTATGGCTTCGGACCATCGTACCTTCCTATCTAGAAATATTTTCTAGAAGACGCAAGATGGAGAGTCACTACCTTATATGGAAGGGGCCGTGTGTATCACTACTTCCGTTTTATCGGTAGTGCGTGACTCCTTCCCGAAACGCTGCACTATCGTAATGTCACCATGTTGCCTCCTTTTCCTTGGGGCTTTCTCCATTGTCCCAAACAGAAAGAGCGATGGGTGGTTTCTGTGGACTTGAAAAATTTGCGTCCATCGTTCTGTGCAATGTCTATCCCTCTACTCTCACAGCTCCCTCCCATCAATCGTTGCTCACTTTGACCGTGTCCGACATGTCCGGCACATTGAGCTTGCGCGCCTCTGTCAGGTCCTGGAGTCCTGTCCGCCGGAGCACGTCCACTGTCGCGTCATAGTGCTCCTCCGCATACGCCTCGGCGTCGTGGCCCAGCACCCACGCCTCTCGCCGCAGGCGCATGGCCTCCGGGTTCGCACGGATGGCGTCCATGTCGGTCTTGTGCCACGTGTCCCGCGTCGTCTCGCCCGTCTTCTGGGCGGCCCGCACGCGCTCGTAGCGCAGGGCCTCGAACGCCGCAATGGCCTCGGGCACAAGGGCGGCCGAGCCGGCACGGCGCAGCGTCACACCGAGCGTCACGCCGTCCTCGACGGCCTGGCTGGCGCCCTGGATGGAGGTCGGCAGGAACGGATGGGCGGCGTCGCCAAGGAGGGCGATGCGGCGGTGCGGGCTGGTCCAGGTGGGCAGCGGGTCCCGGTACACCAGTTTCCAGTCGACGAGCGGTTCCGGCGTCAGGTCCAGGATGCGCTGGACCACGGGGTCCCAGCCGGCCAGCACCTTGCGCGCATCGGCCACGGGGGCCTCGAGCTGCCAGCTCTCGTCAATGTCGGCGACGTCCTTGTGCGTGCAGACCCAGGAGAAGCTGCCCTTTTTGAGAGAGGCGGCAATGAAATGCACGTCCGGGCCGATCCAGCAAATGTGCTGGTCGCCGTCTGGGTTGTTGTAGAAGAAGGACGTCAGCGGGTCCTTGGCGATCGCGGCGCCGTCAAACCACGCGCGGTACACCGCATAGCCCGAGGCCAGCGGCTTGTCCTCGTGGCCCAGGACGAGCGTGCGGCCCAGCGAGCGCACACCGTCGGCGGCCAGCACGACGTCGCCCTCGATGCGCTTCGTCGCCTTCCTGCCGTCGACGTCCACCTCGACGTCCACCGCTGCCGTGTCGGCCGTCTCATGGTACTGCACGACGCGGTGGCCCAGCCGAATGTCAATCCCGAGATCCTGTTCGGCATAGTCCAGCATCACGCCGTGCAGCTCGCCCCGATGGCCGTCGTACCGCGTGCCCCAGAGCTGCTTCTCCTCGGCCCACTCCTGCCGCAGCAGCGGGTGCCCGTCAAACGTCTTGATCTGCAGGCTGTTGGCGCGGTGGCTCAGCGGCTCAATCTTCTCGGCGACGCCGGGCCACCGTCGAAAAATACGGCTCGAGTTCTGGCCGAAGCTGATGATGTCGCCGAGCTCCTTGCGCACGGGAAACTTTTCGAGCACCGTGACCGTGTGGCCCTGGCGGTGGCACTCAATGGCGGCTGTCAGGCCTGCAAAGCCGGTGCCGACGACGATGACGCGGATGCCCGTCTTGGGTGCGGTCGGGTTGGTTGACCCCATCGTGGTGTGTGCAATGGGATGTCGGTGAGTTGATCGTGTTTAGGTTCTGGAGTTGGCGAACAAACGTGTTACGAGTGTACGATTTCCCTTCACTCTATTCGTCTCCATCTGTAGGCTAACAGTGTCACAGCGAACAGGGTCGTATTAGAGCACGGGCAAATCGGCCTTGGTGTTGATCGCGAGCGGAGCGATCCAGCCCGGCAGCATCCACGCGACGAAATGCTGGTTAGCTGACGTTTAGTCGTCTTACTGAGCTCTGACAAACGCCGAACTGTCCCCGTCGCACCTCAATTTGCAGACGCAACGCCCTCCGAATTGCGAGAGCAGCCTCGTCTTGCCTGGCAGCTATGGAGTCTTATGAACATGGCTTGCGTGGCCAAAGAATGAAGCTTTCCCCGGGAACTTATTCTCCGGAGTCGTCCCTCAATCACATTCCCCCCCAACTCTAGTTTCTTCTCCAACAAACAAACCGACGCGCCAGAGGATGGAAAAGGATGAAAGCAAATGCTGGGGAAGAGGGGCGCCAAGCAACTTTGGGCGGAACAGGGGTGGGCGGGAGCGAACATATGAGGATACCATGGAGGGTTGCATCGGTGCTGCTTTTCCCCTTTCGTCGTCTCCTCACACTCGGCAGTTGTGCCGCAACGATAACTTACACAGGACAACACGGTTGTTTACCTCGTTGGCCATTGCGGGCGATGCGACATCAACGAAGCAATCGGACAAGCAACGCTGCACCAGAGGGGACGGGCCACAAAGGATGACGGCAGAGACTGACCGGCTGTACGGGCCTTGTGTCTTCATTTCGTGTCGAGATGGATGTTGACTTAGTCGAACGGAGTAATTACTTATGTCCCGCAAGCATTCTGCCAATCGTTCAAATTTGGAGAATCACCGCAGCGGTTCAATGCACAGTGAGCCACCCAGAGACGGAACACGACAGGAGAGTCTTCTGGCGACATCCACGGCCCATTGATTGCTCTGCAGTCCGCGACGGGCTTCCATTTCCAGCGAATTTACGACCGATCATTCACAACCGTTTCGCTGGGGGATAGACAGGATACACGACCTGGTATGCAGAGACTGGACCGCCAATTTCTCAGGCTCGCATGGCCCCGGCCGTCTCATGATCGTCGAACGCGATGTTGCTGTCTCTCCACTCGGTCTAATGTTACCGTTTAACAACTTTGGCCACTGGCGAGGTTGCTGCCCATGTTTTGTCAGTTCTTACGTGTTGCCATCGCCACCAAGCGATCGTTTCCGACTGCCCCTTTTGCGTTCTCGCTGTTTTGTCATTAACATAGCCTTTCACACCATCCAAATCACACCCTGCCTTGCATCTCGGGACGCACCCAGATATATAACCAAGCCCACGATCCAGGACTGCCGTCATCCTTCGGACGTCAGCATCAGACTCGGCCTTCTTACACTCTCGTGAGAGATATCATCATTTTATTGTGAATTGTCTCTCGCTGGTACCCTACCAATACCGCAATGGTGTGGGGCATCTTGGAGACCCCTAAAGGGGCCCATGTTCCAGGCACAGGTATGACGCCCGTTCTTTCTTACGATGATCCCAAAGGAGTGGCCTGCTGAATAAGTAACTGCTTCAGTCGTCCTGGCCGACCGCTCTGAACTCCCGCCCGAGTACGCACACATCCCGCCCGACCAGCTCCGCCATGGTACCGGCCACTTTTCAAATGTCGTGCTGTCGCCGCAGCCGACCAGCTCGCCCAACGATCCTCTGAACGTGAGCTACCCAAGATGGGAGATACCAAAGCAGCGTACTGCACCGTGCTGCACCGTATACTGACAAGGATAGTGGCCCGTCTGGAAAAAAGACCTCGTGTTGCTCATCACCGGCTTGTCGGCGGGCGTGGTCGGCGCCTACGGCCCCATGCTGTCGCCCGGCTTCGTTGTCATTGCGGCGGACCTGGGGATCGACACCAACACGCTGTCCCAGGCCACCGCCTGGGTCGTCCTTGTCATTGGCCTTTCCCTCTTTGTGTTCAATCCCATGGCCAAGAAGATGGGCCGCCGTCCCGTCTACATTGCCTGCTCGATCATCATGTTCTCGGCCAGCCTCTGGGGCGGCCTCTCCACGGGCTACAACTCGTTTCTGGGCAGCCGCATCTGGGGCGCGTTCGGCATGGCGCCGTACGAGGTGCTCGTGCAGTGCACGATCGCCGACCTGTACTTTGTGCACCAGCGGGCGACGCGGATTGCCGTGTGGAACATGTTTCTGCTGTGCGGCATCGCGGGCGGGGCGCTGATTGCGGGCTACATTATCGAGAACCAGGGCTGGCACTGGACCTTTCTGTGGTGCGCGATCCTGTTTGGCGCGCTGCTCCCGCTGGTGTTTCTGTTTGTGCCGGAGACCGCCTACGTGCGTCTGCCGCTCGCCCAGCGCTTCCCGGTGCCGCCGCAACCCGGTGAACGTGAGAAGACGGAACTGGCCGACGCTGCCGCGACGAGTGAAGTGGAAAAGACGAGTGCCACTGGTGGGCCGGTTCCGATCGACCCCGAGTCGGCGTCGGCTGCAGCCGCCACGGCACCCACGGAGGCGAAGCACAGCTTCTGGCGCTCCCTGCGCGTCTTCACGGGCATCTACTCGACGACGGCGCCGCTGCGCATCTTCCTGCGCCCTTTTGTCATTTTCTTTTACCCAGGCGTGTTTTGGGGCTTTCTGCTGTACGGCGCCACCCTCACGTGGATTGTCGTCTTCAGTGTCGTCAACGCTGGCATCTTTACGGAGGCGCCGTACAATTTCTCCGTCTCCCAAACGGGTCTCATCTCCCTCTCGCCGTTTGTCTTTACCCTGCTGGGCGAAGCCATCAGCGGTCCCCTCAACGACCGCATAACTGTCTGGCTTGCGCGCAAGAACGGCGGCATCTACGAGCCCGAGTTCCGGCTTCCCCTCGTCGTGATGCCGCTCGTCATTGGCGCCGTCGGCTTCTACGGGTTTGGCATCACGATCCACTACCAGACGCACTGGAGCGGCCCTGTGCTGTGCTTTGGTCTGGCCAACATGGCGGTGGCCTGCCTGAACGCGTCGGTGTTTCCGTACATTCTGGACGCGCACAACGAGCTCAGCGAAGAGGCGTTTGTGGCCATCAATGCGCGCAATTTCCTGACGTTCGGCCTGACCTACTTTGTCAACAACTGGCTGCGCCACTCGGGCGCGCTCAACGTGTTTCTGGTGCTCGGCAGCATCTACGTGGCCGTGATTCTCACCACCATTCCGCTGTGGGTGTTTGGCAAGCGGGCGCGCTTCTACATTGCCCACAACCAGTTTCTGCAAACGTTTATGCACGAGGATTGAGGAGGGCGAGGAACGTAGTGGGATCTAGGAACGTGTCAAACAGACTACTAATATAGAGTATAAACTGCGTGCAACACAGCATCTACAAGTTGTCGGCCCTTCCTATGTACATCACGCTTCACGGCTGTCTCCGTCTATGCCCCAATGTTGGCCAGCCCGCCACAGGCCTGCACCACCGTGCTCTGCCGTCGTCGGCGTGCCCGTCGCGCCCGCTCCCACACGGCCAGTCCGGACATGACGGCCATCAATGCCCAGCGCTCGCCCAGCTGGCCCGACGCGCCGCTCCCGAGAAAGGTAAAGCGGGCCACGGTCTGGGTGCGCGACGCGTCGCTCGAGTCGTCGTCGTCGTCGTCGTCCCCGTCCCCTCGGCGCTGTGTCGCCCACAGGGCCACAATCTCGCGGCCGTCGGATGTCCGCCGTCGAGCAGCCGCGCGACCGGCTTCGTCGGCAATCAGCTGATCGAGGACGAGGTCGGACACAATGGACGAGGGCCGCGAGGGCGTCGCCGCTGTAGACGTGGTCCGCGTGGAGGACTGGACGGCCTGGACGGCCCGGATGGCCTCGGCCAAGGGATCCGTGGACTCGGCGAGGCGGACGAGCTGCCAGCCGGCGTGCCAGCAGGGTGGTGTTGGGTGTGTGTAGGCCTTCTTTTGTGCCACAGGCACAGGCACAGCACCGGTCGACCGCCGCGACAGGGCCCGTCGCAGCAGCTGGCCTGCTTTGACACTGGCGCGTCGCAGCGGTGCGCCCGGCGCCACCACACGATCGCCGCCGCCCCCCGCAGCGACAGGCACCGACGCGTCGTCGTCCAAGGCGCGCAGCTCGGCGCCCGAGCAGTATCGCCACTCAAAGGCCTCCCGGCGGGACGGACGGCGGCCGCTCACGAAACTGGCCGGCCCGTCGGCCTCCGTCTCCACGTCGACTTCGAACCGGTACCGCGTGTGCCAGCCAAGATGGGCGTGCAGCGTTTCTTCCGTACGGCCCGCAGGAACGTCGTCGTCGTCCTCTAGTGGCTGGTGCCCTGTTGTCCGCCGGCGGGCCACGGGCGGCAGCCCGATGGTGATGTTGCCCAGCGATCGGATGGACTTGACCGACGGCGACAGCCGCCCAAACTGCACATCCGCCCACGCGCCGTCGCGGTCGGCGTCCAGGCCACCGTAGAGCACCACCGGTGGCCGGCCCATCGACGCGTGGTCGTGGTGGCGGTGGTGGTGGTGCAGTCGGCAGGCATACAGCGGCGGGTTCGCAAAGGGCCAGGACGCACCCGCGCTGCGGCCCCTCTGGCTGTGATGCCGCGTGACGCGTCGCCCGCCACCGCCGAGGTAGTAGGTGACGCCGTCGTCGTGGTTGAACACGTCAAAGACGGTCGGAAAGGCCGGCTGGAGGGCCGTGGCATAGCCGTAGACGGGCGCGTCGTAGTAGGCGTCAAAGGACACGTCGCGTCGGGGCGGGGCCGACGAGGCACCGGACGGCCCATCCGCATCCTCTCGCACGGTTGACGCGAGAGAGCACGTCGATGCGTTGAGCGACGTGTACGAACCCCTGTCCGGTCGGCCGTCGTTGGCCTCGACACAGACCCGGTCGTCAAGGCATGTCGGAGACGGAAGAAGGCTCTCTGTCAGCGAAGCATCGGCGACGTCATCGCTGATGGTGTCAAACGGGCTCAGCGCCTTTTCGTCCATGCTGGACACGTCGTCCGAGCTGTCCGAGTCCCATGCAGTGTCTTCCATGTCCACTGTCGCGTGCTCGAGGATGCCGCACAAGTCGGCCGCGTCGACGCCGTTCTTGACGTCCATGTCGATCCCGCTGTCTCGCATCGTGTCGTCGACGCGGCCACCGAGGGTCGCCCGCACCACGGATGGCACTGCGACAGCCGCCATTTTTTTGAGGATAGGAAAGCCTCCAAAACGCGAGATTGCCATCGAGGAAAGCGGAAGCAGGAGAGGGTGCAAGACGGGAGAAGGAGGATTATATTGGACAAATAGAGGAACAGCCCAGAAATTGCGGAGTGTCCCAACGGGGTGGGTGTGCCTTAGCGTGGTGGTTATTACTATAAGGCAATAAGGATAATGGGGAAGAAGCCAGGAATACGGACTGCACATATCCTATTTCCTGGCTGGACTTGTCAGGGCATCATGACGGTCTTTATACAAGTGCGTTCGACTCGCTGTGTATCTATCGGATCGTGAACGAGAGACAAGGCAGAATCAACAAAAGACAGGAAGAGAAAGAAATGACGCACGCTGACGGTTGCTGGCCGACTTGTCGTCTGCCGACTTGTCTTCCATTTCCCCATTTAGAACAAACTGTTGACGGCCTCTGTTGTCGTGCTGTCGTGCTGTCGTGCTGTCGTGCTGTCGTGTCTTTGGAGACTCGATGATCGACCTGCCTTTCATCAGCCACCACATCTTCACTCTCGGTTGCTGTTCCGTGTCGATCGTCTTTATTGCGTGATTTAGTAGCTCTTGATTTTGTTCTATTTTGGATTGTATTTCCACCATCTCCACGCCCATTGCAGTCCACGGCTATACATTCTCACTTACACCGCCAACAAAGACAAAAGACACGGCATGGAAAGGCCCGCCCGTGTGCCTGCCAATGCACAAGTTTATGCAGCAACTGTGCACTGTGCACTGTTGTCGAATGGGCCCGTCACGGAAGAGCAGCACAGATTAGATTGCGCATGGGCGCATGTCGACGCAGTGGTGCTGGCGAACGGAGAAAAGTGCACTGCCCCTGGGGATCGACCAGATCGTCCCGGTCAATGCACAAAGCAGTACCCGGACGGGTCCGTTGGGGAAGCCACGAGCAGCCGCCCATCAGCCGTTCCTCCTGGCGATCATTTATGCGGCTGAGTTTGTACATCCCCCACATAATACGACCGTAATAAAGCAATGGGGATCATAACAAAAAGTAAAAATAAAATAAAATAAAATAAAAAAAGCATTGACAACTATTTTGAGCAAGCTTTTTTCTTTCGTCTGGCCCACGCATCTCACACTCTACTCCCAGTAGTAGGACAGAATGTCGAGCCCCATAAAGTCGTCTGTGAACAGCTTGCCGGCCTCGTTGCCCGCGGCGCCCGCGCACACAATCAGCGGCAAAAAGTGCTCGGCGCCGCCGCGCGGGTGCGTCACATAGGCCATGGGGAAGTCGCGCCACTTCTCGAACAGGGCCGCGCGGCGGGCCGCGTCGGGCTCGGTGGCGGCCGCGGTGACGGCGGCGTTCCAGTCCTTGAGCTGGGCCGCGGTCCGGGGGTCGCGCGCGATGCCCGAGAACATGAGCCCCAGGTTGTGGAAGCTGGCGAAGCCGGAGCCGACGAGGGCGACGTTCTCGTCGCGCAGCGGCGCCAGCGCCTGGCCCATGCGGAAGTGCGCCGCCGGGTCCTCGCCGGCGAGCACGCTGACCTGCACGACGGGGATGTCGGCCGCCGGGTGCGCGAGCAGCAGCGGCACGAACACGCCGTGGTCCCAGCCGCGCGTGTCGTCGAGGGCGGGCGCGAAGCCGCCCGCCTGGGCCAGCAGCTCGGCCACGCGCTGCGCCACCGCGGGCGACCCGGGCGCGTCGTATTTGAGGCGGTACGCGGCGGCGGGGAAGCCGCCAAAGTCGTAGAGCAGCTTCGGCCGGGCGCCGGACGAGACGTGGGGCACGCGCTCCGACCAGTGGGCCGTCACGACGACAATGGCCTTGGGCCGCCGCTCGGTGCTGTTGAGGCCCAGGATCGACGGCACGCGCTCGCGCAGGCTCCGGCTGATGTCGGCGTGGCTGGGGTCGCCGAGCACGGGCATGGGCCCGCCGCCGTGCGACAGGGCGACGACTGCGGCGCGGGGCATGTTGGGGGGAGACGACGTGGGAGCGGAGGACGACGAAAAGGACGAAAAGGACGAAAAGAGAGGCTGCGTCTTGGCTTTGTAGGCGAGAAAGGTGGCGCCGGCGGCGGTCAGGAGGATGGCCGGGACGCGCGCAGAGAGCCGCATGGGCGGCGCGGCCAGCGGACGGAGGAGCGCGAGCGAAATGGTGGACGATGGTGGACGGCAGGCGACGAGAGGCACAGAGCAGTTGATACGACGTGGCAACGTTGAAAGAACGCAAGACAGAGATGACGTATAGGCCAGGGGAAAACGGCCTGTCCCGTATATATATCCTCCGATGCGCTCGGAAGCAAGAGCTCCAGTGGCCGTGCTCCGCTGTAGCTTGCGGGCGCTAGCACAGTCTCCACTGGGGGCTGTGGCCCTGGAATTTAGTGGCGGAGTGCAACATACGCAGACACAGGCGTATTAGTAGGCAATGTGTAAGCAAGTGTGCGGGCGAATGCTGGGGGCCACTGAAACATCTGCTGACGGATATCGGGTCGGCCAAAGTTGTGCGCACGGCCGCGATCGTCACATAAATCGGCCGAAATGGACGTCGGACGGACGAAGTGTGAGAGTCATGCACGTCGTACTTTGCGTTACAAAATAGGTTATATCTCGGCTGGGGATGTCATATGGGATTGTTTATTCGTCTGAGACGTATGTATTTCGGTTATTATATTTCTCAAAGAATAAATTCGAGAGCAATTATACACAGTGGATTGGATTGAGAACACATCAACACAACAACAGCACCGCCTCACCGCCTCACCGCCGCTCTCCTCTCCCCTCGCCCCTCTCTTTCCGCCCTCACGCATCGTTGACGTGCTGCACCTGCGGCAGGTCGCCCTCGCCGTCGACGTCCTTGTCGCGCGCATGCGCCATGGCCTGCGTGTCGGCGCAGACGTAGCCCTTGAACTGGCGCGCGGGCACGCCGGCCTCAAACATCTCGTGGATCTCCTCGAGCGTGCGGTCGCGCGTCTCGGGGACAAAGACCCACGTGAAGACGAAGAGGATGGCGTTGCTGCCGAACCAGATGTAGCCGTACTTGGCGCTCCAGCCGAGCGACGCCGGGTTGATAAAGTAGGGCGCCGTGAAGACGGCGAGCCAGTTGCCCAGGAAATTCATGGCCGTGGCCACGCCGTACGTGTGCGCGCGGAACGCGTTGTTGGGGTACTCGCCGCCGAGCAGCCAGGCGTAGGGCGCGTAGGCCACGTAGAAAAAGGTAAAGAGCGTGATGAAGGCGACCATGACGCGGCCGGTGGCGGCCGCGCCGGGCGCGACGGTCCAGGCGATGGCAAAGGCCAGCTGGCAGAGGCCGCAGGCGGCGACGCCGACCATGACGATGGCGCGGCGGTCGACGCGGCGCACAATGGAGATGCTGGCGAGGACGCCGAGCAGGCCGAAGCAGGTCATCATGATGGAGTAGGCAAAGGCGTTCTCGATGCCGGCGACGGTCAGAAAGTACGTCGTGTAGATGTTGATCCACGACGACCCGTTGGCCGAGTGGAAGCAGATGATGGCAATGGACAGCAGGCTGCGCCGCCGGTTGACGCCCCGCCACATCTCGATCCACAGCCGCTTGCCCTCTGTCTTCTGCAGCTGGTCGCGCGTCGACGCTCGGATCTCGTTGAGCTCGCCCTGGAACTCGGCCTCGTCAATCGCCGCGTTGCGCAGCCGCCGCAGCGCCGCCGTCGCCTCGGCCTCGCGGCCCTGCGTCATCAGCCAGCGCGGGCTCTCCGGGAAAAAGGCGAGCGCCACGCACTGGATGGTCGGCACCACGAAGAAGACGGCCAGCGGGATGCGGTACGCGTTCTTCGTCAGCAGCGTCTTGGTGCCGTAGTCGACGGCCGCGCCGACAATCGAGCCCATCGACAGCTGGCACTGGTAGATGGCAAACACGAGGCCGCGCAGGTGCGCCGGCGCCGCCTCGTTGACGTAGATCTGGCCAAACGTCAGGAACCAGCCGACCGAGATGCCCAGCAGGAACCGCGCCACGTACAGCGCCGCCAGGCTCGTCGAGCCCATCATGATGGCCGTCGCCACAAAGTTGAGCAGCGACGCAATCCAGAGCGCCGGCCGCCGCCCGAAGCGCGCGCTGTACGGCCCGATCAGCAGCGAGCCGACAAACGTGCCGATGGTCATGAGCGACGAGATGAGCTGCTGCACCGTCGTGTCGATGGCCAGCTTCTGCGTGTGCTCGTCGTAGTAGCCAAACACCTTGAGGAAGCCCGGCATCGCCATGAAGCCGCCCACCAGCGCATAGTCGAGGCCGTACTGGAAGCTGGCCAGCGTCACGAGGCAGCAGATGGCCAGGCACTTCTTGTGGCTGCCGACGTCCAGCCGCAGCGGGTTGGCCAGTTCAGCGCCACCAGCCATGATGAGGTGGAGGATGGGGCGGTTGTGGAGGGCGACGACGGTGGATATTGGAAAAACAAATACGCACGAGGCAAAAAAGAGGCTCAGAAACAGGAATCAAAAACAGTGACTGCCGCGGTCGTCTGGCAGAGTCGTCCATCCACAGAATCCATCCTCTCGCCAGAGGACCACGGGCACCTTTATGTTATGCCGTCGCGCCACGACAGCTTGCAAGGCTGCTTGGCGTCGCTTCCATTCTCCAGAGTCGTCGAACGTTGACTCCGATTTCAGCTGTTATTCCCATCCCTGGCCCTGGCAACACTGGGGAAAAACTGGGGTAGCTTGCCAGCTGTGTGCTTTTGGCGGGAAGACACAACTACCGACTCGCTGGTTGCGGGGGTCCGTCGTCTAGCTCGATGCGCGTCTCACCTCCGCACGCCGTCGGTTGACTTTCCCGTGGACACCCTGACACCTCCTGAGCGCCCCTTTCCGCCCCCTGTCTGTGTTGTTGGAGAGCGTCGCATCAAGTGCCGTTTCTTTGGTTTCGTTGCGTTTTTCGCCGCGCGACCTGCCAAGCACCCCCGCTGCCCTTGGGGTCGTCTAACGCCCGGCCTAATCCCATGCTACTCGTGCCCTTGCCCGGAAACAGAATAGAAACGGGGCCATGAACACTGCCAGCTGCGTCCATGGATCGAGCGGCATTCGTCTCGTCGCTCGAGTTTATATGGCCGTCGCTCGCTGTGGTCCAACCGACGAGCCGACGTGCGGGGGGCTGCCGAGACCTGCGCGGAGTCACACGACTGGCCAGCGGCCGGCACTTGTCCACAGGAACAGTTGGAGAGCACGGCGTCCGTGGGCGAGGGTGGATCGGCGGAAGCACACTTCCTCGGCTGGTGCTGGCCACAAGAGCGTCGTGCAACTATATCAATGCTGCCGCAGCACTCTATATTCAGATCGCAAGGCCGAGCATACAGACGCAAACCAGGCACATCTTGACGTCTTGAACAGTCTGGTCACTTGTCCGTTTGCATCACCGCACCACCGCATCACCGCATCACCGCATCACCGCATCCCATCGCCACCAACATGGGCTCCGTCGACACAACGCCGGCCCTCCGGGTCCAGCCCTTGACAAAAGGCACATCGATCGACCACCTCGACTATGTCGACGTGTCCCCCATCATCGGCCGCGAGTACCCGACCGCCAGCCTCAAGCAGATGATTGACGCGCCCAACGCCGACGAGCAGCTGCGCGACCTGGCCATTACCATCTGCGAGCGCGGCGTCGTCTTCTTCCGCGCGCCCCAGGACGACCTGTCCATTGACGAGCAAAAGGACATTACCGACCGGCTGGGCAAGCTGACGGGACGCCCCGCCGAGAACGGCCTGCATGTCCACCCGCTGTACAACGACCCCAACAACATTCCCATGGCCAACGGCCAGACGGACAAGAATATGTACGTCGTTGTGTCTCGTTGTTTTTTGTCCTCCCTTTGCTTTTTGTCCTCCCTCTGCTTTTTTTTGTGTCCTCACTCGCTGACCTCGTAGTTATGTCATCAACTCGGAGGCCCAGAAGAAGCTCTACGCCACCATGAAGAACCGCCCGGCCGCCACCGAGCCCCGCGATCTCGGCCGCGAGTGGCACAGCGACAGCCTCTTTGAGACCTGCCCGTCCGACTTTTCCTTCTTGCGCATGCAGTCCACGCCGCCCGCCGGCGGCGACACGCTGTGGGTCTCGGGCTACGAGCTGTACGACCGGCTGTCGCCGCCGTTCCGCGCCCTGTTTGAGAGCCTGACGGCCACCTGCGCCCAGCCCGTGTTCCAGTCCGCCTGCGAGGCCGGCGGCTACGACGTCATGAGCCCGCGCGGCGCGCCGCAGAACGTCGACTACGCCTTCTCGCCCGTCCACCCCGTCGTGCGCACGCACCCGGTGACCGGCTGGAAGTCGCTCTTTGCCGGCGTCGGCCTGCACGTCTCGCGCATCAACGACGTGTCCTCGTACGAGGACCAGCTGCTGCGCGACTACACCCTGCGGCTCATCACGCGCAACCACGACTGCGTCGCCCGCATGCACTGGACCCGCGGCGCCTGCGCCATCTGGAGCAACGAGTGCACGCTGCACGCGGCGACGCCGGACACCCACCTCGTCGAAGGCGTGCGGACCGGCGTGCGGGCGTCTGGCATCGGCGGCGTGCCGTACCTGGACCCGGCCAGCACGGGCCGCCGTGCGGCTCTGGGGCTGCCGCCATTTTAGGGCGGATGGGGCAGGGTGGATGGAGCAGGGTGGATGAAGCCCGCGCAGTGCTCAAGCTTTTGTCAGCAACACTCGTAGGAGCAATGACAAGTGGAAAAAAGGTCGAGGCGACAGACAAAGACGCTGCAAAGTTTGTATTTGTAAACCTTGGAGAATAGACGAGCGAGATCATCTTGCCTAATGCTGCCTAGCCACTGACTAAGGGAATAGACAACGGCGCTAATGTCGGCGGGTCTCTTGAGCAATCTTACGTCATATGCAAAGCTCGTATCTTGTGATTCTGGCCCATTGCAATTGCGGAGGATCCGGTGGTTTGCAATCGTACCGTGTGAGCGTGTGTCGCAAGCTTCGTACCCCGCAAGACTTCAGCTGCTCACGCTCCGTGTGTGATGGCGAATTCCTATTTAAGTCTTAGCACGTCTTCTTGACGTTGCCAATTGTCCCTTTTCTTTCTGTAAGCTGCCTCTCTTCTGTCCCTCCATTGACATTCGCTCACACAACATATCATGTCCAAAAAGATCATTACCGTGTTCGGCGCCACCGGCAACCAGGGCGGCTCCGTCATCAGCGCCCTGCTGGCCAGCTCGGTCCTCTCGTCGCAGTACACCATCCGCGGCGTCACGCGCGACCCGACCAAGCCGGCCGCCCAGAAGCTCGTCGCCAAGGGCGTGCAGCCCATCAAGGCCGACGTCAACGACCCGGCGTCGCTGCAGGCGGCCGTGCACGGCGTCGACGCCGTGTTTGCCGTCACCAACTACTGGGAGACCTTGTCCAAGACGACCGAGATCACGCAGGGCAAGAACATTGTCGACGCCTGCGTGGCGGGCGGCGTCAAGCACCTCGTGTGGTCGTCGCTGCCGCCCGCCACCGAGCTGACCCAGGGCGTCCTGTCGCACATCGACCACTTCGACTCCAAGGCCGAGGTGTCCGCGTACGCCGAGGCGCGCAAAAAGGAGACCGGCCTCTGGGTCACGCACTTTATGCCGGCCTACTTCATGCAGCAGAACATCAAGGGCGGCGTGCGCCCGGACCCGACGACGGGCGTGCCCACCTGGAACCAGCCGTGGTCCGCCACCGAGACGCAGATTGCCGCCATTGACATCGTGTCGGACGCGGGCAAGTACGTCGCCGGGGCCCTGGCGCTGGGCGCCGCCGCCGACGGGCAGTTCATCCAGGGCGTGTCGCAGTGGGTGACGCCGGCCGAGGTGGTGCAGACGATTTCCGACGTCACCGGGACGAAGACGGTCTTCAAGGAGGTGCCCATCGACGCGTGGAGGGAGAGCGTGCCCGGCCCCGCGTTCGTCCAGGACGAGCTGGCCGAGAACATGCAGCTGATTCGCGACTACAGCTACTATGGCAACGACGCCAAGGGCAAGCAGGCGGACCACGACAAGTACATTGAAGCCGTCGCCGGCCAGAAGCTGACCAGTCTTGCCGAGTTTGTCAAGGCCAACTGGTAGCGTGGGTGTTGGTGGTGTTGGTGCTGTCAGTGTCGACGTTCGTCGTAGTGCAACTACTCCATAGTCATATGCATCACGGTCCCATTGTGTTTGTTCGGTCCTGTTATGAACTGCTTGTGTTGACGTTGAAGTTGACAGCCGAGACGTTTGGTGCTGACTGTCTTTGTGTTTGGTTCCACGTCGTATTTGTTGACTGTGCGTAAGCAAGAAGAATGTCCGTAATGGGAAGGTAAGATGGCACGCGACAGGCACAGACGGAAAGAACGGCAAGCGGCTCAACATGCAAGAGCGACTCGCAGCGTCATTCTGCCGACCGCCACCGCTTTATTCTCGTCGGTCTGAAGTCTGTGGAATGTCGCGCCTGAATGGCCCAGTTTGCCAGTGGTCTGTCGACAAGCTCGAGCCCCCCTCCGCCTGTCCCTTTTGATCGACCGAGCCATCGGTGGGTGTCCTGTGTAAGACGGACAGGGCATGCAGCCTGGTTTGCCCACTACATTTTTGGTCGATCTGCGGAGAGTGGAGCCCCCAGCACGCTCTCTCCGCCCACTAAACTGCACATAGTGCACCCACGTGGGCACGACGGATCGCTGACATTGGCGACGGCGATGTTCTTTGTTTTGCACGACAAAGGCCCAGGAACCAGGACAGGCCAGCCTCGACACGCATCCAATGAGGCGGCCTGCATTACCCGTGCAGCGCCATTAAACTACACGACTCGCCTCGACAGGGGTCTGCCATGTGCAGGATGGAGCTGCACGACAAGATGTCTCTTCTCGATTTGTCTCTGTTGTCGTCCCTTTTCTCTCTCGGTATCCTGAAAGTCCTTCTGCAACCCAGCTCACGGGTAGCCTCCCCAAACCCACCATGTCCCCTGCCATTCTTTTGTTCTTTGGTACTCCATGCCCAATCATGTCTCCCTCTACAACCACATTCTCCGCCATCCATGGCTCTTGTGTTCCCCTGTTCCCCATCCACGCGTTCGATAACGGAGAACATGGCCTTGTACAGAATAGACAAGAACTAGAGAGCGGGTTGTGTAAATATGCGAGCATGGTCGCTTCTCACCTGGGCGTTAACGTTCCCAGCGGCTCGTTCGGGCGAAGATAATCTTTAAAAAAGAATTGAAGACACACACAAGAAGACAAAAACGCAGAGGCTCTCCGTTGATCTCTCCGTCGATCCTTTTCTGTCCCTCCACCCCCTCCTCCGCTTCCTCCACGGAATGCCTGTCACGCCTCACATGTCCTCTTCGCCGTTTCTGTCACCCAACCACCAGTCGCTCAACCACCGCCCGACATCGCCGTCCGCCGCCTCCCACTCCGCTTCGTCTTCGTCGTCCGCCTCGTTTTATCCATCGACACCCGCCGGCATGGCAGACTCGACCCGCACGCGCCAGCAGTATGCCCGCCTGCTCGCGGACCACGGCAACAACGACGACGACGGCGGCGGCGCCTACAGCCCGGGCAGTGCCAGCGTCGACAGTGCCAGCGAGGGCAGCATCCAGATGACATCGGCGTCGTGGCAGCAGCGCGCGGCGGCGAAACGGGCGAGGCAGGCGAGACGGGCGCGCGTGGCCCACGTTGAAAAACGGGTCGGCTGCCTGCCGCCCGCCCGCCGTTTCTGGGCCGACTTTACCCTGGGCTTCGCCGACGGCCTGACCGTGCCGTTTGCGCTGACGGCGGGGCTGTCGTCGCTGGGGCAGACGGACACGGTGGTGTACGCGGGCCTGGCCGAGGTCAGCGCAGGGTGCATCAGCATGGGCATTGGCGGCTACCTGTCGGCGCGACAGGCTGCTGCCAGACCGGGATCCACGTCGGCGTCTGAAGACGAGGCCGAGGGCAGGGAGCGGGGCCGCGACCGGGCCGACGTCGAGTCCGGCCCCGAGATGGAGGAGACCAAGGCAACGGATACGCCAGGCGCGGACAGCCTCACCACGGCGCACCGCTACCTGGCGCCGCTGGCGCTGCCGGCCGACCTGCACCGGCAGATGCTGGCCCACATTGCGTCCCAGCCGCACGTGGCCGCGAACCTCGTGGCGGCCAGCCAGTCGGCGGCGGCGCGTGCGGCCGGCGACGACGACGGCGAATACGGCTACGGCGCCGACTACTACGCGCCGCCCGCCAACGACGGCCGCGGCAGCGACGGCGACGACGGCGACGACGACGATGCTGTCTGGCCCGTGGCGGCTGGCGCGTCCGTCGCGCTGGGGTATCTGGTGGGCGGCCTGCTCCCGCTGTGGCCGTACTTTTTCGTCACGCACGTCGGCGACGGTCTGCGGTACAGCTTTGCCGTGTGCATTGTGGCCCTCTTTTTGTTTGGCTTTATCCGCGACTTTGCCCTGGACGCGCCGTCTTCCTCGTCTTCAGAACGGCCCCTCCCGGCCGGGCGCCGCCGCATGCCGTGGCGCCGGCTGTGGAAGAGCACGTTCGAGGGCGTGCAGATGGTCATTCTGGGCGGCATTGCGGCGATTGCGGCCGTGCTGTGTGTGCGGCTGTTTGAGGGCGCCAGCACGAGCGGAAGTGAGTGAGCGTGTCGCCGGGACCGAGTGGAAGGGGTGCTACATGAAACGGACAGAAACCGACGTTGGATATTTGCATAGCGAGTGGATTTATTTTGTATTTTTATTACTTGTTTAATATTGTATTGTGAATTTTTTATGGCTTGTTTCGGTGACCACGTGGCGTTTAATTCGTTTCATTTCAAGGATACTGCTCCACGCCACGGACCAAGTCTATTGAAAACAGTCTGTCCTGCTCGTCCATGTGTTCGAGTCCAGCACCGCGCGCTCTCGTTTGGTCTTGCGCTTGTTGCCAGTGCCATGTGCTATACCGTCGTGCTTGATATTGCTCAAGTTGCTACCAGTTTTGTCGTCGGCAGCGGTGGCCCGCTTCGTTGCAAACTCTCAGGGTACAGTGATGGGGGAAACTTGGCTGCCGACATGGCCGGCCAGGTGGGCGTGGGCGAGGAGGAGTGCCGGCGGAAGGGCCACGACGACCGATGCCGCGACCATCATCAGTGCGAGCCGCCGGTTCTGCGTAGAGAGTGAGCGTCGAGGAAGAGTCACAGCGTCGGCCACGGCACGGGACGAAAGGGCATACCATCGTGTCTGCGCGTTTGGCCACTGGGCTGTTGCGGTTACGCCGCCAACAGCTGCAGCCCCGGGTTCTTGGTGACGTAAAAGTAGTAGGCAACGAGGCGAAACTGCATCAAGACAATGGTCATGAGCACGACGTAGGGAAACGCTCGGACGGACGGGGACTCGAGGGCGCCGGCAGCAACGAAAACAAAGAGGCAGACGGGGAGCAGCAGCGAGACGGGGACCAGCAGCGGGGAATACGTCATGGCGTGGCCGAGCAGATGCCGGAGGGCGCTGTGGACCGAGAGGCGAAGGAAACTAAAAATGCTGTATGGAAACTTGCGATGGGAAGAGGTTTTGCAGAGAAGGCTGGAAGCGCACGCCAAAGTGGTTGTTTGAAGTGGTTGCTTTGTTGTCGTATGTAGGTCCACCAGCGGAAGGTGCGTCTTATGTCCAAGGGCGACGACGCTGTTTCCGAAAAGGGCATGCTGTGGACTGTCCCATCCGGGAAAGAGCAAGCCGAGTTGATCATGTGTTTGAGCCGGACCCTCAAGGAAACCGCCGGATGCCGGGAATCTGCGGATGGCGCGTGTGCACATAGCTCGTCCGCCGCGCCGTCGGGGGGAACCGGAGCGGCGGCGGGTTGAGGACGTAGTCGGGTGTCGTGGCCACGCCGGCCGCCCGTCGCCGCCGCTCTGCCTCGAGCTGCTGTTGCTCCGCCGCGGCCGCTGCGGCCATCATGTGCTGCATCCGGGCGGCGGCGGCCATGGACGCCGCGGGCCGCTGCCGCCGCGACACCTCTGTCGTCTCCGAGTCGCTCTCGTAGCTGACCTCGGTCTCGTAGTAGGACCGCGGCCGACGACGCCGGCGCTCCCACTGGTCGCGCTGGCGCAGCCGCTCCAGGCGCTGGCGGAAGCGGCGCTCGTCGCGGTAGGCCGCGTAGCCCTCGGAGTGGGTGAGCCAGTACCAGAAGAGGAACAGCAGGACGACAAAGGCAACGACGCCGACCAGGATGCCGCCGATCTGGCCCTGGGAGAGGCCGCCGCCGTCGGAGCCGTCGGCCGGCGCGGGTGCAACAGTGGCTGCAGCGGCTGCCAATTGTGGGGCCATTTTGTTAGTGGACGGGCGGGGTGGCCTGTAATCGTTTACGCTGTAATCGCTGTAATCGCTGTAATCGCTGTAATCGCTGTAAGCACAAAGGGACAGGGGTGAATGTGATCGAAGAATGTGAGGACGAGAACATGTATGCACAGTGCAAGTCCAAAGTCTACGATACAAACGAGACATGCCCTCCGAAATGCGACACGGAGAAGGAGGCTGCATCTATTTATTCCGCAGTACTATGAAGGAGGATTACGGTGCGCCTACAGCTGGCCGTCGTGGGGGGAAGCTGCACTGCGCAGAACGACAGCGGAAAGACAACGCGAAAAAGCCGACCACTGGCGCGACGACAATGGCGGGAAGAGACAGAGTCGCGAGAGGCGGAGGAGGGACTGTCGTGGCCAATAAGGAATGCCGGCGAATGGGCAGAGGCCGCCAGACGCTGCAAGGCGACAGGCAGCAGGCGAGGGCAAGAGGGAAGACGCCTGCGTCGAGGCTCAAAGAGGGGCGCCGTGCAGGATACCGCGCATGATGCACATGCAGCTGGTCTGCAGCCGTCTGCGTCTTATCCCGCCTTTTCCAGCGCACGTCGCGCTGCTCTGCACCCATTCTGGTCGGCGTCCCGTTGCGTGTGATGCCATCTCGCGATGTTGGGGGCCGCGAGCATCATTTGCCTGTGCAGGCGCAAGCCAAGGCTTCCCGGAAGCGGGCCCTCAACTGGAACGCCGTGCGACGCGTTTGCCAACCATCTGCTTCGGGACGGGGCGTGGTCACCGATCCTGTCTCTCTCAGAGTGCGGACAGCATAGAGCATATGCGCCCGAGGGGCATGTCATCCTCTGCGGTGTCCTGGTTAGAAAGGCTGGAGAGATTATTTTACGAGCATCCAGGCTGACGTCGCATTCTGCACGCAGATGCAGGCGACAACCAGCGAGTAACATCTCGGGATGTTGTCCGTTCAGAGACAGCAGCTGTCGAGACGTTGCGCCACTTGGACCCGCCGAGCGCTAAATGACCCGAAGACGCCAACTTTTAGCGCTTAACGGCGGACATCGGCATCACATCTTCTTCCTCGTCATCAAGAGATTCTACCCACATTGATCTCGCCAGCCCCCCGCGGCCGCCATGCACATAAAGAAGAAGAACAAGGACCGACTCTACGTCTGCCTGTACGTCCGTGGCGGCAAGGCCAAGATGCCAGGTGGCGAGGACAGGTGCGTTCGTTGCCCCTTTTTTTCTCCTCGTTCTGTCAACTCACCTCGTCAGATTCCACTGGGCACTTGTTGTTGCGCCCAAGCACCAGCAGCACGACATCTGCACCCGGTCGACCGTTGTCGGCCGCCGCTTCCACGCCAAGGAGGACATGTCCCGCGTCCCCTACACGTGGACCGTGACGGCGGAGGACGAGCAGCTCGGCACACACCAGAGCGCACGCCTGCTGACGCGTGTCCTGGTCGGCAAGGTCGGCAACCGGACCGCATTGGAGGCGACGTTGCGCGGCATTCCCGTCCGGGACGGCCAGGCAGGCTACGACGGGTGGAACTGCGTGGCCTGGGTCGCGGAGGCGCTCGCGGCCCTGGGCGCGGACGGCAACGATGCGCTCAGCGCGGCGATGCTCGACTGGGAACGGGTGCGGCGCCAGGCGCTGTCGTACACGGACGGCAAGATTGCCTCGCACCGGTTTGACGGCCAGCCGGCCGCCTACACGTTTGTCCAGGACGAGGTGCCGACGTACGACCTGATGGTCGACAGAGAGGTGGTGCCCTGAGTGGAGGGGGACAGAAAGAAAAGAGGCGCGATGGTCCTTGAAGCCGTACAGAGGCCACATTGGTACAAAGAGACATCCACTGCGAGAAGACGCTGCCTTTGCCTTGAAGCTGAATTCAATTCATGCACGCAAAATACAGGACGTATAAATCCAAACGACACACGAAAAACGAAAAACGAAAAACGAAAACGAATCGACCATCCCCCACCCTACAGCGCAATCGCCACATTCATCAGCGGCTTGTACTTTTGTGAGCCGTGGACGTCGTTTTCCATGAAGCCGCCCGAGGCGGCCGGCTGGCCCTTGCGCATGCGCGGCAGCGTGGCCTTGAAGGCGAGCGCCGGGTCAAAGAAGGCGCAGTAGACGAGCTGGTCGGCGGTCAGCCCATAGAGGGCGGCCACCTTGTCCGGGGCCAGGACCCCCGACGCCTTGACCTTGTCGTAGACGGCGCGGTCGTCAAAGAGGACGTCGAGGGTGATTTCGTAGGGCCCGGCGTTTTTGGAGCGCAGCAGCTTGGCGAGGTCGCCGACGGTGGTGGTGGTGGGGGTGGTCGTAGTCGTCGTCGCCTTTGACGAGGTCGATGCCGACGAGGTCGTCGACGCCCCATTGGTGTGGCCATTCACCTCAACCTCCGTCACAAGGGCCGCGGGCAGGTCAGCCACCCTCGTCCCCCCCGCCGGCCCCGCCCAGGCCACCTCCCAGCGGAACAGCGCAGCCCCCTCCGTGCCGGCCTCCCGGGCGCCCTCCTCGCCCCGGGCCAGGTCCATCAGGTGGTACACGGAAAACTCGGCACACGCGCCCATCTCGATCTCGCCCGGCCCGCCGCCGATGCCCATGCCAAAGTTTCCGCTGTTGGCCTTCTGACCCGGGTACGACCCGTGCACGCAGCCGATGCGTGCGGCGGACGCGATGCTGGTGGCGTCGGCCTGCGTGGGCGCCAGGGCCTCGCCCACAAGAAAGGCGACGCCCGGTGGAGGCCCCGCGGGCCCGCCACGTGCGGGCCTACCGGCATCCTGCCCGTCGCGGTCCCGGCCGTCGTAGACGTGGAAGTCGAGGTGCCACGTCGCGGGGTCGAGGTGCGCGTGCTGCCTGCCGACGTACTGCTTGATCTGCGCCAGCACGTCCGGCAGCTGCGCCAGCAGGATCGGGTCGCAGAACGAGCCCATGAAGATGGTGCGGTAGCCCGTGATGCGCGCGCCCTCCAGCTTGATCGTGTAGGCGCCGCCGCCGCCCCCCTCTTTGTTCCACGACGGATGAAACGTGGCGCCCTGGACGTGCACCGACGCCCCGTCGTCGCGCTGGGCGTAGCGGGCCGTCGTCAGGTCCAAGTGGCCGCCCGGCCCGGGCAGCTGGTCCGGGCGCGTCTTCTCGTAGAGCGTGTGCGCCGCCACCGTCAGGGGCCGGCACACGGCACCGGCGGCCAGCGCGTGGATGTCGAAGCTGCCGTCGCGGTAGACCGTGGCCATGGAGCCCTTGCTCTTGGGCGTCGCGCAGAGGCCGCCGCACTCCATGATCTTGCCCATGTGCGTGAACCCGCCGAGCACGCACGCATCCATGGCCCACACGTCTGTTGTCGCTGTCGCTGTCGCTTTCGCCGCGGCCGCGGCCGGGCCCAGATGGTGGTAGGCGCAAAAGGCCACGTACGGCGACGGGTCGTAGGCGCGCCCGCCGAGCACGACGTCAAAGTCCGGGTGCGCCGCCATGGCCTGCACAAACGGCTCCGGGCCCATCTGGCCGACGACGACGGTCGTGGCCTCGACGGCGGCCGCCGAGAGCGCCGGCACGCACGGACCGCAGCCCGCCACCGCGCCGGCCGCCAGCCGCTCCTGCACCAGCGCCTTGTCCACGCCGCTGTACACGGACAGGACCTTGAGCGTCGTCGCGGTGCCGTCCTCGCCGTTGAGCCCGTCCACGGCCTCCGCCACCAGCCGGCCAAACAGCCGCACGTGCGCGTCCGCGCCGTCGCCGCCCGCCGAGCTCAGCAGCAGCGGCACGCCGTACTGCCGCGCGATCCGCAGACACGCCAGCAGGTCGCGGCGGTACGCGCTCTCCGGGCAGGTCGTGAGGCCCAGGGCCAGCTTCGACGGGCCCGAGTCCGTCGACCCGCTGTCCATGATGAGCGCCGTCGGCACGCCCGGGTGGTCGCGCCGCGCCGCCTCCAGCCCGCGGTACACCTCGTCGATTTCGAAGCCGTAGCCGAACATGCCGACGGGCGTGACGATCTGGCAGAGGACGTCCGAGGACGGTGCAGGCGTGGGAACGGAACCCATTGTGAGGGGGTGTGGTGAGGTACGATGACGTCTGTTTCGTTTAATCTTGACGTGGGGTATGATGGATGGTCAAAGGCCGCCTGGTGTTTGGCAATGTAGATGCAATGAATCTGGAACCAAACGACGACAAAAACAGCGGTGTCCAGCTCCTATTTGAAGCTTTTGTGTTGTCTCGTTCTGCGTTGACATTCTCGTCGTTCCTCTTCGTCTCACATTTCCTGCCATGATCGGCCCGGACTTTTGAGCGCCCGTCGGCTGCTGCCAACTTTTGAGCAGTAATCTAACAAATGTCCGCAGGACTTCACGTCGTCTGAGAAGTTCTCCTTGTCCTGCGTCCCCCCTCCCTCATGTTTTCCCTTCTGGTTTGTTGGACAGGACATGTCTGTGCGAGGAGCCTTTCGGTGCCGGAAGCGAATTTCGGCAAGTGGGCCCAGCGACTTACACCAGCTCTTGGCGCTGATGCGGTGTGCGGGGAAGCAACGAGAACAGGCAAGCCGACAACCAGTCAGTAACTGTGGAGCGCCAGCGAAGTGTGCATTGTCATTGTCTTGAGCCATTCTTTATCATATCAACTGGTATGTCGCAGTGTGTCACTGTGTCACTGCCTCGCTCCCTACACGGAATTCCAGTTCGGCGCGCGAAACAAATTCATAAAATCATCCGCGTCGTCAAACCAGGCGTTCCAGTCTGTAAATACCTCGTCGCTGAAGGCGTGGCTGAATTGCTCGGCGAGCGTGCTGTCCGCCTCCCACTGTGTGCCGCCGTGGCACGTTGGTCCAGCATCCTGCGCGTAGCGTGGTGGGGGCGGTGCTGTCTGTGCTGGCGGAAGTCGTATTGACCGGTCCATCGGCGCCGCATGCTGAACGGCCGTGTTATTCTGCTCGCACACGGCCGCAGTGCGTCCTTGTGTGGGCTCTGCCAGCGTCGCGTCCGCACCCAGGAGCCGGCTGGCCGTCGCCGACCGCGTCACAATGGTTCGGCGGGCCGCCGCCGCTGACGCCTCCGACTGCTGGCACGGCAGCTCGCGGTCTGGGCCCTCGAGGTACTTTTGGCGCACGCGCTGCCGGACGACCCACGAGGCCTTGATGCCCACCTCGATCAGGTCCGTGTCGGGCGGGGCCAGCGCGCGCGCAAAGTGGTCGGCGAACGCGCTGGCGACGCGCGGGTCGTCGGCATAGTGGGCGACGAGCCGCAGGATCCGCACGCAGCGGCCGTTCTCGTCGGCCGGTTGGCGGACCAGCGCGTCGATGAGGTCGAGGGCCTGGCTGGCGGCGGCCAGGGCGCGGGCCGTCGATTCGTCGCGGTCGTCTGTTTCCCGTGGGTGCAGCATGGCGTAGATGAGCAGAGCAAAGACGGCCATCAGCATGGCGCGGCTGTAGTGTTTGGGGAGGCAGCGCTTCGCGGCCGCAATCACAAGACGGGGTCGTCGGGTCTGGGCGGTGCTGTCGCTGGCGCTGGCGCTGGCGGAGCACGACGCTGGCTCGACATCGCTGCCGTCTGCGTAAAACGCGGCCATCCGCTGGATAATGCGGCCGGCGTAGTGGATCGTCTTTTGCCACGCCGCCTCGATCAACAAGTCCGGCTCGTTGACGGCCGGCCGTGGCATCAGAAGCGGCGCGCGGAGCCGAAGCCGTGCCGCCAGCAGATCCAGGTGGATGAGAAACGGCAGCTCTCGTCGCTCCTGGCTGCCCTCGGCGGTCGCCCACTTTTGTTCAAACGCGTCCAGCTCGCGCTCCATCACGTCCAGGACGGGGTTCCTTGACGAGAGCGTGGCCGACGTCGACGTCGACATGGACATGGACGCCGTGTCTTTCAGGACTGTGTCGTGGCGGAACAGGATCGTCTGCAGCTCGATGCGCGCCGCAAACGCATCCGACATCCCATCGCCCAGCTGCAGCTGCAGCTGCTTATGGAGATGCGGCGCCAGCGATGCCACAGACGCCATGGGCGGCGGCAGCCCCATGTCGATGGCCAGCGCGTTGCTGACCACAAAGGCACCCAGCCACGTGCGGTACCGGGCCGCGTTCGCCTGTTGTCGGTCGCCGTCGTCGCCGTCGTCGCCGTCGGCGCCGCCACGGCCTGTCACCACCTCCTCCCTGCCCCCAACAGACGAGTACCACCACAGCGCCTCGGCCTCGTGCAGCCGCAGGTGGACGGCCGAGCTGGTCGCCACCCCGCAGTAGTACCAGCTCGGGTCGTTGCGCTGCCGGTCCACGGACAGCGGCCAGGACGTCAGCACGAGCAGCGCCTGGGTCATGTAGACGGTGCGGGCCGGCTGGACAAGCGCGTCCGCCAGCAGACGACGGTACGGCGTGACGAGCGGCTCCAAGACGGCCGCGCGGTGCTGCGGATGGTTCTGCGCGGCCGTAATCAGAATGGTCCAGAACAGCAGCTCGCTGTCGGCGCAGACGTCCGCTGGGGTCTTGGACGCGCTGACAATGTCCACGATGGGCAGCATCGGATGGAAGACGGCAACGTAGCTTGGACAGTCAGTAAGACGGTTTCCGTTGTCCATCAATGTAGATTGGATGGACCACTCACAACGCAAACAGATCGTCAACGACAGCAAAGCTCAGCCGCACGCCGTCCAGGTCGTAGCCCGGCGTGTCGTCCGGCGAGTCGTCAGAGAGGCCGATGACGGCTGGCGATGCCTCGGACTGCGTCTGCGACGGAGTCGGATGGATCTGCGTCCCGTGTGCCGCCGCGCCCATGGAGTCCACAATCTGCTTCAGCTGCTCCTTCTCCTCGAGCAGCCGCTCCAGGGCGCCGCGCACTGGCCGCCGCTTAAAGTCCGAGTCAAACACGCACGGCTTGCGCCGCTTCACACACCGCGAACAGGGGCTCGGGTATCGCTCGGCGGCGTCGCATCGCAGCTTCACCTGTCGGCACGTCGTGCATGCCATCGAGCAGCGTTTAGCGGACGACGACGGCATGGCTGGTGAGTGCATCGGGGTCTCTGGCTGGTGGGCCATGATGCTGTTTCGTAATGGTCACAGGATCACACTGCTTCGCGTTGACGCTTCATGACTAGGAGGGCGATGTGGCATAAATAAAAGGCCATGGAGGCGTGGTGTTCGGCCATGCAGGACTTGTCGACAGCGGGGAGGAGACAAAGGCGTCAGGCCTGATCCTGATTCTAATAGTGGCCTTGCCCCAGGGGGTTTAGTGGAGTTTGTCCCCTCCAAGCAACCTAAAATTGCCGCGGCTAGGTCCCGCGAAATATTTGGGGCGCCCCTGTAGTTAGCGGGTGAGATTGCAAGCATAATTGAAAACAAAGCATTGTCAACGCGAGATTAAAAGAGAGAGGTAAACATAAGCGAAGATGGAAATACAAAATATGAATAAGCGGAAACTAAAGCCAAAAGAAACTGTTTCCAAAAAGTGTCATATACTGATGCAAAGACGTAAAGTATGCCGATGTCGTCGCCGCCACGGTCGACTCACAAGGACGGTCGACTCAACACTCGTTCCCTCGTCACTGTTTTCTATCAGCCGCCAGCCTCGACCGGAGAAACTCCAAAATATGCGGCCGCACGCCAGCATTGTCGTGGGCGAGCCCCGGCACCACCGTCAAGGTAGACGCGATGCCGTCGGCTGCCCACAGGCGATGCAGTTCCGTCGCCGAGTCCAGCCGGCTGCCGAAGCTCGTCGGCAACGTCGACGCTTTCTCGCCGCCCTTGTCCTGTCCTGCCTTTGTCACGGCCGTGGCCTCCTTGGCCTTCATCGCCCGCAGCCACTCCCAAAACGCCGGCCCGCCGTGCACCGCGCTGTCCTCGCTGCCGATGGCAATCTGGATCGCCACCCTCGCCACGGCGGCCTTGTCGACCGCGCGCCCAAACACAGCCTCGACGTCCTTGATGCCGACCGGCCAGTTCTGCGTATTGTCCAGCCGCGTCGCCCGCCCTGGTGCACCCACCCCCACGGCCGCCAGCCGTTCCGGGTAGAGATACAAAAACCGGTGGGCAAACTGCCCGCCGCCTGAGAACCCGCCCAGGTACACCGCCTCGGTGGCAATCCCCGGCCAGACGGCGGCCACCTCGTCCAGGATTGCCAGCAGCACCCGGTCCGACCGCAGCGTCTGCGACCGCAGCACCTTGTACGCGTCCAGGTCGTGCGGGCCGTCCATGTTGGCCGGGAAGAAGGGCGCCAGCACGGCGCACCCGTTGGCCTCGGCGAAGGCGGCCAGCTCCGTCGAGAGGGGGCTCGTATCGCGGCGGGTGCCATGGACCCAGACCACGAGGGGGAGGCGGTCGTCGGCCGTGTCCGCCTGGTCGTCGTCCGTCGCGTCCGCCGTGTACTTGGCGTGGTACTGGCTCGGCGGCACGTACAGCCCGTACGCCACGCGCGGGTCCGCGGGGGCCACGCGCCATGGGACGCGGCCCGTCAAAAACACGGCCTCCAGGAACCTGGCGGGCACATCCCTCGTCGTGAAGCGGCGGTCCAGTGCCATCGCGAGGGATTTGTTGCAGGCAATGCGTCGGCGGTTTGGTCGTCGAATGCCTCGGCTGTGAGTTGTTGGGGACTCTGCTCACGCCGGCCGTCGTCGTTCTTCGTCAGCCGTCATGACGACTCTCATCTTTAATACAGGCAGCACGATAACAAAATTGTAGCGTGGTCCAGCCAGACGGAGCAAACGGCGCTGCCAGAAACACCGATGCCGATTCGGCCAGGGGGTTGAGCTGTAGTGCTGTTGTTGGCTTGTTGCTTCCAGCGGCCTTGCCCCGCTAATGGCCAGGCCCCTCCTTCCCAAGCGAATCTCGCTTCGTCGCGAACTCCGCCGCTGGGGAAGGAACGGGGTTCGCGACATACGATTTGTGTGACAAAGATTTTTTGAGGTAGGTGCATGTGCAGGCACAACCAAACGCACTTTCCTTTTTGGCAACACGGTACTCGCACTGGAAGGTGCCATCCACCGAAAGGATATGCCACTTGGAGGAAGGAACGCGTTTGGGCATAACCAAAGTCTCAAGGAAAGAGCAATTGGAGGGGTGTCAAACAACGCTGCATTTCGTAGAGAAAAACTGAAATCCGTACATTTTCATCTCTGGACTCTTGTAATTCATTTTGTTCAGCATCACGTCGACACCTCACGCGACCCACAACTGCATGTTGGTAGGCTCTTGGGCCCCGATGTAACGGTCCGCTTTCGGTCGTTCTGGCAGTAATTCGTGCCACAGGCCATCTTCACCGCAACACCAAACTCACACGCTGGAGTGGAATTGTGTCTCCGCGACGTGATGCCCAACTTTGACAACTACGCATTTGGCGGCGCTGGACGCCTGCCCGACTCGGACAGCGATGCCGACAGCGATGCCGACAACATCTACAACAACCCCGAGGCCATGTTCAAGGCCATGAACTTGCCGGTTCCGCTGATAAAGTCCGCCGACGAAGTCCGCCGCGAGGCCGACTCGCGCCGCAAGAACGTCCTGGCCGACTTTGCCACGCTTCGTGCCATTGTCGAGCGCCATGAAGAGACCCTCCAGCGGCGGTGGCTCAAAAAGACGCGAGCGCAGCGGATTGCCGTCTTGCTCAAGGCCTGGCCCGGCATGGCCGCCATGCACCGTCCCGACTTCGAGACTCTGCGGCAAGACGCGCCTGGTTTCCGCGGCAAGAAGCTGCTGCAGCCCCGTGACGCGGTCATGTGGCCCTACATCAACCAGGACGACCTGTCCAAGCCACGGTCTCTGCTGCTGCTCATAAACGCCCGCGGCCGCCACCACCCCTGCCTCTTCGCCGCCGCTGACGACGAGCAGATGCGTATTGGCGTCGTGTCGCACAAATTGTCGCGTGTCTACCTCAACGAGTGGACCATGATTCTCAATGGCGACCCCGACTCGCCGACAATGGACAGAGACTACGGCACACTGGTGAGCTGGGACGACAACGAGGACGCCGACAACTGGACATTCACGCGAGCCCAGTTGATCCCGGGCGATGGCCTCGTTGTCCTCGAGGCCCAGGAACGCCTTCTGCGTTTCTTGATTGACTGATGTGCGCTGGTGCTCCACGAGGTCGACATGGCGTCCGTCCAGGACGCTGCAGCAGCTTCAACAAAGGTATGCGGCCGGCATCCGCCCGGCCCTCTCCCGGAAGAATATCTCCTCGCCCTTCTCAAGTTTCAGTTTCAGCTGCAGCAAGCTGCCAAGGGGCCCTGCAGCAGTTCAAGGTGGTGGTCCCCGCTTCGCCGCCCATGCGTAACCTCTTTTGGCGCGAACCGCCGCCCAACAAGACGACGTCCCACATTGCCGTCCAGTCGCGGTCAGCTGCGCGCAGCAGTGTCGCTGCCGAGCTCACCTTCCAGTTCAGCACGCTCTGGGAGGACGGGCAGCAGCTCTTCTTGCTGCGCATGACCACGGCCGTGGACGAGCTGGAGCGCCTGATCGAGACGGAGCCCGAAGCCAAGAGCCTTGTGTCGGCCCACGTCGCGGCATTCATAGGCGACCTCTCGATTGTGGCCCAGTGCCTGGCCCAGATCGACCTCTATCAGCCGTGGTCCAGTGGCTTTGAAAACCACATGGTCCGGTACAAGGACACGGTCGAGCGCGCTGTTGACGCCGAGCACGCTCCGATGGCCAGGATTCAGGCGGCCGTGCAGGAGAACAGTCTCGCGGATGCCACCAGACTCGGCACACCGACCGGCGGCCGCTTTGCGTATCCCTGCGAGAAGCGCCGCACCAAGGAAAACACCGAGGCGCTGCGGCAGGCAGAGCGCAACCTGGACGCGTTCTGGGCCTGCGTCGACCGCCACATGTACGTCAAGGCCGGTGATCTGACCGGCACCGCGACACAGACGCTCTTGTTGCAGCCGCGGATCATGCAGCGCACCGCCGAATGGGTGGAGACGGTCACGCCGGGGAAAGGGAAAGGTGGAAAGAACGAAGCGGCACCGGCGAACAAGACGTCCAGTGGCAGCATCGGCATAGGCAATCCGCTGTCTGCGTTTTACTTTGGTCTCGTCGAGAAGCCATCGCAGGGACGCCTCGCCGCGTCGTCGTCCAGAGACAAGGCCAAGATCAAAATCAAGACCAAGACCAAGGGTATGGCCGCAGCGGCAGCAGCATCCCCAACGGACGACCTCGCCGGTCCCTCACTCGATGATGCCGAGCCCGTCGTCCAAGACACACAGCCCACCGTGCCGGTCGACGCCCGCGCCATCAAAGTCTTCCGCACCCTCTTCTTCAATGCCGACGTCACCTCCACCCCGGGTGAGGTCCCCTGGCGCGACTTTTTGCACGCCATGACCTCCACGGGCTTTCAGGCCGAGAAGCTGTACGGCTCCGTCTGGCAGTTCCGCCCCACGGCGCTCGACGTCGAGCGCAGCATCCAGTTCCACGAGCCTCACCCGCGGGGCAAGATGACGTACGAGGTGGCGCGGCGGGCTGGACGTCGTCTGAACCGCGCGTATGGCTGGGTCAGTGACATGTTTGTGCTTAAGAAGTGATGGAACGTCCTCGGCACGACTCGGACGCTACGGCAGAGGCTATGAGACTGTGTTGTTCACATTGTTCACATTTTGAGGACGCCTGTAGGATTAGGCGCTGCGGGTTATGTAAAGCCAATCGCAATTTCAAGATACGACATGTACTGTACACCGGTACAACTTTCTCCTCTCTTTTTGGATGCTCTGTTACAAGTGTGTCTTGAGGCTTGCGTGTGTCTGGGGAAGCAGCTCCCACTCGACGCTTGACTTGGGCAAGCCGAGATTCGCTTCATGGGATGTGCGGAGACAGCCACGGAGTGAAGCGAAATTCGCTTGGTCTAGTCCCGGTTGACCATGACACTAGCTACCCCATGATTCTGTTCCCCGGATTTTGCTGATCAAGACGGGGTTGTTAACTCCATGCTAGTCTTTCGGAGGGGAGAAAAGGTGGTGAGATGCTTTCGCCACGATCCGAGCTGGAAATCAACAGCAAAATCAAGACAGAAGGTTGTCTCGTGCTGACTTTTAGACTCACAATAGGGCATTGAGCCTTTTGCCTCGACGAGCGGAAGGCACCTTCTAAATGTCTTCACAAGAAGTCAGATCGATCACCTAAGAGAGTCACTCAAACTCAAGGGCAAGCACAGATGTCTCCGGCTGCCTCATCTTCTCGAATCCCCACGACCGAACGAACCCTCCCCAGATAGCATCACCCACTCGCCAGTCTCCTAGCCACTTGCTGTCTCTCCATGTCACTCCTTGCCTCCTTGCCTTTCTTGGCCAGCCGAATTTCGCATCGACGACGACCCGTTGTCAGACCTCCCCGCATTCCCATCGCTCTGGGCCGGTCTCTTGGCCAATGGGTTTGGTGGTCTTCGCTTGTATTGGCATTTCTCTTTTCTTTCCCGTATTTTTTGATTGTTTGTACCGGATGATGTCCTCGTGGTTGGTGGTGTTTTCCGTCTTTACTTAAAGGCCGTCCCCGATGCCCGGGGTTTCGTCCTTGTTGTAGGACTCGTGCGGCAAGCGCTGATCTCATCAAATCCGTATTGTTTGAAATTCCCGTCTCAACCATTTCCACACCTGTCTGCCCTCTGTCGCCTCCCCTGTCTCCCCTGTCTACCCATCACTTTCTTCGTCTGCCACGCCTGTCCATTCACCATGGCGTCCACGGAAAAGAACGAAACGCATGAGGTCGAAGAGGCCGTCCCTGATCCGTCCAGCCCGGAAAAGGTCCAGGTTGAGTCCGGCATCAACACGGCTGCCTGGGACAGCGACACCACGCCCGAATACAAGGCCCTGGACCGCCGTGTGCTGTGGAAGCTCGATTTCTTCATCCTGCCCGTCATCTCCAGCGTCTACTTCTTTGCCTCCATGGGCCGCTCCGATCTGGCCAACGCGGCTGTCGCGGGCATGCCGGAGGAGCTGGGCCTCAGCGCACAGGCCTACTCCAACGCGGCCACCATGTTCCTCGTGTCCTACATCGTCTTCCAGCTGCCCGGCACGCTGCTCGTCCGCGCCATTGGCCCGCCGTGGCAGTTCTTTGGCGCCATGGTGCTCTGGGGCCTGTTCACGGCCTTGAGCGTGGTCATCCACTCGGCCGGCGCCCTGCTGGCCCTGCGCTTCCTCATCGGCGTGGCCGAGGCCTTTGTCCAGGGCGCCGTCTTCTACCTGTCGTTTTTCTACCAGTACAACGAGCTCGCCACGCGCAGCGCCATCTTCTATTCGACGTCGACCGTGGCCGGCGCCTTCAACGGCCTGATTGCCTACGGCATCGAGAAGAACCTGGACGGCGCCCACGGCTGGCGCGCGTGGCGCTGGATCTTTTTGATTGAGGGCATCCTGCCCATCGCCTTTGCGTTTGTGGTCCTCGCGTTCCTGCCGCCCAGCCCCTACAAGGTCCGGTTCGGCTTTGCGCCCGAGGAGAAAGCCCACATCGTCGTGCGCGCCGCGGCCGCGCACAACGTCGGCGACAGCGAGTACAAGCTCCGGTGGACGCGCGTGCCGCTGATCCTCGTGAGCCCGCACTTTTGGCTCATGGCCGTCATTTCGTCGGCCGGCCACTTTTGCGTCTCGTCCATGAGCAACTTTCTTCCGGCCATCATCAAGGTACGTTGATGTGCGCTCCGTTGGTCCTCGCTGCTTTCGTCTCTCCTCTAACAACCGCAGAGCTTCGGCTACACCTCCGTCAACGCGCAGCTCTTCTCCGTCATCGTCTACGTCTGTGCCGGTGTCGGCGTCCTCTTCTGGGCCCGCATCGCCGACGTGACCAACGCGCGCAGCGCCACGCTCGGCGCCTCGATTGCCGTCAGCATCGTCGGCTATGCCATCCTGATCGGCACCACCAACACCAAAGTGCGCTTCTTTGCCACCTGCCTCGTTGCGTTCTCCGTGTATCCCAACATCGTCCTCCAGCTGTCGTGGGCCACCATCTCCTTTGCCGGATACACCCGGCGCGGCTCGTCGCTCGCGCTCTTCAACGTCATCTCCCAGTGTGTGTCGATTGGCGCCAACCAGGCCTACAACACGCCGCCCTATTGTGAGTTTTCGGTGCATCATGTTGATGTATGTGGATGTCGTCGAGCGTTTTCCACTTTTTGACCTTCTTCCACACTAACGCAAGGCAGACCACAAAGGCCAGGCGTCGTCGCTGGCGCTGTGTTGTGTTGGCCTGCTCTTCACCGTCTTGACGCGCCTCTACCTGCAGCATGAGAACCGCCGCAAGCGCAGCATGAGCGAGGAGGCGCGGGCCGCCCTGCGCGTCAAGGGCATCGAGGAGCTCGGCGATCGGCACCCAGACTTTTTCTATACTCTGTAGCCGTGTCCCCGGAGGCAGGCATGACGTTGTTCCGTGTCTAGCAGCCTCACACCGCCTTGTAGGATAAAGTTGTATTGTTGACTTGTTTGGAATAAAATCATCAAAACCTACTTTGACAGGTAATAATTCACTTTGTCTCCCATAAGAAACGCATAACGCACACCGTCATCGTGGAAGCCCTCCTCCACCCCCCCCCCCCCCCTACTACTCAATCCCCGTGTCGTTGCGGCTCCGGTGTGCATCGGCAAACGCATAGATGCGTTCCCTGTCCCGGCAGGCGTGCACGACGCCCCAGCCGTCGACGCCGCGCACGGTCGTCTCGTGGCCGGTGGCGGTGCGCACGCGCCGCGCGCCCTCGAGCGTGGTGTCGCCGTGGCAGAGGAGCGTCTGCCGCAGGTAGTCGAAGCAGTGGTCCATGTGGCGGTCGGCGACCTGGTCCTCGCCGAGGGCGAAGCGGAGGTACTCGTTGTCGGAGGCGTTGGCGTACCAGGCCTGCAGGCGGACCATTTTGGACTTGAGGGCGGCGAGGCAGTGCAGCTGGTGGTAGAGGGCGACGGTGTACTCTTCGGCGGGCGGCGGGGACGTCGTGGTGGTGGTGGTGGTGGTGGTGGTGGCGAGATCATCGCCCGACAGCGGGAAGCCACCGGCGAGAGCCCAGGCGGCGGGATCGGCAATCGCAATGTGGCCTTTGCCGGCTACAGGGAGGGGTGGCGTGGGTGAGGGTGAGCGGAGGTGCTTGCGGAACGTGAGCAAGGGGAAGAAAGGACCTACGCGGCGCCAGAGCGTACCAGGGGCTGTCAATCTCGTCGGGGCCAAACGGATCGACGTCGAAGCTGGCGTCCGGCTGGAAGACGACCTTTTTGGTGGGGACTGCTGGTCAGCGGGGACAGAAACGACTGCAATATCGTGACGAGAAGCGGACGCCTACTGTCTCCAAACATGGCCTGCGAGGGCAGAATGGCCGTCACAGGCCCGGCGGTCGTGGCCTTTGACGACGCGAAGAGAATAAAGAGCGACAGAAGGACGTTGACGGCCAGCGACGCATACGGAACGTAGTGCCAACCGCCCGTCCAGGTGTCCTGTCTGGTCTGCGGTGGCCTCTCCTCGCGCTTGACACCGCCCTCCTCGGCAAGAAACGCAGCCGACTCGGAGTCAGCAAAGTCGTGATGCGATGCGGCCATTTTGGATGCTTTGGTCCGCCACGAAGATTCGTTGCAGAAGGTGGAGAGCCATGATGAGAGCCATGATGGAAGACACGATCTAAACGAGGCAGAACGATACATTCGGAGCATTGGACGCTGCTCCATTAGGCATTCACATTTAGGCAGAATGTTGACTTGTATATAACAACGGCAGTCGTTCTACGCTCTGCGGCGCAGTATATCAGAGCAATGTTGCTCTGATCTGCATCACGTGGATTCATCAAAGGTGGAGTACGGCAGCAACATAGAGGGAGAGAAGACAGACAAAAGAGTCAAAAAGAAGAGAAACAAGGAACAGCGATGCATGCCGTACCAGATCGCGTTGGAAATGAGGGTAGTCTCTAGTGTAAACCGAGAACAATCGTTTGTCAGCGACATAACGTCCAGCCCCACTTTACTCATTGACGTCCCACGGAGTTTCCGCGGAGCTTCCGCCGTCGCCATCTCTTATACGGAGTGCGAGCGTATCCAAACGGCATTCCCACGACGGCACCTGCGCCTGCACACAACCATCCGCGGACAACCCACACGACACTCTCTGAGACAAGGAACCACGGAACCACGGAAACACCTAAACACGTAAACACCCAAACACGTAAACATGCCGCCTCGACTACAAACACGCCAGGCGCCCAGCGCCCGTGCCCGAAAGGGCCACTATTCGTGCGAGTTCTGCCGCGTGCGCAAGCTGCGATGCAGCCGCCCGCTGCCCTGCACCAACTGCGTGTCGCGGGGCAAGACGTGCGTGATGGACGCGGAGGGGCCCGTGGAGATGCCGGTGCCGATGGCGGTGGCAGGGCCGGCGGAGGTGCGGCCGACGCCACTGCCGGCGCGCCAGCATTCGCCGTCGTCGCAGACCACGGGCACGCCGTTCGGACACGACGCCGGCAACCAGGCGCTGCTGGACGAGGTGTACCGTCTGCGGCGGCTGGCCGAGGACCTAGAGCGGCGCATCCACGGCGGGACGGACGCGTCGACGTCGACGTCGACGGGCCGGCCGGCCACAAAGGCCATGGCCATGCCGCCGCGGCTGCCGTCGCCGCCGCCGCGGCCTCGTCCGTCGCCGGCTGTCGCGCCCGACGCAATGGGCCCGATGTGCGCCGTCGTCACACACCTCGACCGCGTGTCCATGAGCAACGGATCGTACGCGGACCTCGGGCAGCCGTCGTCGGCGTCGGCGACGGGGTCGCCGTCGGCGCTGTCCTCGACGACGACGGCCGTGGCGGCGGCGGCGGCGGCCAACCAGTTTGAGCAGAGCGGGCTGGCGCTCAAGATTGCGCCGATCCTGTCGATCCCCACGGCGCCCGAGTTCAGCTACAGCATCGTCGGCGGGGGCGACCGGCTGGGGGCGCCGCGGCGCCACATCCATCTGCCGCTGTACAGCGAGACGACGGCGCTGATCGACACGTTCCTGCACACGGTGGGCAGCTTCTACCACATTGTGCACCACCCGACGACGCCGGCGCTGGTGGCCAGCGTGTACGACCGCGTGCAGCGGCACAACGGGGCGCAGCTGGCGCTGGGCGACGTGCTGCTCGTGGTGGCCATGATTGCCACGGGGGCGTGCCTCTACACGCCGGAGGCGGACAGCAGCAGCAGCAGCGGCGGCGGCGGCAGCTACGACAGCAACGCCAGTGCCCTCTTTGCCACCCGCGGCGAGGCCGCCCGGCAGATTCCGTACTGGATCCAGTCGGCCGTGCACCTGCTCGAGGCCCTCGTGCGCGGCCCCGCGCCGCCCACGCTGTCGGCCCTGCAGGGCGTGGTGACGCTGATGTTTCTGATCAGCAACGTCGAGGGCGTCGGGTTCCGCTACCGCTACATTGTGTCCACGGCGCTGATGCTGGGCCGCGAGCTGGGGCTGCACTGCATCGACCAGGAAGGCAGCGGCGGCAGCGACGACAGCCACAACAGCCACAGCAGCGGCGGCAGCTGCGGCGGCGCGCAGCCCCTGACGACGCCCTTTGAAAAGGAGCTCGGGCGGCGCGCGTGGTGGTACCTGGCGTCGACCGACTGGCTGCTGGCGGCGCGCAACAGCGGGCCGGGCGTCGGCGTCTACCAGACGCACCCGCACATGATGCGCGTGCGGGAGCCGCGCAACATGGACGACGACCAGCTGGGGCCCGCCAGCGCGGACCCCATCCACGGCCTGCCGCTCGACGTGCCCACCGACATGTCGTACCTGCTGCAGCGCGTGCGGCTGGCCAACATTGCGCGGGGCATCGTGGACCGCATGCCCATGGTCTCGGCGACGCAGTTTGTCGGCGGGCCGGCGTCGTCGTCGGCCGCCGCGGCGTCCCTGCTCGCGCAGTACCGCGAGAGCGCCCTGGCGTCGGACGCCGAGCTGGACGCGATGCTGCGGGACATGCCGCCGTTTCTGCGGATGGAGACGTACGAGCAGACGGGGTGGGAGGCGGGCGGTCACGACGCCAAAAACAACACCAAAAACAACACCAAAAACAACACCAAAAACAGCCACGGCCGGCCGCACCGCAGCCACTTCATCCAGGCCTTTATGCTGCACTCGCTCATCCACACCCAGCGCTGCAAGCTGCACCTCTCCTACCTCACGTCCTGGCGCCGGCAGACGGGCAACCACACGGGCTGCGTCCTCAAGCATCCCGACCCGGCCCGCCGGCCGTCCGTCGCGGCGGCGTCCACCACGTCGCGGGCCGTCTGCATCGACGCCGCCCGCCAAATCATCCACGCCGAGACGCAGATCCGGCGGCGCGCGGCCGGCCACCCGTTTGTGCAGAGCCGGCTGTCGTGCGTGCTGTACGGCGTCTTTCTGGCCACCATTGTCCTGATGATTGACCTCTGCGCCGACAACGGCGAGGACGCGGCGTCGTCGCCGTCGGCGGTCGACACGCGTGCGGCCTTTTCCGCCATGCAGATCGTCGCCGACGCGCGGCCGTACTCGCCCGCGGCCGCGGAGCTGTACACGTCGCTGACGCAGCTGCTGGCAAAGCACCGGCCGCAGCTGCTGGAGGCGGTCCTGGGCACCGCGATGCCGCCGAGGGCCGTGGAGGCCATGGAGGCCATGGAGGCCTTGGAGGCCATGGACGCGATGGACGCGATGGACGCGATGGACACGCTCAAGGCAGTGCCGCCCCTCGAGGCCACGACGACGACCACCATGCCGCCCACAAACACCGACTTTGACGTTTCCTTTTACGACTCCCTCTACAACAACCCGCTGGCCCTCCACTTTGACGGCCTCGACAACCTGGCCCAGTTCCAGTGGGACGATCTGCTCGCCAATGTGGACATGTCCTTGTATGTATAGGAGGGGGGGGGGGGGACGAGATGTATAGTAGCAAATTGTATATTGTATTGTGCGCAGATTACGGTGACGACGCAACAGCATGGCAGGAGACTACATTGTACATTGTGTGTGGAGTGAGGACGGGACACGGCGAGTCTCATGTAGTGTCCTGATGCCCACTCTCCAAACTTGCCGCAAAGTGACAAATAACCAAGACGACACGTCTCGCAATTTCAAAGCAAATCAGGGAATCCGATTTTATACCCGTTCTTGACGGTACGGATGAACATGGGCGTGCCATTTGTAAGGCGGCTCTGCGCCACGGAAACTCCGCGGCAGGCGGAGAACGGAGGACGGAGGCCACCACACAACAGATGACAAAACAGACGACAAAACAGACGACAAAACAGACGACAGAAGACAATAAAATAAAACACAACGTGTCGTGCCAAGAAAGGGTTTGTGTCTGCTTTCATCATTCTTCCGACCCTGTTCTTTCCTTTTATTTTCTTTTTGTGATTTCTTTTTTCTTTTTGAGAGAGAGTGAGATTTTATATTCCTGCCCCCACGTTTTCTGACGGCAACATGTCTTCCGAAAAGGCCAGCCACAGCGATCCCGACCCAGACATTGACGTCGAAGCCGCCGCGGTGCCCGACACGCCCGAGTCCCCTGTCGACAACAGCGAGCAGGCGGCCGAGAAGCCAGCCCCCAAAACCGAAGATGGCTTCACGATTGTCGACTTTGACGGCCCCGACGACCCGGCGAATCCCATGAACTGGTCGGCGCGCAAGAAGTCCGTCACCATTGCCCTGGTGACGCTGATGACGGTGCTATCGTACGTCCCCGTCTGTCTTATGCGTCCGTCCGTCCGTCCGTCCGTCCGTCCCGTCCACCACTAACTGCGCAGCCCCATTGGATCGACCATCAGCTCGGCCGCCGCCTCCGACATCATGCGCTTCTTCGGCTCCGACAACCAGACCGTCGGCGCCCTCGTCACCACCATCTACCTGCTGGGCTACGCGTGCGGGCCCATGGTCATCGCGCCGCTGTCCGAGCTCTACGGCCGCGCGCCCCTCTACAAGATCTGCATCATCTGGTTCCTGCTTTTCCACGTCGCCTGCGCCCTCTCGCCCAACCTCGCCGCCCTCGTCGTGTTCCGCTTCCTGGCCGGCGTCGGCGGCTCGTGCCCCGTCACGCTGGGCACCGGCAGCATCGCCGACGTCGTGCCGGCCGCGAAGCGCCCGCGCGCCATGTCCGCCTACGCCATGGGCTTCATCTCGGGCCCGTCCATCGGGCCCATCATCGGCGGCTACCTGACGCCCGCGGCCGGCTGGCGCTGGGACTTTTGGCTCATGGCCATCCTGTCGGGCGCCATGGCCCTCGTGGTCATTGCCGTCCTGCCCGAGACGTACGCCTACGTCATCCTCGACAAGAAGACGAAGCGCCTCAACAAGGCGGCCGCCGTCGCCGCCGGACAAGACGGTGCGCCCCCCGTCCGCTACAAGAGCAAGCTCGACTCGGGCCGCACGCCGCGCCAGCACTTTGCCTTTTCCATCGGCCGCCCGCTCAAGATGCTGCTGGTGCCCGTCGTCTTCTTGCAGTCGCTCTACGCCGCCGTCGTCTACAGCTACCTGTACCTCTGCTTCACCACCTTCCCCGCCGTCTTTGGCAACCAGTACGGCTTCGGCAGCGGCGCCTCCGGCCTCGTCACGCTCGGCTTCTTTGTCGGCTGCGTGCTCGGCATCCTCTTCTGCGGCGGCGTCTCGCGCCGCATGGTCGTCTACCTCGCCGCCAAGAACGGCACCGGCCCCAAGCCCGAGTACCTGCTGCCCACCCTCGTCGTCGGCGGCGTGCTCATGCCCGTCGGCCTCTTCTGGTACGGCTGGTCCGCCGAGGCCCGCACCCACTGGATCGTTCCCATTCTGGGCACCGGCTTCCTCGGCTGCGGCGTCATCATCACCTACATGGCCAGCACCCTCTACCTCGTCGACGCCTACACCGTCTACGCCGCCTCCGTCACCGCCTCCAGCACCATCCTGCGCTGCGTCATGGCCACCGTCCTGCCCCTCGCCGGCAGCGCCATGTACGACCGCCTCGGCTTCGGATGGGGCAACTCGGTGCTGGGCTTCATTGCCGTCGCCTTTTTGCCGCTGGCGGTCGTCCTCTACGTCTTTGGCGAGCGGATCCGCACGACGAAGCGCTTCCAGGTGAACTTTTAGGGGCGATGCGGTGAGCGTGTGAGAATGCGGCGGAGCGGTGGAAGTGGTGACGACGTGAGGGGCGGGAGACGAGTCGAGAGAAGTCGTGGAGACGCCATGGAGACATGGAAACTATTACTAATCCACTAATACCTGCCAACATAGACTTGCATGCAAACCTCATAGACATATCTCAGTTATTCGAGCGAAATACATATAGATACGTACATTCATGACAGTCTTTGGCAATGCATTGCCGTTTTGTTGAAACCAAGGACACAAGTGACACGAGGCGAGGAAGAAGAGAGACAATGCTTCGTGACTCGATGCAAAAGCGTCTGCGAGCATCAAAGGAGCCAAGAAGGTCAAAGCACCCCCGAAGAACAATGAAATGGTGTTGTTGACATACAAAGCGGCCGACTATGAATAGACGCAGCGCCTCGCCCATTGTTTCGTCCAATGTCTTTGTCCAGTCCATAATAAAGATGTTCATACGCCTTTGATCGTCAGTCTTTGGCCTCAAGACTTGGACGCCGTATTTTGAACAAATGGGCCTCGTTGTGTCTCTGAAAATACTTTATAGAAGCACAGTCGTCGCAACGCTTCTTTGCCTGTAAATCCATTTTTTACGCCAAGTAAATACTACGTCCACACAAGAAGCACGACTTTCCGACCTACAAAGTAAAACACACAACAGTTAGGTACGACCATGCATGACACACAATATCAAGAGCCGGCGGCGGCGGACCGGCCACAACGGCGTGCCGCGCCGGACGCCCCGTACAAGCGCTGTCGCAGCCACGACCCGATCGTGCCGACATGTGGCCCGCCGATCCCCGACCACATGCTGTCGCACGCAAACAAAGTGGCCGCGAACATGCGCGCCGGCCGTTTTGTGCGCCGGCCGACCTTTGTCCTCGGCCTGCGGGCGGTCGATGCCACCACCCAGGCGCTCGCCGCACGCATCCTCCGGGGGCCCCTCGCGGCCTTGTGCGACGACACGGCCGCCCTGCTGGCCGCCCCGCGGCCGACCGACCCGGCGACGGCTACGGCGACGGCGACGGCGCGCCACGGCACGAGCATCTTGGAGCTCGTGCGCGACGCGTACGCGCTGGAACCCGGCCGGCCGTGGACGCTCTGGGCGTTCCGGGACATGTGGGACCGGTGTCCCGTGGCGCTGAAAAGCGCAGAGGATGCCTTTGTGTTTCTCCACGTGCGGCTGGCCGCCCTGGAGCGGCACGAGGGGGACCCGACCGAGCTGCAGCTGTTTGTGCACTTTGTCGTCGAGGCGAGTCCGACGTGGCCGAAGCTGTTTGCGGTGACATATGTGAGCGACGGTGACGACGACGACGGTGACGACGACGGTGACGATGACAACGGAGAAGAGGAGGATGGCCAGGAGGCGGAGATGCGAGACATGGAGGACCTCAAGCTGGACGAGGAGACAAAGGCCACACAAAAGAGAATGGAGAGACAAGGTAAGACGGCCGTGAAGAAAGACGTGGCAGAGAAACAGGAGTGGAAGAAAGAGGGGCGCACACGAGATGTGGCAGCCAACGGGAGGGAGGGACCGACTAACCGGGACAGGAAGACTGTCGACAAGAGAGATCGAGAAAGACGAGATCGAGAACGGCGCGAAAGGGAGAAGAAGCGCGAGCAGGAAAGGAGAGAAGCAGACCAAAGAGAGAGGGAGCGAGACAAAATGGCGCGACAAGAAGAACGCCTCAGAAGAGACGAACTCGAGAGACTGCACCGGGAGCGGCAGATGCAGCGAGAGCGCGAACAGAGAGACGCACGTCGGCGGTGGCTTCAACATGAGCGTGAGAATGAGACCATGGACAGGCTGCGGGGGAGATTCAGAATGCTTTGATCCTGCGCCGTCCGCAGAAGTTCGGTAGAAGACGTCTGCATCACGCGTCTCATTTTAGATGATGTATCTACATATATGGCGACAATGTCGTGGTTGATCATCGGATGTTGGATCTGCTCTCGTTCTCGCTGCCTCGTGCTTTCGCGCCTTCATAAATCCAGACACTGCTTGCTAAGTCCATGGACACGGGTTGAGTGCACGAAATTGCTGATGCCAGCGAAACAAAATTATTCAACGTATGAAGAAACAGAACGACAAGCTTACAATGAAGAATCAAAAAACGGCTCCGGTCGTACAGACGACGAAGGGAGCGTCGGATTTGCAAGAGCCGTTGTGCCTGGCCGACGTTGGACAAACGTTTTCTGGGGCGGCGGCGGATCGGACATGGAACAACTGTGTTGTAAATCCGAAATCTGGGGACGCCAGAATTAGGAAAAGCCCGACATAAGGTGGACCCATTGGCTGGGCCTTCGACAGACGTTGTCACCACGCCAGATGGCCTGAGAGGGGAGGGTACTAAGTACAGCATCCATGCTAAATAGGGGAGGATATGTCGAGGCTGTCGAAGCTGTCGCAAGATGTCGAGAGAATGAGACTAAATAATGTAAAATATTCCAGAATAAAAAAATGCCGTGGAAATAACCACCAAAAAAGAGACATTGCAGTATACTTTATCATTCAAATAGACTAAGGCCTAGATCCGAACAAGGCTCCGAGTGGATCGTTTAGCACACAGAATGACTTTTAGAGACGTGAGACATCTCGGTCGTAAGGGGCGTTTAAACTACCTGAAGTCGGGGTCGACTGCAACCCAAGGATAGAATACGTTCGATAGCAAGTATTGTACGACATACAACATATAGTATAGAAACCGGACAGTCCTGCCCCGATCGTCATGGCTGTCATTCTTTTGGGAATTTGCCGAGATATTATGTCCGGCAGGAAACGACGACACTGGAAAGGGCTGAGCGTTGTACGGCCTAGGATGTAGCCTCCACTAGTCACGAATCTCCTAACTCCAGAAGGCCACAGCGTCGTGAAACGGGCTTGGCCAAATTGGCCGATACTTGCCACACAACATAGCCAGAAACAAAGCTGCTGATGGCGAGCTGCTGACGGCGCCAGCATTTTGAGCAGCCGTACAAAGAAGGGCCTGCTGAGTGGGCGGCAGCAAGCATGCTTGGTAAGAGCCAGAACATTGATCTTTGTCTGGGGACATGGGCACGCTTGTCAATGCAACGTCCATTCCAACGGCTCGATGATGAGGCGGTCCTGGTTCGCCAGAGGGGATGTCGTCGTCGACTGAAAAAGTATAAATACAGACTTGTCCTGGTGGAAGTAGAGATTGTCTCATCAACAGCATTATCATCATCGACACTCCATAAACTCTCTAGGCACCTGACGCGCAACATACTCCGCACAACATCATCACCCACAACATCACCCACAACATCCCCCCCAACATGCCTCTTCCCACCCGCCAGCTAGGCACCAACGGCCCGCAGGTGACGGCCGTTGGCATCGGCCTGATGGGCCTGTCGGTGTTTTACGGCACGCGGCCCTCGGACGAGGAGCGGCTGGCCTTCTTGGACCACGTGTACGCGTCGGGCAACCGGTTCTGGGACACGGCCGACATGTACGGCGACAACGAGGCGCTGCTGGGCCGGTGGTTCGCGGCGCACCCGGGCCGGCGGGACGAGATTTTCCTGGCGACCAAGTTTGCCAACGCGACGGACGGCAGCGGCGTCATCCGCTCGGACCCGGCGTACGTGCACGAGGCCAGCGCGCGCAGCCTGCGCCTGCTGGGCGTCGACGCCATCGACCTCTACTACGTGCACCGCGTCGACGGCACGACGCCCATCGAGGACACCATGGCGGCGCTCGTGGCGCTCAAGAACGAGGGCGTCATCCGGCACATTGGCCTCTCGGAGGTGTCGGCCGACACCATCCGGCGCGCCCACGCCGTGCACCCCGTGGCGGCCGTGCAGGTCGAGTACAGCCCCTTCAGCCTCGACATTGAGAGCCCGCAGATTGCCGTGCTGCAGACGTGCCGCCAGCTCGGCGTCGCCGTCGTCGCCTACGCGCCGCTCGGCCGCGGCATGCTGACGGGCCAGCTGCGCAGCGTCGACCAGATCCAGCCGGGCGACTTTCGGTCGCTGGCGCCGCGCTTCTCCGCCGAGAACTTCCCCAAGAACCTGCGGCTCGTCGACGACCTGGCGGCGCTGGCCGCCAAAAAGGGCGTCACGAGCGGGCAGCTGTCGCTGGCGTGGCTGCTGCGGCAGTGGGACATGGTGATTCCGATCCCCGGCACGAAAAAGACGGCGTACTACGACGAGAACATGGGCGCGCTGGACGTGACGCTGACGGACGAGGAGGACGCTGCGATTCGCAAGGCGATCGAGGCGACCGAAGTCGTGGGCCAGCGCTACGCAGCGTCGTATGTTCACAATCTGTTTCGGGACACGCCGAAGAAGGCGTAGGTGCGTTGAGGAGAAGAGTGAGAAGGCGGTGGACGGTCAGAAAGCTACGAGTATAAGAATGAATTGAATGAAAGGACCGCCGTGATAGATGTCATCCACTCTCTGCACGTTGGATTTTAGGGCAGGACGCTGTAAATCTGACAGCGACAGCGAAGGCTCTAGCGCACAACCCGCACACTCGCTTCAGTGATGACAGGCCTGGCAGCCAGTGGTGCGCGATTGGCCAGCGCTGTGGACCTCATCCCACCTTGGGCGCTGTCACCGACCCGACGTCAACAGAGGCATCCACGAGGGAGGCGGCAAGCAAGACGGCAAACGAGAGATGCACGCAGGCGACGCGACGAACCGGACCAACCATGCCCGCACAGCTCGCGCAGCCCGCACAGCCGCCAGCACCGCCCTTCAGGGGCCGCTGCCAGTGCGGCCACATCCAATACACGCTCACCGCCCGTCCGCGCCGCGTCATCCAATGCCACTGCACCGACTGCCAGCGGACGGGGGGCAGTGACTACCAGGTTGTATGTGTTGCTGCCGTGTTGTATTGATCTCATCTCTGCAGGATGTTGCCGCTGACTGACGTCGTCTGCCTGCACAGATGGCCGAATACCGCGTCGAGGACGTCGTCGTGGAGGACCCTCTCTCGCACTGGAAGATCTACACCATCCGCGAAGGCACGCGCAGCGGCCAGCCCAAGGAGAAGCACTTTTGCGGTCACTGCGGGTGCGTGCTCTGGACGGTGGCCATGAAGGACCGGGGCGAGCTGCGGCTGGTGCGGACGAGTCTGGTGGAGGGCGGGCTGCAGCTGTTTCGGCCGACGAAAGTGCAGTTTAAGTGAGGAGGGTGAGGAGGGTGAGGAGGATGACGAGGATGACGAGGATGACGAGGATGACGATGACGATGACGATGATGACGATGATGACGATGATGACGATGATGACGATGATGACGATGACGATGATGACGGTGGCGGCGACAAAAACAACACCATAGACACAGCATAGCGAGGAGCATGATCAGTTTATTCACAATGTATTCCACGTTTCTAGACAAATGACACGAATCACATCTATGGGTATCAAAGACGACTCCGCCTGGCGAATCCCCTGACGAACCCCATGACAACTCCCCACTACGCATCCTGTGCAAACTTGGACCTCGCGCGCAGCCGCGGCCCGTATACGCGGAAGACAATGGGCGCCGGCAGGGCCAGGGCCGAGACGGCGCCCAGCAGGCTCGCCGCGGGGCCCACGCCGAGCCGGGTGAACATGGGCCGCGCGGCCAGCGGCAGCCCGCAGGCCAGCAGCGAGCGCAGCACGGTGTTGGCGGACGTGGCGCTGGCGGCATAGGGGCCGTAGGAGTCGACGAGGTAGTTGAGGCACTGCTGGAAGACGACGTTGAAGCCGCAGCCGATGAAGCCGCCGGCGACCGTGGGCACGGCCCAGTGGTACCAGTGTTCCGGGTTGCGGCCGGGACCGGAACCGGGGCCCTCGGCGGTCCAGCCGAACCAGAAGAAGCCGGCGCTGAAGAGGAGGCCGCCGAGGACGATGGGCGGCAGGCGGGCCTCGGGCACGGCGCGGCCGTCGCCCTGGCGGGCCATGGCGCGGGCGTAGAGCGGCTGGTTGGCAATGTTGATGCCGACGGCGACGACGGCGCCGACAAACAAAGCCAGAAACGGCAGGTTGGCCGCGACGGGGCCGAAGCCGCGCGCGTCGCGGAACACGAGCGGGTAGACCTCGAGCGCCAAGAAGACGAGCGCGTACGCAAACGACGCGTACAGCGCGATGCACGCCACGATGGGCTCCGTGACGAACATGCGCAGCGGCCGGCCCAGGTGCCGGCCGACCAGCGTCCGCAGCGTCATGCGCGCGCGCTCCTGCTCGTGCGGGTGCCACCAGCGCGCGTCGCCCGTGGCGCGCCGCCGCCGCGCCGCCCTGCGCGCGAGCAGCACGGGGCCGTACGTCTCGGGCAGCCCCAGCAGCGCGACGCCGCCGCTGACGGCCGCCACCAGCGCCTCGACGTACAGCACCCACCGCCAGCCGAGGCGCTCGTCGTACGCAATCGACGCGCCCACGACGGGCGCCACGCACGGCCCGCCGACGACGCACACCGAATAAAAGGCCATGGCCACGCCGCGCGTCGTCGGCGCGTAGATGTCGCCGAGCGCCGCCGACACGTTGCTGATGGGCGCCGACGCAAACAGCCCGCCCAGGAACCGCGTCGCCAGCAGCGCCGACGCCGTCCGCGCCGACGCCGACCCCACGCTGAACACGCCCAGCACCAGCACCGCCGGCAGCATCGACCACCGCCGCCCGTACGCCTCGCTCACCGGCGCCCACACCAGCCGGGCCCAGGCGCGAAGCCCAGCACAACAGCGCCAGCAGCAGCACCGTCTCCTCGGTCCCCATGCCCAGCTCCGCCGCCACGAGCGGCTCCGCCGGCGTCAGGATCGACGTGCCCAGCGAGCCCGTGAACGCCAGCAGGCCGAGAATCAGCGTGCACCGCGCCTTGGTCGCCGACGACAGGTTGTGCGGGTCGTCCGGGTCGGACGCGCCGTCCCACTTGGCCAGGAACGCCGGGTCGTGCTGGTCGGCCGCAGAAGGGGCCTGCGAGCGTGGCCGCGGCCGTGACCGAGACCGAGTGAGGGACGGCACGGCCGACAGGGCCCGCGACCGCGTGCTTGTTGTTGCCCGGCCTGCATCATTGTCGTGTGCGGGGGGTGGGACAGGTGTCGTCTCCAGCGACGGGCCGTCTTCCTTGCCAGGACGTGCTGTCGGTTCGTCCTGCTCTGGCTGGCCCTTTTCCAAGTCTGCGTCGACTGCCGTTCGGTGTGCGTCGTCCATCGTCCGCGTGCTCGTCACCGAGTCGTCTTGTGTCATGCCTGTGGTTCTGTCGGCTGCCGTGGCGGCGGTCTGTCGTATCCTCTGTCGTATCCGCTGTCACAGTGTCGTCTGGACGGGTCTTTTGTATGTCAGCCATCGCACCTGAGGGTCGAGGAAGAAACAAACGAGTGTAAATGCAAAAGAAGATCGGCAACAGACGAAGGAAACAGACACGGACAGCCGACAAATCCACCCTCGTAATCCGAGCACAGTTTGTCACCAGGCTGGAAGAACAATGACCCCAAATGTATCCTTGTTTTGTTTACTGTCATTTTATTTTATTTTATTTTTAAGCACCGTGATCTTCCTCTCCTATGTCGGAGCCCATGGCCGCTCTGGCTGCTCTGGCCGCTCTCGGCCGACGCTTCAGGGGGTTCAGTCGTGGAGATAGCGCGCTAACGTCGGCGAGGTCGGACGTATGTCAGACGCTATGCCTCGGTCGGTCGGCCTCTGAAGCACCACTGCGACCACCTGAACCACTAAACCCTTCCACTGAAAAAGCTTATGCGTTCGTGGCAGCGGGTCAGCGGCCAGGGCCGCACCGACCAGCTTACAGGCCTTGGCTGCTCATAAAGCTGCACACGACTCGTCCAGTTCACGAGGCGTCTGGACGTAATGCACCGTCTCTCCGCGGTACATTCTCACAGTCTCCGGCAGCTAACCCCGCGTGGAACCACTGGTACAGAGGTAGCGTGTGCCGACACGGCTCCGGAGGAGGCACTTCATGTCCAGTGGCTTGCTGTAACAGGCAATGTGATTAGGCGCTGCTGGAAAGTAAAGAGCAGCAAGTAAGACGTTACCAGTTAAGAGTAAAGAGCAAAGTAAGAGTAAAGACGACTCCGACGTATGCGACTGCTCCAACGCCTGGATCCGTCATGATCTGGCCGCGAAGAGTATGGAGCCGCAGGCAGCAGGAATAAAAATGAGAGTTGGATGAAGATTGGAAATGAAGGTTGCGAGAGAACGACTGGACGTGTGTTCCAGACTCGATTCGGCCATGGTGCAATGATTGGAGCATTGCTGCTGCCTGCAGTTGTGTTCTAATGAAACGTCGGTAATTCAGTTTCTCGGGTTCTTTTTATTAACGTTTATATGAGAAATCTCAATACAGATAATAAAATAAATCCGTAGACGTAAAACATGAATGCACCACACCTAATTGACGTTCATATGAGCTGCCTTTTTCGTCGACTCAATGGTACATCGGCCTCAGTGGTGTCTTGCTTTGGGTGCGTTGCTTCGGTTGCTTTCGTTGGTTTGTTTATTTATGCAAAGTCTGGGCCAACGAGCGTTTGAGAAATGCAGCTGCCTATCCCACCCGTCTGTCTCGCTTTATCAATCTCACCCGTCCAGCGCCGATCAACCAGCTACAAATAATACAGTATGTTCCTTTACTGCGTTGAACCAGACACCAAACCATTCTTCCTTTAATATCACATCTTCTCCACCTCTAAATACAATTCACGCCCATCCACCAAGTCCACAAGTCCAGTCCACAAGTCCACAAGTCCATCAATCCACCACCTCCACCTCCACCTCCACCTCCACCTCCACCTCCCCACAATGGCTACCGACGCTGTCTACACCGGCCCCTCGGTCGGCACCATGATCAACACCCACACGCTGGCCAGCGAAATCATCGCCCGCCACGGCACCGGCGCCGAGGCCGTCCTCGACGACGACAACATCCGCCAGCTGCGCCGCTACCTGGACGCGCCCGACGGCGAGAAGCGCGCCGTGCTGGCCAAGACGGGCACCGACAACGTCGACACGGCCCTCGCCAAGGTGCACGAGGGCGGGTACACGCTGATTGACTATGCGGCGCTGGCGCGCGGCTCGGCCAAGGCCGCCTTCACCGACGACGAGGAGGCGGCGCTCCGGTCGTGGCTGCAAGGCGGCGGCGGGGCGCCGCAGGACAGCTAGGCGGGTGGTATGAGTCGAGGGAGATGGGTATGGGTAGATTGGCTGATTGGGTTTACAATAGACTCGATCGCGAGTACGCTACGGTCCATGTTGTCATCGCCATCCACGCTGCCCAAGGACGCATGAGGATCATAGTAAACGGGAATGGCACAACTGCTCTCAATGAAATAATGGACTTTTTATTAGAATTTCCCGTACAATAGGTGACCATCTCGCTGTAGGACCACGTGGTTGTCGGCCGCACGGCCAGCGTACACATCGGATCCACCACGCAAGTAGGCCATCCAACCTGAAATCAACGCAGAAACAGTACAGTTGGTCATATGCCCGCCATATGACGGGACAGGCAGTAGAACAGGGCAAAAGGCCCTTGCTAGGATGGGCTTGGAGGAGGGGCTGGCGGAGGCGGCTTCGGAGTCGGTTTGCGGCTCATGTTCAGGGGGGTATGGATGTTGCTATGCTGCTTTTTGACGGTTGAGGCTGGCGGTTATATCGTTAAATGGTGTATGTTTTAAGGATTGTGTTGTTGATGGTTGTTAAGAAAAAGAAGGAATCCCACCTGGCATGGGCTGAGGGATGATGGGATATTTATGCGGGAGAAAAGAAGGAAAGCATCAGTTGACTACTGAGCTTATCGTGAGTTGTACGTTATAGCTTGCTTCTTTCACAGCTGGATGTGGTTGTGCAAGTGATCCTGTTGACTTATGACGGGCGCCAAGACAAACCGACTCACAAGCATTGTGCAACGCCATGCTCCTCGCCAAACAGTAGACCTGCAAGTCAGACTTGAATGCAGGTACGAAATCACATTCAGGCTCTTTTGTCAGCAGCGAAGTCCCGTCAGCGCTTGTCTGCCCGCTGCGACTAGCCTCGTCACCATGACGTTCTTACAAAGTAAAGGCTGCGAATGACACAGGTGAGACGAGAACTGCAGCTTGTATTTAATCCAAAACAATGCAAAGACAAGTCGACTTCAACAAGCAACCAGGTATACACAAACATTTCATCCGCCTCGTCGCGCACACCCGTCGCGCCACCCGCTACGCCCACCCTGGCCCGCCGTGCTTGGCCAGCTCCTCCGTCGTCCAGTCCCACAGCGCGTCGACCAGCTCCTGCTTCGCCGTCGCGCCCTTGTACGGCTGCAGCTTGCCCACCGGCACGTAGAAGGCGCCGGACACGACGCCCGCAGCGCCCGTGTGGCCCGGCTTCGTCGACGTCGACCGCTTCGCCGTCGCACACCACAGCTGCGTCTTGGCGCCCTCGTCAATGTCGACCCACACAAACCGCATAGCCGTCCGCATCATCAAGCTGAAGAGCCCGCCGGCGCCTTTGCCCCAAATGTCCGACTTGACCACGCCCGGCTGGACCGCCGTGACCGACAGCGACGGGTACTCTGCCGCGAGACGGCGCGCAAACAGGGCGTTGGCCAGCTTGGAGTGCGCATACAGGGTAAAGGGCGCGAACGGGTCGGGCGTGCGCATGGCGTCGAGGGCGAGGCCGCCGCGGGGCAGCGCGGCGCCCGCAAAGGCGGCGTTGGACGACGTCAAGACGACCCGGACGTCGCCGCCGCCGGTGGCCGCCTGGGTGGCCAGCAGGACGGGCAGCAGCAGCTGGGCGAGGAGGGCGTGGCCCACGTGGTTGATGCCAAACTGCGCCTCGTAGCCCTCCTTGGTGAGGGTCGGCGCGACGCTGGCCACCCCGGCATTGAGAAAGAGCAGGTCGAGGCGGGATTCGCGCGCCAGAAAGGCCGCGGCCGCCGTCTTGACGCTTTCGAGCGAGCCGAGGTCCAAGTCCAGCACAACAATGCTCTCGTAGCCCGTCTCTTGGCGGAGCGCGGCGGCGGCGGCCTCGCATGCCTCGTGGCGACGGCCGCACAGATAGATGGCCTTGGGGCCGTGGCAGGCCAGGGCACGCACGGTTGCTTTGCCGATGCCCGCGTTGCCGCCCGTAACAAGCGCGACCTTGCCCGTCAGCGAGGGGATGTCGCGAGCAGGTTCAAAGGGAGTCGGGGCCATGATGCTGGGGGGGAGGGGGGGAAGTCGTGGTCTGTTGTCTCGAGTTGTGTTTTTCAGCGCTGCCGTACACCGTACTATGTGTCTAGAGGACACAACATATCGGCAACCACTGGATACTGAATGCCCTGCCCTGGCCATGCCTTTATATGGTCTTGTCCATCTGCAATTTCAAATCAACCGACGGCGAACAGGACGACGACCGGGCCCTTGTTGGCCCTGTTCCATGTCCTGTCACGCCGTCGCTTGGTCCATCTCCGTCCAGGCGATTCTAATTTCGTCTTCTTTGGTCCCCTTTGCCCATTTGTCGCCGACACGGACGGGGGCGGGCAAACCATCTCGGACTCTGCCATTCCCCAAGACCACTCAGATCGTCCAGCATACGAAGGGCTGGCCGCTCAACTTGGGCCGAGGACACCATAAAACAAATACTTTAGAAAAAGACCGAAGAATGCCGTCGGATGCGTGGTCATTTGGCGGAGCATTTTTGGACGATCGGTGTGATTTGGACCCCGTTGTTGGCCGTCGATTGCCCAAAGAGGAAACTCGACGGAGATGTAAAGAATTGGCACAAAGCCCAACCGGGGAAACAAGAATGTTGAAAAACAAGCGTCGGTGAATTTTGGCCGATGAGACGGGCTGTGTGGAAGCGGCTGCGATTGGGCGGCACCGTAGACTGCCGGCAAAGGCCAAACCCGGTCTCATAATTCAGTGGGTGTTAGTGTTGATTCCGGAAAGAATGCCCTGTAACTTGGTAATTCCACGCTGTGGTGCAGCTTACCCGCTGTCGACACGACAAACGACGGCTGCCTCGTCGAGACCGACGATAATATCAACGACACTCTTTCGTATCTTGCGATATCCAGCGGCCCAAATCGGCCGACATGACACAGCAACCGTGTCCGTGACTGTTTCTTCCCTTCTCTCGCTCACGAGACGTGCCCGCCGACCAACACCACCACCTCCACAATGGCCCTTTTGGTCAGCCGTGCATGCAAGGGCTGCAACCAGCTCAAAGTTCGTTGCCAGCCGGCCCCCTCCGACGCGTCGTCCTGTGCACGCTGTCTGCAGGCCGGCCGCCCCTGCGTGCCGGGCGACAAGCGCCGGAGGCCACGTGACCGGATTGCAGAGCTCGAGGCGCAGGTGGCCGCGCTGAGTCGGCAGCTGCAGAAGCAGCAGCTTGGCGACGTCCCGGGGACCACGGCGGTCACCACCAACACCAGTCCCGCGGCTCGCAACGTCTACTCGTTCAGCAGCGACCTGCCCACCGGCGAGGCGGCCGTGGCCTTTCTGGATGCGCGGGTGCCCCGGGCCGCCCAGCAGCAGGCGCTGGACCGGTACGTGCAGCGTCTCTGGCCGCTGGTTCCGTGCTTTTCGTTTTCGTCCTTTTCGTCGCCAGCGGACAGCCCGCTCGACGCGATGCGCCGCAGCAAGCCCGTCTTGTTCTTTTCGATTGTCACGTTCACCGCCCCGGCGTCGCTCATCCCGCCCGCCGTCCGCAGCGAGCTCCTGCGGGAGGCCATGTGCATGTTTGCCGTCGAGCTCATCTCGAAGCCCAACCGCCGCCTCGACACGGTCTGGTCGCTGCTGGTGGCCTGCTTCTTCTTCCGCGCGCAGAACGGCAGCGCCCACGTCACCGTGCACCAGCTCACGCAAATGGCGACCAACATGGCGATTGACCTGGGTCTCGGCGGCGCGCAGGTGCCCGCGGCGCCCGGCGTGACCCTCTCGTCGACGCCCGTCTCGTCCACGACGCCAGGGTCCGTCCCCGAGCTCGAGGCCATCGAATACTGCGCTTCGCCCCCCGCACCCGAGGCGGACGCGTCGTCGTCGTCGTCGTCGTCGTTGTCGTCGTCGTCGCCGGCCGCGCCGTACTGTACCGTGGCCGCCCGAGCCGATGCGCAATGTGCCTGGCTGGCCTGTTTTGTGTCGGCGTCCAACGTGGCCATTGGCGTCCGCCGGCCCGACGCCAACGCCCAATGGACGGCACACCACCAGACGTGTCTCGACGAGCTCGCGCGCGCGTTTGACGCGCTGCCCGCGGGCGCCGCGCGCGACACCCTGTTTCTGCACATGGTCCGTGGCGAGCGGCTCTGCCAGCAGATTGCCGCGGCCGTCCAGCTGTGCGAGCCCGCAGCCGCGTGGGACGTCGCGGCGCCCGACCAGGCCCTCGTCATGGCCGACCTGCAGACGGCCATCGACAACTGGACCGCCGAGACGACGACGGCGCTGGTGCACGCCCCGCCCGGCCGCCGCCGGAGCCACAAGACGCTGCTGTTCTTCCGCTATGCGGCCGTCATCTACCTCCACGAGTCGGTGCTGCACACGCCCACCAACAAGCTCTCCTTTGGCGCGCCCTACCGGCAGGCCAAGCTGGCCAGCGACGACATTGCCCGTCCGCCCGTCACGGGCAAGCACGTCGCGTCGCTGTACGCCTTGAAAGACGCCTGTCTCGCCCTGCTGGACCTGGCGTGCAGCGACGTGGACGACGACGACAGCGAGGAGGCCGAGGAGGCCGAGGAGGCCGAGGAGGCCGACGTCACAACGTCCAGCGACAGCGCGAGTGCAGAGACAATCACGGCCTTCTTGGCCGACGCCCCCATTTCCTTCATCGCCAGGGTGTTCCACGCCTTCTTTGTCCTCGCCAAGCTCCACATCGCCGTCACCGCCCCCGGCCACACCTTTGGCGCCGTCCTCCGCCCGGCTGAACTGCGCGTGGCGCCCTGCGCGGGCCGCCTGGCCGCCCTGGCCGACCGCGTGCGGCGCCGCAACCCGGACTCGTTCAACCACCGCATCCTGGCCTGCGCCGCGGGCGCCGGCGAATGGTGTGTCGAGTACGAGGCGGCGCGGACGGGCACCACGAAAGCAACCGTGGAGACGCCGCCGGACGAAGAGCAGCCGGCCACCACGGCCACGTTGGCCACCACGGCCGACCTGGACTTTGTCAGCGACGCTCCCTTCTTTGCAGCTGGGGACGCACTCAACCTGTCGATGCTGGACGCCGCCGCCGACACGGCCAACAACGATGGCATGGCCGCCTTCCTGTCTGCCTACGGGCCGAGCAGCAGCACGCTGGACAACGGCATCGGCTTTGGCGTGGACGATGCCCAATGGCAGATGCTCGATCGTTATTTCGGCAGTTTCAGTGCCTAAGGGGACTGGGCGACCGTTTGTGGACAGTTGGTTGAAGAAGGGAAGGTGCGCTCCCATTACGGTGCACCCACAGGGGAGGCACGATGCAGTTGCCGTGTCGATTTGAGAAGGTCCTAATACGCATCTCCCGCGCAAAACCGGAAGGAGCGACACGGCCCAAGATCTCGACGCGTCATCTCCAAAGTTGTGTGAGCCTCTCTTCGTCCACTTTGGTCTGCATTTGCTCTTCAACCTTCACCACATCCTTGCACATCCGCCTACTGGCCCACGATGACATCGCGACGGGGGATGTACAGCGTCTGGGCTCGTGTGACGGCAAAAAGCGTCCACAAGTCTGGCGATATCGATGGGTACGGCCTTTCGAAATGTGGCCGACTTTGACGACGCTGCCCGACGTGCTCCCCGACGCGATCTGTCGGCCTTTGCTATCGCAGCCTGTCGCTATCTCGCACAAGCTGCGATATTGACAACAGCAGAACTAGGCATCTGTGGTATCGAGTCCAGGGCGAAACAAGGGCCTACCCACTCTCTTCTGGAACGACTCTCTCCTTCACGTTCACATCCAACATGTCACCCAAGCCCGCGTGCACAGGCCGCCCTTGGTCAGTTGACTGGTCTGACACAACCGCTCATTGCAGGTGGTGGCTCCCCCTCGCTACCCGATGCGCAGTCTACAATCGAACGCGGCAGTTGAGGTTGCAAGTGAGTCAAGACGACGGAGCATTTATTGTGAGAGCCCTTCACAGCTTGTCTGATATATGGGTTAGCTTTCGTCATTGGATACGCAACATCAAAGAACAAACGCCACGAGTGTATGACCAACCACCACCCATGAAAGTGATGCAACCACCCTTCAAGTTCTAGATGGCCAATCCTACCAAGATCAACGTTCCACCGAAATGGTATAAAATGTATGCTACCCCATGACAATGGAAACGAAAAACGCGCCTTAGAAACACAATTTTCATTGCAAACATATCTTCGATAGCTGACAATTCGGCCAGCGCCCACCCGGCTCAACGACATTACAGCTTTAGCACTTCCGGACACAGCTCACAGAATATCCACCTCAAACGTCAACAAGGCTTCAGAGCTTTACAATGGTCACCCGCACTCACCAGAACGTATTGGTGGACAACGCCCTGCCGGATGAGCCGACCAATACGAAGCCAAAGCCGCATCCGCACAAGCCGCACCCGCAGCCGGGGCCCAGCAAGCCTTGCAGCCAGTAGGAGGCAGACGGGGACACTCAACAACGGACGCAACATCTACGCTGGGATGTGATATTCTGGGACCGGAGAAGGAGACTAGCTGTGGATGTCCAAGAACAAGCTGAGCAACAATTTTAAATTTTGAATTTTGCCGTGCGTTTCGGTAAACATATGTGCCTGATATGAAAAGACTGTAAAGGTGAGCCTTGAGGATCTGGTAGACTGTAGACGTATACGCTACCACCGGACATTTCATAGCAGTCTACCAAGTACCACGTTGGAAAGGACAAGACCGCATCATCAATAGCATATGTCTTCTGGCTGACAATTTGTTAATCGTACAAAACGAGATGTGCTAGAGTACGAGCTTCCGATGGTATGCCATGTAAAAGTTCCTTGACGAATTTCTTTTTCTTTTTTCTTTCTTTTATTTTGTTTTGTCGAGACCGAGTATCAAATCATTCTGCTCATCATGCAAGGACACGTCGATGATACAATATACATTAGAGTCCAGAACAGAGTCAGGTCACTTCCAACCTTGCTGTTACTTCACCGACGGTCTGTTGATGTTCCTCCTTTTCCCATGTAAACTCCATTACTTCACTCCTTTGATTGGCCTGCACGCCACCATGTACAGCCTGCACAAACAGCTCTATTGGCATCGTGATGCAAGTGTCTACAACGTCTGCTAGACAGGTATACCAATCTCCCAATAGAGGTATAAATAGAACGGGAGTCGTGTCGAAATGTTCTGTTGTTTTCCTTATGTCCCAGCCTTCAAATTCAAGTATTCACCTCTCATTCTTGAATGTCAACAACGACCAAAAAAAAAAAAAGCACACAACATCTGCCTCATCATCCACAGCAAACACATATCCTCCCATCATGAGCTCGCGGTCGGGGTCAGGATCTAGCCATCGTACGGGCAGTTCGAGTTCGCGTTCGCGTTCTGGCGGCAGCTCGAGCTCGACGTTGGGCCGCAGCTCGGCCCTGGGAAGCTCCTCTGCTTTTGCCAGTTCGTCCTCTGCTCTGGGGAGCTCTTCGTCTGCTCTCGGTAGTTCATCGTCTCCTTTTGGCAGCTCATCGTCGGCCCTCGGCAGCGGCATTGGTAGCAGCAGCTACAGGTCAAGCAGCGGCCTGTTTAGTGGCATTGGTTCTGGGTCGGGCACAACATCGTCGGGCATCAGCAGCGGCATCGGCGCCGGCACCACGTCCGGATCCGGCAGCTCCCTGTTCAGTGGCATCGGATCCGGCACGGGGACGTACAGCTCGCCGTCCCGGCTGAGCAGCAGCACCGCCTCGGGGGGATCGAGCAGCAGCGGCTCGACGATTCGGCCGGGCCGGTCCGGCTGGGTGCCTTTGCTACCGTCGAGCTCCACGACCAGCAGCCTGTCCACGACCACCGGTCTCGGGACGGGCTCCGGCTCCGGTTACAGCGCCAGCCGGCTGGGGCTCGGGTTGTCGTCGTCGTCTGCGTCGGCGTCGGCGTCATCGTCGTCTCCACTGCGCAGCTCCTCCACCTACGGGTCCGGGTCTGGATCCGGTGCCACCAGCAGCAGCAGCTGGGTCCCCAGTCTCAGCAGCACGTCCACCAGCAGCAGCAGCAGCAGCAGCATCGGCACGAGCTCGTCGACGAGCGGCAGCGGCTCGTCGTCTCTGAGCTCGCCGTATGGCTTGCAGGGCTACGGGTCCAACACGGGGACCTCTCTGCTCAACGCGTACGGCGTCGGCGGTCCCTTGTCGAGCATTCCCACGAGCACCGGATCGGCCACCGGGGGTGGTGTTCCGTACAGCTTAGACTATGCGGGCCCGAGCTACAGTTTTTCCAGCTCGGGCTTGGGCTCTGGGACACTCACGGGCTACGGGTCCAGTTCCTATGCGGGCTACGGCTCGAGTTCGAGTGGCTATGGCAGTTACAGTGGAAGTGGCAGTGGTAGTGGCAGCAGCAGCAGCACCACTACCGGCAAGAAGAATTGGTGGGATATTTAAAGTGGCGCAACAAGTGTTGGCCATGGTGAGGGACATCGAGTGATGATGGTCGTTTGATGTCTGACAAGTTGTTCAGATTTTATTTCCTTTTTTGGTTTGGTTTTATTTTGGATCGTTTTATTTTGCTCTTTTCTGCTAATGTCAGATTGACAGGTTGACAGGTTGACAGGTTGACAGGTTGACACTTTTTTTCGACGACTCTGATTGCTGCTTCCCAGGTTCTTCGTCTCCGTTGATTTGACGGCAATCAAGCTCAATCGATGATTTAATACAAGACAACGATTTCCCTCAGATGATGTGTACACTTGTATTCGCTGTACAAACATGTCCACATTGACTAAACGTATCATACCGAAGACGTTGGTTGCTTTGTGCTCAAATAGGTCTTTTTTTTAAAAAAAAAAAAAAAAAAAAAACCAATTTATCTACTACAGATATAACATTCGTTTTTCAAAAATACATGCATAAACAAATATAAATTATTCATTAAAAAAAGACATAACTGATTTTGACTTTGGGGGTTTTCTCAGCAAAAACGTGTCGAACCGCAGTGAGAAGATTCCCTTCAGCCCGACACGGCTGACAAAGACTGACATCGTCGTCGATGCTGAGGAGAGACTGTGGCGCATGCGCCGTCACTGTTTCTCTGCGCATTTGCTCTTTTTTTGGTGGTCTGGTTTGGCTGATTGCTGTCGTCGACAGTCGTCGTCGTCTTCAAACTATGACACGCCGCGTGCAAATAAGATGAAAGGGGTGACACGACGGCCAACTTGGCCGCGGCCGAGGCGATTTGTTCCTGCAACAGCAATTTTATCGTTGTGGCGCCATTCAGGCCCCTTGTCGTCGTGGTCGTCCATACTGTGTACTGCTAGTACTGCTATGCGGCAACTCGTACGAAATAATGTGGCTAGAGAATAACCTATTTAAAGTGGTGCCGGGGTATGCAGTTGGTCATCATGTTTATTGCCTTTTTCAGACAGCGTGAGATGGCGAAGCAGACGACAGGGACGAGACGAGGCAGCGGTGCCTGTTGCGGAGTCCAGTGGAGAATGGCGTGAGAGCGAGCTGACGTTGTTGGCCTTTCATTTCCAGTGAACGAGATTCGGGTTAATAGCTGTCAAATGCCGAGTCTTTCAGTCGGCGCAACTGCTTTTGTCTTTCTTGTGTGTCGTTCTTGTATTCTCGTTTTGTGTTGTTGCTTTTCTGTTTCCTGCCTTCTTCATTGCCGCTGCTTTGTCAAGTAAACAAAGACGATCTGCGGGAACAAACGTTTCCGAGAAGCCCGCCTCGACCCGAACAGCTACGTTGCGGCGCTTGTGCAACGGTTTCGCGTGCTTCCGATGCGCTGCCCAGCAAATTCCAGGGCCAAGTTGCTGGTGAGTGCTCAGACGTCCCCTGTTGGGTCTAGGCTCTGGCCCGGACGTCTGCCCCCTTCTCCATAAGCTTGTTTTTAGAGCATTCAGTCCAAGCCACATAGGCCCATAGACAGCGGGAGTGCTGTGTTTACAAAGTCTGTTCTTCTGCATAGTAATTCGTAGTTCCGCCAAAGACTAAAAGACAGCGCACTCTGAGGTAATCCTTCTGGTGTCAGACGAGGTGAGAATCCTCCACCAAAGAGGACTAGCTGTCAGAATGGTAAGAACCGTAAGATTTGTCGAGGACGCATGGACGGCAGAGAGAAAGAAGAAAAAGGCACAGGGAGCAGGGGAGACATGCTTCATTTCCTACAATGTATTTTGTACGGAGTACAACTGGCAGACTGCGAGTGAGACTGTTTTACGGTGCTGAGGCAGCGCAGCATGGCCGAATGTTCCGTGCGCAAGGGCTGAAGGAATGGCGAGACACCGACGTGGGACAGAAGACGAGCGCACGTTCTGCCCCTGGCCACGTATGTGTTGTTTGTTTCGTTTCGATCTGCGCAGGTCGAGCCGCATCTTCTCATAAGGTACGAATGTACGTGCTTCCAGACCCTCCCAGCGTCGTATCTGCGAGAGCTGCGGCCGTTTTCCTGTCTGCGGCATGGACCTCTCCGTCGTGCATTGAGTCAACTCGACGGCCGTGTCCCAGCAGCCGCAGAAGGACGGCCAGTGACAGACATGCTCGAAATTGAGCGCCGTCTCCTACCAATCCTTTGGAGCAGCGTCCGCCGTCTCACGCCCACGGCCACCCCTTGCGCGTCTGCGGCCCACGGTTCAGTGGCATCCGGCTGCTGTTTTCGGGTTGGCAGCTACTTCGTAGACGCAGCTCAGCCCCCCATGTTAAAAATAATCCTTTGTTGGTGGGCTTACGGTTGTCTTTTTTAGCACAACCAATAAGACGCCAGCTACGGAAATATACATGCACAGTACAACGTAATACTATGGAGAACGGAACGTACCAACAGCTCAAAGGCAGGGCTTTGTTGGTGCACGCCTCACAATCCCGGCAGGTTGTCATCAGAGCTAAGCTTTTTTGTTTCTCGATGCCTAAACGAGCCTGTTTTTCTGGGATCGTGGCTTTGCCGGATCACCCACGTTCCGTGGTACTTTGTACTCTGTGCATGTACAAACAAAGGAAGATCCTTCCCAGGAGGCAGTAGTGCGTGTAAGTGAGATGGCCACCAGGCTTGCCCTGGCCGGAGAAACAAACGTCAGTGAACCATCCACGGCCAGCTCTGCCCCTTTCTCACGGCGTCGATGCATCTGATGTCTGGACGTCACCTTTTCTTTCTATATAACTAATCTCCTCCACCCCCTTTCTGCATCGTTCCGTGTCTTGTCTCCATCCACTCTTCTTCACTCATCCCAACTTCGCCTTCATTTTCTTTCCTCTTCACCTTCCTCCATTCCATACCCCTTCCCATCTTCTCACAGCCTTCACAACCGCCGCCATGCTCTGCAAGAACCTCCTCTCGGCGACCGTCTTCGCCTCCGGCGCCCTCGCCTACCCCGCCGCCTCCCAGCTGCCGGACGACGGCTTCCCGAGCCCCAGCACCGTCCAGCTCCAGAACATCAACATCGCGGCCGGCGGCACCCTCTCCAACGCCCCGCCGCCGCCCGCGCTCAACGCCAGCAGCATCCCCATCTTCCAGCTCATCAACTTCAACGAGAACTTTGAGGTCGCCTTCTTCAACTCGCTCATCTACAACATCACCAACGACGTCTCCGGCTTCCAGATCCCCTTTGGCGCCGAGAAGGCCTCCGTCCTCAGCGTCCTCCGCACCATCCTCGCCCAGGAGGAGCTGCACGCCGTCAACGCCGCCAACGTCGTCCGCCACTTTGGCGGCACCGTGCCCGTGCCCTGCACCTACAAGTTCCCCACCACCGACCTGATCGGCGCCCTGGGCCTCGCCGAGACCTTCACCGCCGTCGTCCTCGGCACCCTCCAGGACGCCCAGCAGGGCCTGTCCACCAACGGCGACCACGGCCCCGTGCGCGCCGTCGGCTCCGTCATCGGCCAGGAGGGCGAGCAGAACGGCTTCTTCCGCAGCCTGCTCAACGCCAAGCCGTCCGAGAAGCCCTTCCTGACCACCTCCGTCGCCCCCTTTGCCTTTTCTGCTCTGCAGGAGTTCGTCGTCTCCTGCCCCTTTGACATCAAGGCCACCATCCCCATCCCCATCTTCCCCACCCTCGCCGTCGCCGGCGGCGGCGACGTCACCCCCCTCAACCAGAACCTGACCTTTGGCGCCGACCTCACCGGCGTCGCCGCCGCCGCCCCCTTCCTCGGCAACCCCGACGCCGCCGCCAAGGGCCTCTTTGTCACCTACTTCTCCGGCCAGAACCTGCCCCTCAGCGTCCCCATCCACGACGTCAACTTTCACGGCAACGCCATCTCCTTCCAGGCCGAGTTCCCCTACTCCGCCAACGTCCTCGACGGCCTGACCATTGCCTCCCTCACCACGAGCAGCAACTTTGCCAACCCGGATGCCGTGCCCGCTGCCACACTGGCGGCGCCCGGCCTGATCCAGGTCCGCGTCTCGATCCTGTAAATTATCATTCTCGGGGTTTTTTTTTGATTTTCTTTTCTTCAGTCGACTGCACGGCGGCATGAGTTTATGGAAACGGGTATATTGGGGCATGGCTTTGTTGGTTTCTTGTTTCTGTTTTTTATTTCCGTTCTGTTTTGTTTTCGTTTCTGTCCCCTGATGACAGCCTAGAGCATTAATTACAATGGCATTCTTTCTGGCATTCTTTTGCATTTTGCATCCTGTCTTTTGCTCTGCACTACCGTCGCGGCGGAGGATGTAATACGTTTGCGTCGTTGAAGCATTGTTTGATTTTATCGTCTTGCATCTGAATATCTACATTGCAAATATGGCAACAAAATACTGGTGTATGCCCTGAAGGCCAAAAATGTAGGCTATAAATAATATGACTTTGAATTCATATTGCTACCAATAAGCAATGCACAATGACCGTGTAAATGAGCTGTGGGTGAAAGTGCTAGGCAAAAAAAGAAGGCAGAAGTTGGCAGCAAAAGCTTGAAGCAAAAGTTGGAAGGCAAAGTTGGAAGACGAAATTGAAAGCAGAAAAATCATAACATTAAATCAAAATATGAGCCCAACGAATGGCATCGGTATGACAAAAATCAGACCAAATCAAACAGCCTCAAAAAACGCCAGTGCTTTTGCCCGTCAAACCCCATGCGCATGCCATATATTCGTTGCGGCGTAAAACATGATGAAAAAGACGAAAAGACAACCCCCAAAACAGGTGCGTAGTAGCACGAGACTCGTCGCCCATGGCTGTGACTTCTGCAATAAGTAACTTGCTCAAGAATAAGAAGCAAAGAAATAAGAGAATAAACATGAAAACGCCAGGTCAGTTGAAACAGAGAGCCGCCCTCAACGTATGGTAAAGGATGGAGAGTGATCCGACGGTGACAATGGGACAGTCGCTTATTGCCCCTTGCGGCCGAGCAGCTTCTTCACGACACTCTTGCCTTTGGCCAGTGTGCGGATGCTGCGCGAGCGGGCAAGCAGCAGGGACGACCGGGCCGAGGACGGGCGCCGAGACACGGATCCGCTCTCGCTCGCCAGTGCAGACGAGACGAATGGAGCCGACGGAGCCGAGGGAGCAGACGGGGCAGCGGGGGCAGCGGGGGCAGTGGTGAGGACAGGGCCAGCATCTACGCTTGCGTCGACGTCGACAGCCACTGGGCCCGTTATGGGACCGGCCGTCTGAGGTGAAGCAGCGATTGCGTCGGCCGCATCGGCCGCATCGGCCGCTTCGGTGACGTCGGGATGCACGGCAGCACCGCTCGTGGCGACCGAAGTACTCTCCGTGCCGTAGTCGAAGCGGTGTTCGGCGTCATCCGCGTCCTGCGCCGCACGAAAGCTGACGGCCAGCACGCGGTCCCCATCCATGTCATAGAGATCGTCGAGCGCCGCGCTGTCGTCCCCCCCCGTGCCGTCGTCAAAGCTGTTGTGGACGCTGCTCGTGCTCATGTCGAGACCGTCGAAGAAGTCGCTGGGGCTGCGCGCATCGCTGGACGGCGGCCACTGCAAGTCGTCGCCAACGGGGCTGGTGCAGAACATCTGGCCGTCGTCGCGTACCTGCTGTGCATGGTGTGATGGGTGTGGTACGCCATGGCCGTGGGCGCTGCCTTCGCCGGCGTCAATGTGCACGTCATGCATCAGGCAGATGAGGTCGTCGAAGTTGTCGTCGTGGACAGGGGTGCGTACGCGAAAGATGATGTCGGCGTCCGGGATGTCGCGCGAATCCACCCACATGTCATCGTCTTTCCGCTTCCTCTCCTTACGTCCCAAGCGGCCCAAATTGGCCGTCAGCTTTTCCGTCAGGTTCATCTTCTGGTCGTTGGTCGGCCCCGGCGCCTGGACGGCCGGTGTTCCGAGGCCAGTGGGACGGGTCACAAGAATGTGTGGCCGATCTGCCGCGGTAGGCGAGTTGGCCGCTGTGTCAAAGGCGGCCGGTGTGGTCAAGGCTCCGGATGCGTCGCCGTTTCCGGCAGCGGTCGTCGGAGCATGGAGATTCTTCTCCATGTCCCAGCCCTCTGCGCCGAGATGCATTCCAGCTGGCTCCATCAAAAAATGTGACGGATCGTTGCGCAGAGCTTGGAGCAAGTCCCAGAACCCTTCTTTCAGATTGACGCTCTCGGCGCTGATCTCCACAAACTTGGACAGGCCGCTCTGCTCTCCGTAGGTGTAGTCCGCCATGAAGCGCACGCGGTACGCAAGGTGGTACGAGAGGTCCCGGTGCTGCGCTGCCAGCTTGTCGGTCAAGGGCAGACTCTCCTTGCGCTGCATCTTTTCATAGGCGAGCGTCTGTTCAAAGAACATGCAGAGTCGAATCAGTAGATTGAGCGCGCGTCGGCTGCGCTTTGGCGTCTCGTCGTTCATCCGATTCTTGTTCAATATTTTCTTGATGAAACGGAATGCGCGAGCGGCGCTGAGGGCCTGCATTAGGCGCAGGTTGTCTTCCACCTCGGGTGTAAAGTTGAGTGCATTGGGGAGGCCACTGCTGGACTGTATCGTCAAAAACTCGTGCGCCTGCAACAGGATGCTGGCTTGGTAGAACGGTTTGTTCAGAGACTTGTCCTCCGACGGATCGCCCATCAGGAGCGGCTTGTACACATCGCCGTTGCCAAACTTCACTTCAGACAACAGCTCAAGCGGAAAGCCACGATCTGATGTGTAATTCATCGACATGGCCTTGTCACCAGCAATCATCCCGATTGCTCTTTCTTTCAGATCGCTGCGAAGACCTAGACGTGCCAGTCTGTTAGCATCGAATGCGGCTATGCAATATGGAACATGCGTTTGTCTGTGTTTTGTGTCTACGCACCGTCTAAAAAGACATTTTGTTCGGAAAAGTCTTGGCTGACGCATATGGGGTACGCCGCAGTCTTGCCCTGGCATTTATCGCAGGGAGAACCGTTGTCGCACTATCAAAGAAGCAAGAGTCAGACGAGGTGTGTCAGGGGAAGAAAAATCAAGCAACTGGCAGGCGAAGACATACCTTCTTCCGCTTTATGGCGCACGGGACGCAACTCAAGCCATCTGCCTTTTTGCCTTTGGCCATCTTTTTGGACAAGCCGGTGGCGCCATCGAGGTCGTCGGAGCGGCGTCGTTTGGCGTTGCTGCCCTCGGCATTGTTGACGTTGTGGATGCCGGTGCCGACGTTGAAGTGGTTCTGCATGGAGACAGGCACGCCCGCCACTTTTTTCGTCATGGCGACGTCGCCGGCAGCCGATGCCGGAGCCGATGCGGGAGCCGAGCGGAACTTGGGCTGTTGATGGCCGTCGGCAGCTGCCACCGAGACCGACGACAGGGGCGAGGACGAGTCCAAACCGGAGCTGTTGTCCGAGGTCGCCGTCAACTGGCTCGGCTTGCGCGTTGGCGTGACAGGGTGGTGGACAGACGGGCCGTAGCCGATGTGGGCAGGTTGCGGACGTGGCTCTTGGGCTGTCTGGCTTTGGAAGCTCGTCAGGACGGGCAGCGACGGCGCGTACTGGCTGTTCGCCTCAACAAGCGCGTTGACTGTGTTTTGGGAGAACTCGGCCTCGGGCAGCTCGACATCAATGTCCGGCGAGTTCTGTGAAACGACAAAGTCCGACTGGGCCAAGCCCTGGGGCATCGGAGACGAGAGTGGCGTAGCCACGGCAGAGGGCATGTTTTGTACGCCGACCCCATACAGCACCTCTCCGTTGTCTTGTGTTGGGGGAAAAGGCGACGGTGATGTGGGGAGGAGAGGCGGCTGCAGGCCGTTAGGCAGGTACATCCCTGCCGGTGAGGTGCCTGCCATGTGGTGAGGCCTCGCGTAGGTGGACGGGAAGGATTGGGGGTGGTAGGCGACAGTGGCTGAGGGAGGTGCCGAGTGAACAGAGAGATGCGAGGTGTGGGATGCCTGCGAGAGGTTTTGGGACATGAGGGTGGCAGAGGCAGGGGATGGATAGGCCTGGATTGGGTTGTGGCTGGTCTCGCCGGTGGACGGATCGAAGAGCGGGCCGACGGCGACGCCACTGTTCCTGAAGCTGCCAAACGGATTGCTGCTGGGCATTCCGTAGTACCCACCGGCGCTGAACGAGCCATTATTGACAGTATTGACAGGGAAGTTCCGGCCGTCAAAAGAGAAGACCGCATGTGGCGGCGCGGAGACTAAATGCCGGGCGCTGGCCGGCGTCGAGACATAGCTGTCGGTCTGGGTCTGGTTGTAGAGAGGACTTTGACTTTCTTGCATTCCGGCAAAGGCAAAGTCGTGAGACGGCGGCAGGCCACCCAGATAGCCACTAGGCTGCGGGCCGTGTTGAATGCCTTGCTGTGGAAGCAGATGGCCTCCACCAGGTATGGCGAGCGGCTGCAATGACGGCGTGGCCGGCCTGCTCAAGCCCAGGAAGGACGTGTTGCCCTGGGATGTCGGTCGAAGATAGCTGGTGCTACTGCCCGGACGCAAGTCCATGCCCGAAGCAAGGAGATGCTCTGGGATTCCGTTTCCGCCGGCCGCCATGGTCATAGCGGTGGTGGGATACGACCCTGGAACGAACAACGGCCCCAGAGTGGACGGCGGTTCCGTCTCATCGTGCCCGAAGTAGGGAGGATTGCGAGAGATGGTGTTCATGACATTGTTCGTAGTGTTGTCCATAGGATCCCTTGGCAGAAGAGTGGGCGGTGCGGTTGAACTTTGGAGTTGCCAGACAGGTGCTCTGAGTCTAAGTCAAGCTCGGTAAGGATGGGGCGGTTCGAGGGAGACGCAGACGCCTGGGGCGATGATGGAATCGCGGTGAAGTGGCAGCGGAGGCCAAGACGGGGCAAGCTAAGATCAAGGACGAAGAAAAAGGGGCAAACGCAAAGATCGAAGAAGGCAAAGAGAAACGGAAGGCGCAACGTGAGAGCCAGGGAAAGAGCGACGCAGCTCAGCAAGCAGCAATGTGGCTGCGGTTGTGAGAAAGAGGGGAAAGAGCGACCACTACAAAAGCCAAAGCCAGTGAACAGGCAGGTGCGACAGCTTCACCGTAAACAACGCGAGAAACGGCCAGGGAAGGTACGAGTGGCGACGGAAATGGAGGAGCCAGACAAGAATCTCAACGATTGTCAAAAGAAACGAGGTGAATTGGTTTGAAAATGGTAAAATGGAGAGACTAGAGGCGAATCATGCGTTCTGCCTTGCGCCCAGGACCCTTTCTTTTGTACAACTTGCTGGATCCTCAGCCTTTCGTCGCCTTTTTTAGCCGCTGGCCTCTATTGTAGTGTTGATGGCAGTGCAAAACAGTGCAAGTGCAGTCTTGGGGACGGAAGAGCCCACTATTGATCACGCTAGGCGTCCTTTGGACTAGTTTGGGCGTCTTCTCCAGTCAGGCGCGAAGAAGGAGCGACCCAAAATAAACCACACGTGATGGCGCTAGTCCAAATCTAGGGTTTCTTGAGGAAAGGCGCAGCATCTCGCCAATCATGGCAGTTCACTTTTCAGCCTCACCCCCTCAGGCCTCCAGGCGGCCCCAAGGCGCCTATCGGGGAACAGTCCAAAACTGATTAGTGGTTTCGGAATGTGCAGTGGGCCACGGCCCATCATGGCCACCGATTTGCCAGACCAAGTCGCCTACATAAACAAGACTCCTTCCCTCTTACTTTTGAAAGGTGTGCAGGTGTGAAGGATGATTGCAGGGTGATCCAGGAACGGTCTGAATTGGGACGTGTCTGTAAAATAGGCGCCAACTGAGAGAAATAGGCGACTGTTTCTCGTGCTTGAAGCCGTCCTTTGTGTCGAGACCCGACGCCACCCCCACACGCATACATAAATCTCGGTATGTGGCCTTCAAAACGACAAGGCCGTTAATGTGTTGACAAGAAGAAAGATGGGCGCTCCCATTTTGAGCAGTGAACGGTCAGAGCGCGCACAGCCTGAGGCAAGTAGCAGGCACTCAATATCCGTGAGGAGGTCCTTTTGGTTTAGACTTGAAGGTCGAGAAGGAGACTTGCAGCCTCTACCTCGATATGTCGCAGCACGGCTGAAACACGAGAATTGTCAAGAAGTCGACAAGACGAGACCAACAGACCCAAACGACGAAAACAACATCGAAACATCGTCGTGGCTGGCCACAAAGGTGAACAAAACATTTTGGTGGGGCTGGCGCCAATGTGGACTCGCTCCGCCCCGCCGGGGACGCTAGGGAAGGCGCGTGTGGCCGTGGACCTGGCTAAGCCTGGCAGTTTCCCCTTTTTGGCATCTCATTGTGAAGACCGTTCCTGCCCCGCGTAAGAAGAGACGATTCCTGAGGGAGGAGAAATAATATGCTTTCATTGCAAATTAAGTGAAAATCGGGCTTGAGAAATGACAGTCCAGTGCGGGTCATCGTTCTCTCCTTAAGTGACGCGACGATACCGTTGGCAGGAACGACCTGTTCAAGCTGAATGAGGGCTGTAGAAGCGCAAATCGTAAAGCTGCATACATAAATCAGTGCACAAAATGTGCAATCTGTAAATGGGATTCACGATCAGTAGTACAATATGTAGCCAATTCTGTAGCCAGTGAGCCGTAGAATGGAGTAAACGGGAAGAGGCAGACTTGATTTGCTGAATTTTTTACATCTTTGAAGCTGCGATGCCACTGGGTAGCTCGCTGGCTCGATTTAGAGGCTAACCAGCTCGAGGATTGAGTATGTCGTTCTCTCTGCAACGACCGTTTCCAGCGATCAATCGGCGCATGAGACACTCGCTGGCTTTACTACGGCAAACCTTTACCTTCCATTCATTCACATTCGCTTATTTGTTTTCTTGCCGTTGATTTCTGTTAATGTCACCGTTGATCGCGTTTTGATCTGTTTCTGTACCGTAAACCTGCACGTGCGATTCACAGGGCCTTGTTCGGATGTGTGGAAGATAAATTTTGCATTCCTTTTTTTTCTTATTTATTTAAAAAAAAAACGCAATTGTTTTACTTATTTTTATTTAAAAAACAACATTACTCTCATACCAGAAGGCATAAAGAAACCTTTAATTCTTCAATAATACCATGTACGGCACAACATTTCACCCTTTCTCCACGGTTTTCTTCATTCGATCCACATCCGCTCCAATCCACCCAAAATCGCAACGTGGGAAGGTCTTCTGGGTCCAGAGGCGGCAGACTAGTGAAACATGCAGTTGCGGCTTACATTATTGGTGCATCGTACGATCAGTTTGATTTCTAACATGAGTATGCTTATGACAAATGGGTTACCAAAGGTGAGGAGGGATTGCGTGGTCCAACACAGACTGCGAGGAGCGTATATGCTCAGACCTGTGGAGAAGCACAGACCCAGACGCAGAAAATGTGTCGTCACCGCGTGTCGACGCCATCCGCGTCATCCCGCCGCCGAGCCCTTTCTATTGGCGAAGAAGGCGGAACGAAAAACGAGAGAGGATGAAGCGCTGTCGCCAAGAGAGCATCCCGTCTTCGGTTGCCCACGCATGATGTGTGCAGGGATGTGTGAAAAGACACGCAAAGTATTCCACCCGCCTGGCTGATGATCCTCGAGTCTGGAATCATCGCTTGTGTTAATGTCGACCTGGTTAATGGTTATTCTAGCTGTTGCCGATCTTCCTCTAATTGATGCTTTTATTAAGGGCGGCGTGAAGAAAACCTTAATATATGAGGTGCCCTGCATTTCGTTAGAGTTTAGATTTACGCAGTAAGAGTCCTTACTACGTAGACCTACATAACAATACTGCTGTTCAGCTGACTCGACATGTTCCAAAACCTTCTGTTTTGGCCCATGCCGGCGTTCCGGCAAGCAACGGCAGATCTCACTGGCGGGGCAAAGTCGCCCAACTGGGCTCGCGGAGACGCTGCTCCACATCGCAGCCACAATTGGGGTGCCTCCAAGCATGAGGTCTGACCCTGCAAACAAATGACCACGGACCCAAAATTATTGTTTTCTCTGGCCTTTGTGTTGTTTGTCCGGCATGATCGGACGAGCGGACGGTCAAGTATAGCATCCCTCGGCCAGGCAGCCTTGCGCTTTGTGTGATTTTGGCCGGATTTCTGCGGTTCTGCGGTTCTGGGATTTTTGGTTCTTTGGTTCCAGGTTCTGGGTTCAAAGTCCTGGGTTCGCATTTCTCGTTATTTGTTGTGCCGCCTCCTGTCCCTGCGCCCATCCGTAATTCCGTCGATCCCCTAAAACGTGCATGTTTTGGTTTTGTTCATGTCGACATCTGATTTGTCGACGTCGGCGTTGGAGGTGTTTGGCTGACCGATTTGGTTCGTTTTCTGGGTGCCTTTGTTTCGACCCAACTCTTCCTTCGCCCGCCCACGTTGCGTTGACGGTTCTCCTTGTATTCCGTACATGCCACACATACAGAGCATGGTGAAGCACAGCTAGCACAGGTCAACTTCATCCTATAAGGAGGGGATGATCCATAGCGTGCCAAGCGCCTGCCGTGGTTGCAGATATAAAAAAATAGATGACGACGACTGTGCCGCTTGCTAGTTGGGTCAGCGCGAACCGGGGTCCGGGAACACAGCGCATATCGCAAACGAGAGGGAAGAAGAAAGAAAAGGGGGCTGATGCAGTGAGTGCCCGAGGAGACGAGCCTTTCCAGGGCCAAAGAACAGCATGCAGATGACGACAAGGGACGAATTATAAGGCATGACCAGATGGTTAATCAGAAACCCATCACCTGGACGCACGGGACGCTTCTGTTCTGACGCTCGAGAGACGGGCGCCGGCTCGTTTAGAGCGGGAGATATAAATTGTTTCCGTATGTCCCTCTCCTCGACCGTGTGGCTCGCTGGCTTTTGTTTGGCTCTTCCTTTACCCGGGCAGCTGATATTGTCTTTAAATATCCGGGCCATCCTCATCCCACTTTTGCGCATCTGAGCAATACGTTTCTCTTCACCATCCAAGTCGTTCAAAATGCTGTCACAGGGGACCTCGATTGTCGCGGCGGCGGCGCTGCTGTCGTTCGCCGGTCTTGCTCACGGTGCCGGGTCCACGGCCATTAGTTCGGTTCTGGTCTGCACCGACAACATCTATGCCGACGGTATGTCCGGAAAGAAACGAAAGGATGACATGCGAACACTGGTCAGACATACTCTCGGACCACAACTGACTTGGGACAAGGCTTCATCTACCGCAACACGACGGGCGACGGCACCACGTCGACGAGCCTTGACGCGTTCGCCGCCAAGGACTCGTTCCCCCTGTACTGTAGGTTCCTTTTGCATTCTCTCTTCGCTCGTTGTATGTCCAATGTCCGCTCCTTCTCACACACAGAACAGTGTCGGTGACCAGCCACTCAGGCGCGCCGCTGGACCCCATCCAGCCGGCACGCAAGAACGGCTTCCACAACTACGCGTCGCTCGACCAGAACCTGTACATCAACGTGACGGCGGGTGCGTTTGCCCCTGTCGGGTTTGTCGACGGCGGCAACGCGACGCTGGGCACCGGGGAGACGACGTGGGGCTTTTATGCGGCGTACGGGTTTGTCATGTGGTACAACTTGCCGTCGTCCTCGTCGGCGGCGGCCGTGCCATCGTCGACGCCCGTCCACATCCAGGGCTTCCAGTGGGTGCCGGTCAAAGGCTACACAAACGTGACGCAGCTGTACTGGAACCAGACGCAGTACGAAGAGGCGGCGGCGGAGGGGGCGCGGTCGACCATCTCGGCAGCCGGCGCGTCGTTTGGTCTGTGCTCGAGCGACGTTGAGGCCAGCGTCAAGGCGGAGTAGACGGTGTGGGGGCTTGGGGGCTGGGAGTCCTATTCGGACTACGAAAAATGGGAAAGTGGCCTTGACAGAGAAGAATGATAAGTATGGACTGGTAAACGCGGCCGGCCGTTTAAGTATATGGGTATTTTCGTGCACGGTAGTAGATAGCGTATTAGGTGGCGACTATACTGCGAACAAACTATTAAGAGATTGAGCGGAAGCATTCTGAACCGAGTCAAAAACAGAAAGCCAGGAGAAATGAATCAGAGGTTGACCTTTCTAGAACATAGCAACTACCGATAAACGAGACATTTCGCACTCACAAGGACGACCACGTCATAAATTCGTTCATTCCGTGTATTGTAACCGGCCATAGTTGCTATCTGCTTCCTCTGCAGCGTCGGAACCACCAACCCAATTTGGGTTATCCACGGGCCGGGTCATGTGGATCTCTTACTCTCTCACCGTCGTCTTTGTAGTTTTGATGGCCGACTCGTCTTTCATCGATGTGATGCAGATATATGCTATACGGTGCGGCATGCGCTCCTGCCCTCTCCAGAGCACGCTAGTGTACACTGGCCAATAAAATACATTTGTAGGACCCATTCTACCCGCGTAGTCCCGGCAAGGGCCGTTTTCACGGTCCGAAACGCAAGTGGCATCAATGGTGAACACACGAGAAGAGGGGAGATAAGGTATAGAGGGATGAGCAGAGAGCGTACGGCAGGTAGCAAAGACCACACGATAGAGGGATGAGCAGAGAGCGTACGGCAGGTAGCAAAGACCACACGACAGAGGAATGCTTTGTTGTTCTGTTATTCTTGTAGTCGCACGTTGTCATGGTTTAGCTAATAGTCGGAACACATCCACCCATCCTGTCTCGTGGCCGGCTATACCGTCCCCTCCGGGGTCGGCGTCCATGTGTCCGGATTCGGGGACCCGCCGCTGCGGATCGTCAGCCGTTCCGACTTGCGGTGTGCCACCTTGAGCCACTCGCCGTCGCCCACGTTGGCCAGCAGCTCGATGCACAAGTGGATGTGGCCGCGCGCGACTGGCTTGGCGTCGGCACGAGCGCCTGTGCCTGTGGGTAGTGGTGCCGACGCCGACGCCGTCTTCGTCTTTGTTATCGTCTTCGTCTTTGTCTTTGCTGGGCTGGACGGCCCCTCCGTCGCCTCCTTGGGCGGGGGCTTCTTCATAATCATCTCCAGCTCGAAGCGGTGTTCGCGCGGCGACGACGCTGTCCACTGCGGCAGACGCCCGCTGCGGCTCCGGTTGCCCCGGATCCGGCCGTCGCTGTCCGCGTCGTGCACGCTGGTCCACCACAGGCTCTGCTGGCTAAGCGACGTCGCGTGAGGCTTGGGCGCCAGGACCACACGCCGCGCCCGGTCGTTGCCGGCTGTCTGTGTCGTGTCGGTCGTGTCGGTCGTGCCCGTCGTGCCGGCCGTCCCGCCGGCTGCTCTGGCCAGTCGGGTCGCCGGCGACCCCCGGCGCAGGGCCACATTCCGCGGCGCGTGGCCCGCAAACATGACCTTGATGTGGACCGCCAGTTCCAGCACGCGGACGGCACGCCGGCCGCCCCCTGGCTGGAACAGCAGCGGCCCGGCGTCGCGCCGCAGCGCCGTCAGGCTGTACGAGCACGTCACGCCCAGCACATGGCCGGCCGGCAGCGTCCACTCGTCGTCGCCGCCGCCGCCGTCGGCCGCGCGCACGACGTAAAAGGTCGGGTCAAACTGCGCATTAAGGGCCACGCCGACGGCGTGTGTGGGCGGCGGCTGCGCCGCGTGGGAGGAGCCCATTGCCGTGTCGACGCAGGCCAGCAGGCCAAACTTGGACAAGGACCAGAAGTCTGGGCGGCCCTGTTGGGTCTGCGGGCCGGGCGCGGGGGGCGCAGGCCGAAGCGGCAGGGCCGTTTCCGTCTGCAGTGCGCCTGGCACTTTATCTGGATCTTTGTCGTCGTCGTCGTCCTCCTCCTCCTCCAACAGTTGGTGTTGTCGCTGAAATGGCAGAGGCTGGCGGCCCATGACGTGATTGTCCTCGGGCTCGACCGCGTTGCTCGCACGCGCGTGCGCTCGCGCTGCGAGGCTGTCGCGGACCTCCTTGGCCTCCTTGGCCTCCTCGGCCGCTTCGGCCTCCTGCAGCTGCCGGAGCCGCTGGCGCAGCTTGGCTTTGCGCTCCAGCACCAGGATCTGCCGCGCCAGCTCGCGCTCTTCGTCGTCGGGTTCGGGTTCGCTCCGATGCGCCGGGGCCGCCATTGTCATTGTTGCTTTGTTGTTTGCGCGTCGGTGCGGATGTCGAGAAGGTCGGGAAGGTCTGGTATGTCGCGACTGAAAAATGCATGTTTGTCGAGCGACCTAAGGCTGCCAGCGTCGCAATTTGGCTGGTGTCCGAATCTGGTTGGCGGAGGGGGAATATGCATGCTGCGGCCGGGGCGAGAATGGCACAGCCACAGACGAAGCTGATAACGGCTGAAGTCTTATGGTGGTTCTTTCTTAATAATAATGTACTATGTGTACGAATAAATCATATCATTCACACCGGGCGACCTGCTGTATTCACATAGCTGACCTCCATTGGGTCATCTGTCGCCAGCCATCGCTCAAAGAGTGTGTCGAATCCGCCATGCGCTCCCGCTGCCGTCAACAGCCAGCCAAAGAGCCTTGGTTTAGACTGCTGACACTTGCTGTGGAAAGGCAGGCAGAGGATACTTGTTTAGTCAGTTGAATTTAACATACCGACGAAAAGACTGCAAAGACAACTTGTTTATTCTATCGCTCTGCTTTGCATGGCTTTTCTACTTTCCACGGCATCTGGTTCGTGACGAGTTACTGTTCTCTGTATGGTGTAAAGAAGTATTAAAATTAAGGAAATAGCAGCGAAAATCATCGCAACCACAGTAGAAAAGCAAACAGTAGACATTGAACCTTTGAACGCAAAACAAGAACGCAAGAAAGAACGCAAACAAATCTAATGAACCATGTAGAACCCAACGATGCAATGCGTGGACAGAAGAACAAGAGAAGAAGAGTAAGAACAGTCAGAAAGCACAATAATCAAAGCCCACACAACCCCCCCCCCCCCCCCACACACCCTCACTCCAGCAACTCCTTCTTGACCAGCCGCGACTGGCGGGCAATGAAGCCGCTCAGCGACTGGGTGGTGCGGCTGCCGAGGAACTCGAGGACGGGCACGGTGGCCTCCATCTCGCTGCTGACCCAGTTGCGCAGCTCGACGGCGATGAGGGAGTCGAGGCCGTACTGGCTGAGGGGCTTGTGGGGGTCGAGGTCGTCCTCGGCGGCGAGCATGAGGAGGGCGGTGATTTTGGCGCGGAGGGCGGCGGCGAGGAGGGCGACGACGTCGGCGAGGGAGGCGGCCTGGCGCACGGCCTCGCGGAGGGAGCGCGTGGGCGTGTCATTCGTACCGGGGTCGGCATCGGCATCGGCATTGGCATTGGCATTGGTACCAGCGGCGGCGTAAAGGGCCATGCGGCGCGCCATGGCGAAGCGCGGGTCCTGGTAGATGGCGCGCGCGGGGTCGCCGCCGGCGTAGCGGCCGAGGCCGAGGCCGGTGACGTAGTTGGCGGACCAGGCGGTCCCGGCAGCCTCCAACCCGTCCTCGTCACCCCCCAGCATGGCCGACTCGACGAGCGCGAGGCACTCGTCGCCGCTGATCTCCTCAAAGCCCTGGGAGCGCAGCGTCTGCTGCACCTGGCCGTGCTCGGCCACGTAGCCGATGCCCGTGACCATGCCGAGGTCGAGCGTGGTGGCCGGCAGCCCGCGGCGGCGGCGGTAGCGCGCAAAGGCGTCCTGGAAGGTGGAGGCGGCGCCGTAGGCGGCCTGGCTGGGGTTGCCAATGGTGCCGACCATGGACGACAGCAGCACGAAAAAGTCGAGCGCGCCGGGCGCCTGGGGCAGCTGGCGGTGCAGGTTCCAGGTGCCGGCGACCTTGGGCCACAGCGAGTGGTTCCAGGCGGCGCTGGACATGTCCTGGAAGAGGGCGCTCTCCATGACGAGGCCGAGGTGCACGACGCCGCGCACGGGCGGGAAGCCGGCCGCCTGCGCCGCCGCGAGCGCCGCCGCGAGCTGGTCGCCGCGGCCCACGTCGCAGTTGGACGCCACGTGCACGCGGGCGCCGCCGCCGTCGCGGCCGCGCAGGTCCGCGACGGCGGCGGCGGCCACGTCGGTGACGACGTCGCCGCGCGACAGGAGGATGAGGTGGCGCGCGCCGAGCGCGTGGACCATGCGCGCGGCGAGGGCGCGGCCGATGCCGCCGAGGCCGCCGACGAGGAGGTAGCTGGCGTCGGCGCGCAGGCGCACGGGGGGGACGCGCGGCGACATGACGGGGGCGGTCAGCACGACAGCTGTCTTGGTCGCGTCCGTCGCCTCCGTCGCCTCCGGCACCAGCACCAGCTTGCCCACGTGACGGCCGGCCTGCATCGTGCGCAGGGCGGCGACGGCGTCGGCGTAGGCGTAGGCGGTGAGCGGGGCGGGCGCGCGGGCGACGCCCGCGCGCACGAGGTCCATGCTGTCGGCCCAGAGCGCGGCGCCGTAGCGCGGGCGCGCGGCGAGCAGGGCGACGAGGTCGACGGCGACAAAGGTGACGTTGCGGGCAAAGGGGGCCATGTCGAGGCGGCCGTTGCGGCCGAGGTCGCGCTTGCCGAGCTCGACGAAGCGGCCAAAGGCGGCGACGCAGCGCCAGGACGCGCGCAGCAGCTCGCCGGCCAGCACGTTGAAGACGACGTCGACGCCGGCGCCGCCGGTGGCCTGGCGCACGGCGTCGGCGAACCCGTCGTCGCGGCTGCTGAAGATGTGCGCCGGGTCCAGGCCGTACTGGTCGACCAGCAGCTGCTTCTTGGCCGGCGTGCCGACCGTCGCGTAGACGACGGCGCCGCGCTGCTGGCAGAGCTGCACGAGCGCCTGGCCCAGCCCGCCCGAGGCCGCGTGGATCAGCACCGTCTCGCCCGCCGCCAGCTGCGTGATGCGCACCGCGTGCAGCGCCGTGCACAGCACAATGGGCAGCGCCGCCGCCGCCGCAAACGACAGGCTGTCCGGCAGCACCTGCGCGCGCCACGCCGCGCAGCGCACCGTCGTGGCAAAGGTGCCGTCGGCCGGCGCGGCCACGCGGTCGCCGACGCGCACCGCCGTGACGGCGCGGCCGACGCGGCGCACGACGCCGGCGCACTCGCGGCCGAGCGCGCGCGTCTCGATCTGGCCCATGGCCACCATGACGTCGTGGAAGTTGAGGCCGGCGGCGCGCACGGCGATCTCGACGTGGTCGTCGGGCAGGTCGGCGTCCGCGTCCGCGTCCGCGTCGTCAAAGTAGAGGCTGTCCAGCAGGCCGGGCTGGCCCACCATGAGCTGCAGGTGGCGGCCGGGCTGCACCGGGGACGCGGGCACGGCGATGCGCCGGCCCGTGCGCGCGGCCACGTAGTCCGAGGGCGCGCGGGCCTCGTCGTAGCGCGGGATGTGCACCGTCGCGTGGCGGCCGCGGACGGCCAGCTCCAGCTCGACGTCCGCGGGGCGGCCGTCGGTGGCAATGTCGGTCGCGCGGCCAAACGACTTGGCATACACGCGGGCCACCGTGTGGACGGAGGGGTCTTGCTCGGCCGCCGAGGCCCCCGTGTCCACATCCACGTCCAAGTCCAGGTGCACCAGGCGGCCGCCCAGCTCGACGCGCAGCGTGCGCAGCAGGCCCTGCACGAGCGCAAAGTCGGGCGCGCTCGCGCCGTCGGACGCGCCGCGCGTCAGCCACAGCACGCGGCCGCCGCTCGTGCCGGCCGGCCGCAGGAACAGCGCGCGCATCTTGTCCATGCTGGCGGGCGTCTGCGGGCCCAGCGTCTGCGGGTCGGTCTGGTAGACGACGCACACGTGGCGGTCGGTGATGGGCGGCAGGTCGTCGAGGGTGTGCACGGGGACGTCGGTGCCGGGGGGGAGGGGAGGGCGAGGGCGAGGGCCTTGGCCAAGGACGCGAGCCACGGCTTGTTGGCGGCGTCGTCGGTGACGAGGAGGGGGGTGTCGTGGGGACGGGGGGCGTCGGTGTTGGGCTCTGTCTCGGTGACGGTGTTGGTCGTCTCCGGCGTCTCCGGCGCCTCCGTCGTCTCCGTCCCCGTCGTCTCCGTCTCCGTCGTCTCGTTGACGTCGCTGCCGCCTTCGGCGCCATCGACATATACCGCCGTGCTAATCATCGTCGTCCCCTGGTGCGTCGCCACGTCCGGCGTCTCCCACACGGCCGCGTCGAGCCCCGAGAAGCCCTCCGCCTTGAGCACGGCGTCCCACTGCGCCTCGGCCAGCAGCGGCGAGTCCTGGCGGTGCGGCTCCTCGGCGACCCACCAGCCGTCAAAGATGCCAAAGATGTTGCCGACGGCGGCCGTGGACACGCGCTGCTGGGGCACGCGCACCAGCTCAATCAGCAGCAGCGTGCCGCCGGGCCGCAGCAGCCGCCGCGCGTGGCGCACGGTGCGGGCCATGTTGCGCGTCGCGTGCAGCACGTTGGCGGCGACGACGAGGTCGTACGCGCCGGCGGCGACGCCCTGCGCGACGGGGTCGCGCTCAATGTCGAGGCGGCGGAAGCGCAGCAGCGACGCCCACGGCTGCGTCTTGGCCTGGACGGCCTCGAAGAAGCCCGAGCTGATGTCGGTGACGTCGTAGGACGCGAAGCGCGGCAGCGTGTTCCGGCCGTCCCCGTCCCCGCCGCCGCCCAGCGCATGCAGCAGCGGCAGCGTGGCGCCGCCGGTGCCCGCGCCAATCTCGAGGATGCGCATGTGCGGGTTCTTGTGCGCCAGCAGGTCCACGTACACGGCCGCCTGCTGGTACTGCCGCGCCATGCGCGGGTTGTGCGCGTAGTACTGCCCCAGCACGTCGCCCTGCATCGTCACCTCCAGCGGGTCCGCCGTGCCCAGCACAATCTCGTGCATGCGCGCCGCCACCGCCGCCAGCAGCCGGCCCTCGGCGCCCGTCGCCGCCAGCGCGTCGAGCAGCGCCGCGCGCTCGGCGGGCGACGCGTTGGGCCACGACGCAATGTCGTCGGCGTGCACGGGCGCGGCCTTGGCCGTGGCGCCGGGCAGCGCGTCGTGCAGCGCGAGCACGGCGTCGCGCTGCCGCCGCAGCGACGCGTACAGCTTGCGGCCCTTGGTCGTCAGCGCGGGCACGGCGTCGGGCGGCACCTGCGCCACAGCCGCGTCGGCCATGTAGAACGCGCCCTGGTCGAGGCGGCGCAGCGCGGCGCTCTCGGCCTCGTCCGGCATCAGGTGGGCGCAGAGGTCGTCGAACTGGGCCGACGACAGGAACGCCGGGTCGGGCCGCCACTCGGCCTGGAAGTACGTCTTGGGGGGGTTGCCGCTGCTGCCGCTGTGACCGTTGTGACCGCCGCCGCCCGACGGCATCGATCCCGCCAGTGACGTCATGCGCAGGCCGTCCATGCGAATCAGCGGCGCGTCGGCGTCCGTCCCGCCGTACGCCGTGAGGTGGATGTCGAGGTTGCGGAAGCCGCTCTGCTGGACGCCCAGATACACGTTGAGGGCGTCGCCGGCGGCCACGCGCGCGAGGGCGGCGTCGATGGAGATGTGCGCAAAGAAGACGGGCATGATGGCCGCCTGCAGCAGGTCGCGGAACGCCATGATGCCGTGCAGGCACGCGTCCAGCGTGCCCGGGTGCACGACCAGCGGGCTGTGGTGGCGCGCCGGCATGACGGCGGCCACGTCGGGCAGCACCACGGTGCCGGCAATGTAGTGCGTGGGGTCCGCGGGCGTGGCCGCGCCGGCCCGCGCCGCCGTCAGGTTGGCAAATGTGGGGCCGTACTCGAGGCCGATGGCCGTGCAGTGGTCGTAGAGCGCCGCCGTGTCGACGTCGCGCGTGCACGCATCGCGCGTGCGCTGGCGCTGTGCGGCGTCTTGGCGGGCGCGCGCGGCCGCGAGCGCCGCGTGGTCGGTCACGCTGGCGCTGTCCTTGTCGAGAACGTCCTTGTCCGCCGCCTCCTCCGCCACCCCCCACCGCACCGCAATGCGGCCGCGGCAGTGCTCCGCCCACGTCTCCGTCAGCGGCGCGCCCATGGGCGTCGCCGTCGTGGCGCTGCTCGCGCACGAGTAGCAAAAAACTCGTGCCACACCGTCGAGCTGTCCATGGCGCTCTCCGTCTGCGGCCGCAGGCTGACGAGCGCCTCGACCTCGTCGCGGCCCTCGGGCACAATGAGCGCCTGGCCCAGCGACACGTCCCGCAGCTCGTACGAGGCAATGGCCGCCGCGGCCACCTGCGCCGTGGCCACCTGCCGCACCGCCTCAATGGCCATGGAAATGTAGCCGGCCGCCGGGTACACGACCAGCCCCTGCACGCGGTGGTCGCGCACCCAGGGCGTCTCGGCCGTGCGGATCCACTGGCGCCAGCGCGGCTCGAGCGGGCTGCCGAAGCGCACGGGCGCGCCCAGCAGGTCGTGGCGGCCGTGCGCGCGCTGGCGGTAGCGGATGCTGTCGCGGGGCTCGGCCCAGTAGGCGGTGCTGTGGTTCCAGGGGTATGGCGGCAGGTCGACGAGGGGAAGCGCCGTCGACGAGGCCGACCCTTCCCGCCGCGCATCGGCGTTGGCGGCCGCGACGTCGACCGCGACGCCGCGCTCGACGAGCGCGCAGGCCAGCTGCTGCGCGGTCGCGGTGGCGTCCTGGCCGCGGCGGAGCATCGACAGCACGCCAATCTTGCTGAGCGGCGCCTCCGTCTGCAGGATCTGGCGGATGGGGCCGGCGAGCGCCGCGTGCGGGCCGACCTCGACGAGCACGTCGACGCGGGCTCTGGCTGCCCGGGGCGGCTCGGCAGCCGTGTCCGCCGCCGCCTGCGCCTCGTAGCACAGCGCCGTCAGCGCCTCGGTGAAGCGCACGGGGCTCACGAGGTTCTCGACCCAGTAGTCGAGCGTCAGCGCGCCGGGCTGCAGCTTGCGGCCGGTGACGGACGAGTACATTTCGACGGCGCGCGCGCTGTCGGCGGCGACGACCGGCTCGGCAAACGCGCCGACGACCGTCTCGTTGGCCTGCAGCAGCGCGCGGTACGCCTCGGCGGCCGCGGCCATGCGGTGCGAGTGGTAGGCGAAGCCGACGACGAGCGTGCGGTGGCGCACGCCCGCGGCCGTGCAGGCGGCCGCGAGCTCCTCGATGGCGGCGTCGTCGCCCGACACCGTGAAGCTCTGCGGGCTGTTGTAGCAGGCGATGACGGCCGTGCCGCGGCGCAGGCCCGCGAGCAGCCCGCGCGTCGTCGCCTCGTCGCACGCCAGCGCCACCATGCCGCCGCGGCACGCGTCGGCGGCGGCCGAGTCGAGCGGCACGCGGAAATACGCGGCGGCCACGGCCGCCTCCTGGCTCAGCAGGCCCGCCGCGTAGGCCGCGCCAATCTCGCCGCTCGAGTGGCCGACCACGGCCGCCGGCGCGACGCCCCACGACCGCAGCAGGTCGACCAGCGCGACCTGCAGCACCGTGCACAGCGGCTGGCTCACGGCCGGCTCGTTGACGCGCGTCGTGGCCGCGTCGCGCCGCAGCAGCTCGTCGTGCAGCGACCAGTCCGCCTGCATCGTCGACGACGCCAGGATCGCCGCGCTGCGGTCCAGCGACGCCCGGAACACCGCGCTCGTCGCCGCCAGCTCGCGGCCCATGGCGAACCACTGCGCCCCCTGGCCCGTAAACACAAACCCCACCCGCGGCGCGGCCTGTGCTGGCGCCGTTGGCGTGTGGTGGAAGCGCAGGCTGCTGTCGCGCAGCGCCGCCGCCAGCTGCGACGCCGACGCCGCCGCCACGGCCGCCTTCCACGGCAGCGCCGAGCGGCGCGTGCTCAGGGTGTAGGCGAGATCGGACAGCAGGCGGGGGTCGGCCGCCGCGACGGCGGCCGTGGACTCTGACGCGAGGTAGTCGGCCAGCTGCGCCGCCTGCGCCTTGCCGGCGGCCGCGTCGTGCGCCGACAGCACAAACAGCTGGGGCACGGGCAGCGCGGCGTCGTCGGGCTTGTGCGTCTCGGACGTGGGCGACACGGCGCCGTTGGTCGTCGGGGGCGTGCCGTCGGAGTCGGGCGAGGACGGCGTCGGCGATGGCGAGGGTGACCGCGAGGGCGCGTCGGGCGCGTCGGGCGCGTCGGCCGGCACGTCCAGTGCGCTGTGGCGGTCATGTTCGTGGCCGTGGCCGTGGTCGTGGTCGTGGACAAGAGGGTCCGGCAGGTGTCGTGTTGCCGGCCGGCCGTGGGAAAAGGCGTAGCGTCCGCCGTCGATGCCGCGTGCGCGCAAAAAGTCGGCCGCGCTCTCGACAATGACGTGCGCGTTGGTGCCGCCGTAGCCGAAGCCGTTGATGGAGGCGCGGAGGACCGCCGGCGTCCCTGTGGTCCCTGTGGTCGTCGACGTCGACGTCGTCCCCGTCCCCAGCGCGTCGCGCCACGCCTGCACGCGCGTCGGCACCGTCAAGTGCCAGTCGGCCAGCGGGATCTTGTCGTTGGCCTCGCGGAAGTCGCAGTTGGGCAGCAGCGTCTCGCGCTCGAGCATCAGCACCGTCTTGATGAGCCCCGCGGCGCCGCTCGCGCCCTCGAGGTGGCCAATGTTGGTCTTGATGCAGCCGACCACGAGGGGCCCGGGCCCGTCTCTGCGCACCGCGCCAAACGTCTCGGCGAGCGCGCGCGCCTCAATGGGGTCGCCGGCCTGCGTGCCCGTGCCGTGCGCCTCGACGTACGACGTGTCGGCCAGGTCCAGCCCCGCCTGCGCGTAGACGCGCCGGATCAGGGCCGCCTGGGCCGCGCCGCTCGGGAACGTGATGCCCGGCGTGCGCCCGTCCTGGTTGACGCCCGTGTTGCGCACGACGGCGCGCACGCTGTTGCCGGCCGCGACGGCCGCGTCGACGCGCCGCAGCACCAGCGCCGCCACGCCCTCGCCGCGGCCGTAGCCCGCGGCGCGGCGGTCGTACGTGAAGCTGCGGCCCGCCGCCGACAGGAAGCCCATGCTGCTCATGGACGCCAGCGAGTCGTGGCACAGCGCGCAGTTGACGCCGGCCACCAGCGCCGTGCTGCACTCGCCGGCGCGCAGCGCCTGGCAGGCCTGGTGCAGGGCCACCAGGCTCGACGAGCAGGCCGTGTCGAGCGTCACCGACGGCCCGTGCAGGTTGAAAAAGTACGACAGCCGGTTCGCCAGCATCGCCTGCCCCGTGCCCGTCGCGTGGTACAGCGGGATGGCGTCCGGGTCGCGCAGCGTCATCTTGGCCCAGTCGAAGCAGAAGGACCCCACAAACACGCCCATGTCCGAGCCTGCCACGTCCGCCAGCGCCAGGCCCGCGTTTTCCAGCGCCTCGTAGCTGCACTCGAGCAGCAGCCGCTGTTGTGGGTCGAGCGACGCCGCCTCGGTCTGTGTGATGCCGAAAAACGGCGCGTCGAAAAAGGCCACGTCGTCGCGCAGATAGAAGCCGCCCGTGACGTTGGTGGCGCCGTTGCGGGCCTGGTCCGGGTGGTAAAAGGCCGCGTGGTTGAACCGGGACGCCGGCACCTCCGTCCATGCGTCGGCGCCCGCGGCACACATGTCGTACAGCTTCAGCGGATCGGTGGCCTCGCCGGGGAACCGGCCGCCCAGGCCGATGATGGCCACCGGCGGCACGGGGTCGGCCGGACTGGCCATGTTGCGTGTGATGATGTGAGGAGAGTGAGAGGTGAGAGGTGAGTGAGGAGAGTGAGGAGAGTGAGGAGAGTGAAAGTCAAGTGAGGAAAGTCAAGTGAGGAAAGTCAAGTGAGAGTGAAGGAATGACAGCAGAAAGGAGAAAGTAAAACAGTGCAAGGCCAGTCTGCGAATATCAACAGATGTCAACAGACGTCAACAGACGTCCACAGGACCTTGGCGATCGATGTGAACAGGGTCTCGACAAGGAGAGGAGCGCTTTGGACTACTACCAAAAGAGAGGCACCAGACAAAGCCGGACAATGGAGGACGCCAGGAAAGGCAAGGGCAAGCACTTGGGTAAAGATGGGTACGATCCGTCGTGTCCGTCAAAATGGCAAGGATGGCAATGGCAAGGATGGCAATGGCAAGGATGGCAATGGCAAGGATGGCAATGGCAAGTGGACAAGGGTGGCCCGGCCGAGATATATGTCTGCGGATGCGCTGCCGATGAGCGCTGAAGTGATGCTGTCGCCCGCGTGTCGCCTGGCTGGGTCGTTTGAAGACGTCGTTCGAGGACGTCGTGTCTAGAACGTCGTGTCTTGGTCTCGGTCTCGACCACGGTGTGCGTCCATGTGGGTGTACATGTGGCCGAGCTGGAGGGGTGTAAGAGCAAAGGACGTGGGCGAGGAGGAGAGAACTTGTGCGAGAGGCAAGGGGGCGAGCAGGACGACGAAAGAGGGGAGGTGGAGGGTCCGGCGAGGCGTCCGGGCTGCAGTAGTGTCTGGGCCTCGCTGCTGTGCGTTCCCAGGGGATGGGTAGAGGGAGGCTATCTTGTCGTTCGGCGGATGGGAGAGCAGGCGAGGTGAGAGTGAGAGGACAGAGGGAGGCGACGAGCAGCCAGGGGCGAGAGAAACGACAAACGACAAGCTAAAGAAATGGAATGGGCAAAATCGAGGCAACAACAGAAACAGAAACAGAAACAGAAACGAGACCGTCTGGGACGGAGATGAGAAGAGCAAAGTGAAGATGTCGTCAGAGACGAGGTGTGTGGGTAGAAGAGCACTACAAATTACAACTACGGAGTACAAACTACAAATTACAAACCCGCAGACGCAGACGCACGCAGACGCAGACGCAGACATGCTACAAAAACATGGGCGTGTGGGCCAGACCGTCTCAGTGAGGATCCTCCCAAGAATGGAAAGGAGCATCTCCCATGGCTGCTCGCACCTCTGCTCTCTGGTCGACTCTGGCGACTCTTGCGGAGATAAAGGGCGGCGAGGAGGGCAGGAAAAATGGGACGAAAAGGGTGGGAAAAGGGAAAGGGACACAAAAGGTAAAGCAAACTCTGGGCAGGGATGTGGTTGGCGGAAAAGGAGAATGGAAAACGGGGAAAGGAGAACGGAGAACGGAGAACGGAGGAGCGAAACAGTTAACTCATTAGCTATTCGCTCTACGGCGCATGTCGTACTAAAAGGGTAAAAGGTAAAAGGACGTAAGAAAGTAAGAAACGCGAGCAGAGTTAGATCCGAGCACGAAAAGCTGAGACTACTTGGGGCGAGGGACAAGGGGGGGTGGAGAAGTGGAGGTGACTGGGAATAAAAAGAAACGAAATAAAGAATGAGAGTAAGAAGGTAAGAACGGACGGGACTTTTGCGAAACACCTGGAAATAGGCTGCATAAGCAGAGGACGGGTCAATCGAAGACGGATGTACAGCATGTTCCATGCGCTGTAAATGGAGAATAAGAAAATAAAAGAATAAGAAAATAAGAGAATAAGAAACGTGAGCACAACGGCTGACCATTGATAAATACAATACGACACATCTTACATTGGAACGAGGACCACAACCGGGAAACTGGGAACCACGAGGGACGAACCATGCGAGCATGCACAGACTCTGGCGAGAAGACGCGCAATACGACATGCTGCGTGCTGTGTACCTGCACGTGCATAGGCGTCGATGCGTGATGGCGATGGTGATGGCGATGGTGATGGCGATGGCAGGACAGGACAGGCAGAAACGGGGCATACTGTGCTGACAACCGCCAAACAGCGGGAGGCTGCCTCCAGCGACCAGTCGACTGGGTGCAGACGGCCAGACGGGCAGTGCGGGTGCCAGCGCCAGTGGCTGTGCGCCGTGCGGTGGAGCTGGTGACGATCTTTTCCCTTTTCTCTGGACGATGGACTTTGGCCGCACGACGCACCAATGGCTCACAAGACAGTCTCCGTCGATCCGAGGGCATCGTGTACTCAGTACGCACCCGCTGATAAGACATGATACGAATAGATGCAAGGACATGGCCGCGGCGGCTTGAGCTTGCAGTTGCATTCCGTATCGGCGGAAGCGCACGCAGGGTCCAACGCCCTTGTGTATTTTGTATTTTGCGCATTTCATGTATTTTGCGAGAGCCGCGAGCTGACGGCTCAGTACGGAGTACGTCGACATCTGCTGCGGATCACAGAAATACACCCATCCTCTCGAGAGGTCCGAAGAACCGCCAAGACATGACGGAGATGTTCTGAGATGTTCCGAGATGTTCTGAGATGTTCTGAGATGGCCCGATGTGAGAAGATTTCTGTTGGCCAAGGGATGGAATCTAGATCGATGAGATCACAAAGACGGAGGAATGCGTCGTCGAGAAGGGACGCACGAGCCTGGCCATGGTGGCGCATTGTGCTTGGTGTGAGGCGAGACAAGGCGGTCCAACGGAACGAGTCAACTGTGGCCCATCTGCGCCGCACAAATTCAACAGCGGCTAATAACGGACAATAGACAACGGGCGGATGTAGGATACATGTAGTTTGTGCCGACGGAAGCTGGACTGGAAGAGTACAACATATTGGTCTGTGGTCTGTGGTCTATTCCGGTTCTCGAGTGCACTGACCGCCTTGCTGACCAGTCTTTTCTGACAGTATTCACGGAGTACATGTACGCTGTGAGATATTCTGTACACGGCCTTTATCCGAAATAAGATGTCATGTCAGGGTCCGAAATGATAAAAATAAGAAACAAAAATAAGAAACAAAAATAAGAAAAGAATAACAAAAAGAATAACAAAAAGAAAAACTATCAAAGAATGAAAAAACAACCCGATTCGCCGCATTGATTTGTTCCATGGCCGTTACATGCGTGAAATGAGCAATGGACTTGTGAGAATGGACTTGTGAGAATGGACATGTGAGAAATACGACGTAGGGAAACACAGGACGGACAAAGACACAAAAAGGGACACAACAAAACGCACAGGCATTCCGTAAGCACGCACACAAGCAAATGCCCAGCCTCCGTTGCAGCCTCCGTTGCAGTCTACTTCTCAAATCCCCCCGTAGCGCGTCGACTCGTCGTCTCAGACTCGGGGGCGGTCCACACCCAAAGGCGGGCCAGGACGCTGGCAGGACGCTGGCGAGGAAGAGAAATGGAAAAAGAAAAGGAAGAAAAAACGACCATGCCAGGTTGGGCCAAGCGGACAACTCAGGCAAGCCTCCCCCTGGTCTGTTTCTGTCGCAGGCACAGTAGTGTCCAAAGTAGTGTACAATTTACACAGTCGTGATAGAATGTCCTTGACCTCGGCGTTAACTTTCACCGCGGTGTTGTGTCCGTTCGGTTTACGCATCACGAATTTCTTCACAAATCTCATGGACTTTACCGCAGTTCATACTTGCATTGTCGGTGCGAGCGCCATACTCTGTGTAAGAGGAAAATTGCTGTTTGCGGACAATGTGTGATGTTGGGGGCGAAAGTGGTACGTCGCACGTTTGGTCTGGGTCATTGGGAAGAGCCAACCCCTAAAATGGAAGTAAAAACAGAAGAAGGGAAAAAAAGAGAAAAAAAAGAGAAAAAAAATGACCCAACAAACCGAAACATGTGCGCCGTTCAACAAGGGGAAAGAAAACGCCGTAAATCCGACACATCACACATCGCACATCACGCACATCACGCACCGCAGGACATGGGCCATCCAGGCTGCCGGGACTTACAGACGCCGGTGATGGAGGCAGGCGTCGGCACACGGCAAGCACTTGCATGCGACAAAGGAAAAGATTCCGGATCCGGGTTCGACGTACATTGTAAATACATTTGTTCCAAGGACGGAAGGCTTGTGCAAGATGAAAGAGGGGGTCTCGGGGTGCACAAATTGCACAGATAGAATATGTGTACGAAGTATGCCTTGTGAGAGAAGGGGTGAGAACGGACAAACGAAAAGAAAGAAAACGGGGCTATTGCAGTTTCGGGCAAATCGCCGCCGATCCCGTATTCCCGATTGGGGAGGAGGATTTCTTGGACCTCGGTGGGACCACGTTGGTCGGGGGTGGGAGGGATTTGATTTGATGGGGGGGGCATAATTAAAAAAAAATTGTTAAAAAAAAGGAACAAGGAACAAGGAGGAAGAATGAAGAAAAAGAGTAAGAAGGGGACCTCAGAGCATACAAGCTGATAAACGAAAATAAACGAAACAAACGAAAACAAACGAAATAAACTAAATAAACGAAAATAAACGAGACAATCTGAAGAAAGGCCGAGACAGGCCATGGAGACATGGAAAATACAGTCACTCGTGCTGCACGTATGTCGTACTTTGTAATTTGCTTCTTCACCGTGCTTGAACAGAATCCCGTTCGGGCTGTCGGTTTGCTAGCGTCATGCACAACCAGAGCTGCTTCGACCCTTGGGTGGAGCTCGCATCACGTCTGGGCACCACGGAATAACGAACCAAAAAGAAAAAAGAAAGAAAAAGAAAAAAAAAAAAAAAAAAAAAAAAAAAAAAACGACCCAAGAAAAGTGACCGTCCGCGTCCACGAACCTCCACCACAATCTTCGACCACAACGACACGACGGCTAGCCACATCCCACAGTGATCTTCGGATCGTCCGCTGTGATCGGCCGCTGCACATGCTTTTGGATTTCTCCCACTGGCTCTGTCTGTTGGTTCATACTTTAAATTCCCTGCCGTCCACCTGCTGTCCACCTGTTGTCCACCTGGCTCGCACCTGGTTTGCACACCCTCCTGCATCCTCC